CATGATTCCAAAATGCCTTTCACTCTAATGAAGGCAGATCTAAATAACTGGAGGATTATCAGCTGCTGGTGGACAGGCTGGACCATTGTAATACAAATGACAACACCACCCACATTAATTTACTTATTCAGTGCCACTCCAATCAAACTACCAAAAAGGATTTTATTGTGCTCGAAAAAAATAACAAGATTCATCTGGAAGAACAAAAGGTCAAGAATATCAAGGGAATCTGAGGAAAAGAGAGAATTGTGAATTCAATTTTTAAAAACAAATGTTAAAATGAGTATAATTTTTAAAAAAAGAACCAGGAAAAAAATCCCCTAAAATTTAGCTCAGGGCCTTGGGCCCCAGTAGCAACCTTTGAGCCCTGGGGCTCAGCAACAGTTTGATGACCTCTGTGCTGACCACACAACCCGCACCTTCTGCAGCATTAAGAGCAAAGTGGGGCCGCTGTGGAGATACCTCCCAAAGTCCCAGGCCAGAACGAATATCGAGACAGTCCTGACCACTGCGAGGCCATCACTCTGATGGGACGGCAGGTCGTGGCGACATCAGCCACTGGTCGTGGGCAAAGAGTGAGGCTCGGCACAAACATGACCAGGCCTGAAGTTGTTAGTAAGCCTCCAGGCGGGGGTGGGGGACACCCCCCCTCTGTGCTTGGCTCAGGGACTGGCCACAGCGAATGCCTCTGAAGAGTGTGGTCACTCGCTGGTTTGGGGCCCCTTCTCAGACAGTGTATCAGAGGGAAAGAATCCCTATTATTGCAGGAGCCCAAGCTGATGCTAAAACCCCTATCTGTGCACACGTCTCCCAGAGCAGGCATGAAAGGCCAACTCACAGAATGTGCAGGAGAGAATTCGGTGAGAGGCCGCAGCTGGGGCTGCTGTCTCAGGAATACTGGCTCCTCCAGCCCCCAGGCTGGGCGGCCTGCTGGGCGGTGGGCAGCGAGGGTGGGCAGCGAGGGTGGCCACGGTGGGCAGTGCAAGGCAATTTCAGGAGACAGACAGATGGGAAGGGCTTGGGGTTGGAAGGCTCTGGAGGGCCTGGCCCCAGATCTCTCTCCAACTGGCCACTCCCGGCTCTGAGGCCATCTCCCTGCCCCCAACATTCGGGACTGTTCTCAGCTGCCCACTGGACACCCCGGGGTATGATGTCAGCAAGCGTGTTCACCCTTCCCCTCGAGTGCTGGCCACTTTCTTCTCATCCCCCTGTCCCCTGGCACTCCGGCCCCACCAGGCTCTCGCAGGTACACCCTCTGCTCTTGGTGAGACCCTCCCTGTCCCCCAAGGCCCAGGATAATAGCGCCTCCTTCTACAAAGACCACAAGAAGCTTCCATTTCCTGGAGGCCGAGGCCAGTGCCTTCCGGTGCTCAGCCCAGACCTAGGTGAGTCCTCCCAGAGCCTCCGCCATGTAAGGAGGGCACCCACCTCATCATTTCCTCTTCCAGAAGTTCGTCTGCCAAAGGACATCAACTCTGAACCTCTGAGGCAGGGCTTCCTCGCCCCACCCCCCACATTGGATTGGGAGCTCCTCAGGGGCAGGGACACCTTTTGCTTTTCTTGGCATCCCCAGCACTTAGCACAGGGCCCGGCACACCCTAGGTACTTAATAAATGTTGACTGGGTTTTTGCCAGTTCTTATGCCTTCAGCACTGGGTGAGAGGATAAGTCTACCACGGAGGGCACCCAAATTCTGATTGTCTCCCTGTCCGAGATGACCACAAAACTCTCAAAATTATCAATAAAACAAGCAGTTTGACCTAGTGGGCAGAGTCAGGAAGACCTGGGTTCAAAATCTGCCTGACATTGACCAGCTGGGTGGGCCAGTTCCTGAAACTTTCTTAATTTCACTTCCTTTTCTGACCATCAGGGCCAGCAACGGCTGCCATGGCTCTCTTCCGGCACCACCTCGGGTTGGCTGAGCCCTTCTCCTTATACAGTGTGGTCTCTGAGAGCTTCTGCAATGGTCAGACCTTCAGGAGTGCCAACACACGTTGGCTTAGACCAGAGTCGTCCTTCCTCGATGAAAGGACAGTATACAAACTCATGTTACTTATATAAGCTTACGTACAGACATCGGTTTCAGGATCCGAGGGCCTGGAGAGGACAGACTTGGTTAGGATGAAAGAACGCTAGCTCTGGAATCAGGGCAGCCGGCCTTGAATTCTAGCTGGCTACTTACTCCCAGTGATAACCCCTCCGGGCCTCCATTTCTCATCTGTGGCAGCGGCGCCCTGGGCTGGGCACCCACAGGAGCTGAGGCCATTCCCTAGACCCAGCCAAAGCAGAGGCACCCAGGGAATGAACCAGCCCAGAGGGCCAGGAGAAGCCTCCAGGGCCATAGACTAGGGCTGGCCCTGTGCTGGGGCTCCTCTGGTCTTTTGTGAGCAGAAGGAAGCAAGTGGCCTGGGGGAACCGAGGCCTGTGAAAGACTGAAAACAGCCCAGCGGGAACAGGCACTGAGACTTGCCTGTTCCCGTGAAGGGAGCAGCCCCAGGGAGAGCCGTCTACCAGCCGGGGACCTGCAGGAGGGGAGCTCCTAGGGAATGTCTCCACCAGCCCAGAGGGCCTGAGAGAATGCACCCAGAGTTTGCAAAGTGAGGGGGAGGCCATCGCCTCCAGCGGGTGGAAGGCTAGTGCGGCTTCTGCTGAGTGTGTGACCTTTTGTCTCTGCCCGAGCCAGGGGTCAGAGAGCAGGCCGACTGCCCACTCTCCAGGAGGGCGTGCCACCCATTCCTGTTAAACCACCAGAAAACGAGAATAAATGTCTCTTTCCTTAATATGATAAGTAATATATATCTAAAGAGGCGGCTAGGTGATGCCATAGTGCATGGAGTGCTGGGCCTGGAGTCAGGACGACCCAAGTTCAAGTCCAGCCTCAGACATTTACTAGCTGTAAAACCTGGGTGAGTCACTTAACCCTTTTTGCCTTAATCTACTGGAGCAGGAAATGGCAAATCATTCCAGCATCTTTGCCAAGAAAACCCCAGGGGGAGCACTGTTGTGCTTGGTCCACGGGGTCACAAAGAACTGGACACGACTGAATCACCACAACATATATTTAAAACCAAGAGCTAGCCTCGGTTTCATAGGGATAGAATAGAGGCCTTTCCAAAAAATCGAGGGCGATGCCAAGATGTCTGTTATCACCGCTGCTATTTAACTGAGTTCTAGAAATGTGTGCTCGCTACAGGAAACAGACAAGAAAACAGTGGAGGGAATACGCGGGGTAATGAGGAAACACAATATGGCGGTTTAGTTGGAGAACCCCAGAGAGTCGGCTGAAAAGGGATCACAGCAATGAACCACTTCAGGGAGGCTGCGAGACAGAACACAAAGCCACACCGATCACCAGCGTTTCTGTGCATCAGCAACAAAGCTTAGGCGGAAGAGACAGAAATTCCGTTTATGTGACTGGCGAGACTTTGTAGGATGCTTGGGAGCCTGCAAGAGACAGCATCACAGGCACAGAACTGTAAGACACTCTTTACGTCAATGAACACAGGCCTGAATACGGCCTGTTACAGGGGCCCAGCCACCAGAATAAATGTGGCCTCACCTAAATTAATCGACTTTCTCGGCACCGTGCCAAACTATCCCAGGAGTCCTTTCTAGCTCTGAAACCCAGATTCATCCGGAGGAACAAAAAGTCAAGAATCTCAGGAGAAATCATAGAAAGGGCAGGTAGGAAGGGGCCGGGGCGGGCGCCGTCACTGGGCCCGCTGGTCAGTGGGGCAGACCAGGGCCACGACTCAGCTGCCTCGAGCCGGACAGACTCCAATGTCACAGCTCCCGCCAGGCACACGCTTCTTCTGCTCCCTGTTTGCGTTTTGGGCACTGGGCTGCCCCTCCACGCCGGGACATTCTTTCCTCTGCAGGTGCTTTCTCCCAGTGGGACTCCCCCCTTTCCCATCGGATCTCTCTTCACACCCTCTGGATGCCTCACCTCCGCCCTGCCAGGTCTTCCTTTCTTCTCTCTCTGCTATCTCACGGGGTGACTTCCTCAGCTTCCGAGGCTCACGTGCCTCCCTATGAAGATGGCACCCCCAGATCGACACGTCCAGCCCCAACTGTGTCCTGAGCGCCGGGCTCACACCACAAACCGCGTGTTGGACTTCCCAGAGACTCTAAAACTGAGCTCGTCATCTTCCCTCCTAACCCTTCCCCTTCCCCAGACTTCCCTGTTTCTGTTGAGGGAACCCCCATCCTTCCAGGGTCTCGGGTTCATCAGCTTGACATTGTCCTGAACTCTCCCTCCGGCTCAGTGAGCAGTCCAATCCGCCATCAAATCTCACCATTTCTACCTTTACCGTCTCTTGCATCCAGCCCTTTCTCTCAGCTCATAGGCAAATAATTGGAGCACTGGGGATTCGTTGACTGTTGTGGCCCACAGCTGTTCTCTGATGTTCTTGTTTTTTACATGTGAGGAAAGCCAGGTGTAAAGAGGCTACGTGGTCCAGTCCGAGGGAGTGTCCAGACTGCCCCATGGCCCACCCCCTGGGACTTTCAATGCGTCTGGAGTCTGGGCCTCTCCAGCAGTCAGTCAGTCTGGTGAAGCCTGGGGACCCTTCTCAGAACGGTGCTTTTAAATGCATAAAGTATTTAGGATTACAAAGAAAGCCAGGTATAGGGAAATACGGTTATCAAAACATTTTTAAAAACAATATCATAGGCATGAGGTAAAGAACCCGTGCATAAGATTGCACTGCCACAAAATTTCCTACTTTAAACTCTAAATGTCACAGGGAGTTTTCCTTTCCAAACCCTGCTGAACAGAGGCGATGATGAAAATGATTTCAGAAGAAAAATATTTCCCCTGAATAGTTCATGACTTCTATAGTTTAATAGGACTCCAGTGAAATCATGCAAATCACTAATCGCTTTGAAATTTCTGGTTTAGAAAAGGAACACAAATTAAATCATTCAAATCGTTGGTTTCTTGTTCCTCCCTGTTTTTTTTTTCCCCTTTCCAGCTGTGCCTGTTCAGCCTAAGGACCACATGCTTTCCATTTTTCCTCTGGGTTGTTTTTCTTTTCTTTTTTTAAAAATTTTCCTTGGTAACTTTATTTTCCTTAGTAAGTTTATTGGCTGATTTTCTGCACGAAGCACAGAACAGCTTTTATCCCCAAGGGACGGAGCTATTTCAGACCTTACTAAGAAGTTATTTAACATGTTTCAACATTTCCTACTGTCATTCTCTGTTTTTAAGAGAGCCGTCTGATTTTGTTTCACTTTCAACTGGAGCCTAAATGACACCAACCAGACTCCACTTAGATTAGTTTTCCAGGTAAACAAGCTTTCAATTCTGAATTTTGGCTAAAGTGTATAGCGGGGTTGATGTGATATTTTAATAATTTTGTATTTCCTACTATGCGGATATGTCTAACACTTGACAAGATTAAGTTTGGTAAAAGCTTTTTAGAATTTAAAAGTACGTATTATCGACTAATTTGCTCTTTCAGGATGAACAGTCCTCAGGACTTCAAATATTGCGTAGCTGGAAATGAAATCATTTTTGTGCGTCTTAGCTAGATGAATTTCTCAATAGATGAGTGTCACTGACCACCAAAACACTTCAGAAGTTTCATTCCTTTTGTAGAGTTCTTAATCTTGAAAAAAATGATCAAGGATTTACTGAAAAGCATTTTAAAAATCAAATTTGTAGAGTAAAATAAATGGGAATTAGGGCAAGATGAGAAATTAATATGTTTTTAATAGAATGAAAGATGTTTAATGGAAACCACATTGAGAGAACAAAAATGGTTATGAACTCGCTGATTACTACAGGGTTCGAAATGAAGATGCCTGCTTCTAAACAGGAACCAATCCTGGACTCTCAGATACCTGCCACCGTTGCAGGAAGTCTCAGAAGACAATTCCAACATGGAAGTAAAACTCAATAACAAAGAAGGGAAGTCAACAAGTCAAGGCTCGGCAAATACCTACTGTGTGCCAGGCACTGAGCCAAGCCCTGGAAGCACAAAGGAAGGCAAAAGGCAGTCCCTGCTCTCACGGGGGAGACAGCGCAGAGGACAGATAGGACAGCGTCACTGGAGACGGCCTCAGAGGGAAGGCTTCGCTATGAAGGGAGATGGCCAAACGCCTTCTAGAGGACAGAGGGCCTTAGTGAGGACTTGAAGGAAATCAGGGAAGCCAGAAGTGGGGATGAGGAGGGAGAGAATTCCAGGCAGTGAAAAGGGTCTGGAATGGGGAGATGGAGGGGTTTGCTCAAGGAACAGCCACAAGGCCAGGGTCACGGGACCAAAGAATACATGGACAGGAATAAGGTAAAAGAAGTCTGGGCAGGTAGGGTGGGGCCAGCTTATGAAGGGCTCTGAATGTCCAACAGAGGGCTTTCTAGAGAAAGCCACTGGAACAGATCACAGGGAGGACGACATGATTGGACCTGCCATCGAGGAAGGCCGCTCTGACAGCTGAGCGGAGGAGGGTCTGCGTGGGAAGAGCCTGGAGGCAGGGAGACCCACCAGGAGGTGAGTACAGTAACTGAGGTGTTGAGGGCTCGCACCTGGGCAGCGGTGGCGTCAGAGGAGGGAGGGGGGGCATATTGGAGAGACACTAAGAAGGCAGAATGGATAGGATTTGGCAATGGAGTGGATATAGTGGGTTGAGGAAGGTGAGCTACGTGACTGACATGACAGTGGTGCCTCTGACAACAATAAGGAAGTTAGGAAAAGTTGTGTGTTGGTGGGAAGTGGGAAAGAATGCTTTTGGTCTGGAATATATTGTTTAGGATGTCTAGTTTGAGGTGTCCAACAGACACTTGGCAATGCAAACCTTGAGGGTAGGAGAGAGGATAGATTTTAGAATTATCTGCATAGAGACGGTAGTTGAATTCTGGGGAGCTGATGAAATCACCAAAGGAGACAGAGGGAGAAGAAAAGACCCAGGACAGAACCTTGGAGGTCACCAAGATCCAGCAAAGGAGACTGGGAAGGAGCCGTCAGACAAACAGGAGGAGAACCAGGAGAGAGTGGCGTCATGAAAACCAAAAGAGAAGAGGGTGATCAATACTGTCCAAGGCTGCAGAGCGGGCAAGAAGGATGAGGACTGAGAAAAGCCTGTTGGATTTGGTAACTAAGAGATCAAGGGTGACTTTGGAGGAAGCTTGAAGAATGGCATCAGAAGCCAGACTGCAGAAAGTTAAGAGAAAGAAAGGAGAAGGAGGGGTCAATTTTAGATGGCTTTTTCAAGGCATTTAAGCACAAAAGAGAGACAAGATATGACAGCTGGCTGGAGTAGATTAAGTGAGTGGGTTTGTTTTTTTTTTTAAAGGGGAAGAGAGACACGGGCATATTCTTAGATAGTCGGGAAGTAGCCAGGAGACTGATGATAGTGAAAGGATGAGGATGATGGAGGGGCAATCTCTGGAGAAGACAGGATGGAATGGGATGATGGACACGCAGAGGGGTTTGCCTGGGCAAGAAGGGCCACCTCTTTATGTGAGATGGGTGGAAAGCACCTGGGGAACGTGGGACGAGGAGGGAGACGTGGGAGCTCTTGGAGAAGGGCCTCAAGATCTTCAGTGACATAGACATCAAGGCTGCTACATGAGAAGGTAGAAGGAGGAGCCGTGGGAGCTCTGAGGAAGAGTGAAAAGAAATGGAAAATCTGCTCTGGTGAGCAAGCAGGGAGGTGTGAAAGTACTGCCTTGAAGCAGCGAGGGCCCAGGGGAGGTTCCATAACGTAAATTCATAGTGGACCCAGGAAGCAGTTTTGTGACTTTCCTCCATCCTCAGTCAGCAGCACATGGACAGGCAGGAAGGCAGTGGACGATGGCAGTGATGTGGGGCTGACTAAAGGACTCAAGGGAAGAGGATGTGATTATATTTCGCTGGGTCCGATGAGACGATGCAGAAATTTTGCTTTGCAAGCTACTGAATGCTACATAAAAGGCAATTATTATCATTATTCCCCCTACTTCCCGTGACCTCATGGATGTAGACACTCCCTGTAAGGTACACCTTCTTGACCTGACCACCTCCTATCCGCGCCCTCTCATCAACCCTACCACAGTATGTCAGCCTGCCCCTAAGGTCCTTCCTGACCAGAGTCCTCAGTCGCTCAATCCACAAGTATTTATCAGGCCTGAAGATACAAGGAGGACCTACCCCTGGGGTGCAGGAGACAGCACCAGTACACAGCGAATGCATACAAACACCCAGACAAACTGGTCAGGTTGGCAGGCCTTTGGGAGGAGTCTTTGGGGGGGACTGAGGCAGAGATAAGGAGGGAGCACATTCCAGGCAGGGAGCATGACCAGCGCACATGCAGACAGCAAATGCAGTGTGGTATGCACCGGGCAGAGGGCTGGCTTGGCTAGAAGGCAGAACGCGGATGGGGACTAATGTCCAATGAGCCTGGAAAGACAGACTGGGGCGGGCGGGGAAGAGTTTTAGAAGCCAAGCAAAGGAGACTTCTGGCCAAAATGGCTGCCCGAGCAGGAGGTGCGGAGTCCAGCTCCCCAACCCCCACGTGGTAAAACTGGCAGAGTAAGAAGCAAGACATCCAGTGAAAAACCACAGCAGTGTCTTCCCCCCCAAATCCGCGCCCAAAGTGAGAAAGCCAGGGGCGAGAGGAAAGGGAGCTCCCAGAAAAGCAAGCATCAGCGCAGTTAAAGATGAGGTACCTAGAGGCTGTAAGGCCCATGTCCAGAATGAATGAACGAGGGAGGGCTTGAACTGTTTAGTAAGCTCTTACTCTGTGCAAAGCTCTGGGCTCAGCATCCGGAGCACAAATGCTCTTGAGCCCGGCCCTGCTCTCCAGGGGCCCCTCCCTCTAATGGGGGAGACAACATCCAGGGAAGGGCCCAGCTGCAGGTCAGAGGGAAGGTCCCAGGGCCCTGAGGGGGCAGCTGCAGAGCAGGACAGAGTAACAGCAGAGCCTGATGGGGAGCCTGGACCAGAGAGGGCTTGGGATCTTGGTGACCAGGGCTTCCTTTTCCCTGCAGCCCCTGCAGGAGCAGGGCCCAGGCTGCATCTCCCCGGGGGTGCTGGGCGGGAAGCCTGGTTCTTCCCAAGGCTCGCGGGCTCAGGGTCCTGGGCTATTTCCATCAGGGTCTGGGGTGAGCTGGGAATCGAGGGGGTGGCTTTGACCTGACTTGCATTTGCCCAGGCTGCTTCGAGCCTGGCTGCTTCAGTTAGGCTGGCCAGCCTGCCCTCTGGGTGGCTCCTGGTTGGCACTTGGTAAGGATGGCTGACTCCCTCTTCATGGGATTTGCTTTCCCTGATTACGGCCATGAGGGCTGGGCTGGAAGCAAGACAAGTGGTCTGGGGATGCTGACACTCTTAGGATTCCTGTGTCTGTTTGCCTGTGTGCAATCATCAATGGTGATAAAGAAGGCTGATTGCTTTCCCACAATGATTTTTCCCCTCGATGTGGAAGCAGGTCTGGAGGCATTTCTCTTCCGAAGGCTCCTGGGCTCAGGGTCCTGGGCTGTCTCCATCAGCGTCCAAGGGAGCCAGTATCCAATTAGAGTGGTGGCAGTTTGACCTGCCCAGCACCTGCTGCCTCCTGTCTCTCCTTCCAGGAGCCTTGCTGTTTTAGCGAGGCTGACTGGCTTGCCAAAGATGGCTAGAGTAGAGATGTCCCCGGTAACTACCTAGGATGGTCACAGCATCCTCAGGGTGGAGACTTTAGAAGTCCCAGGGGATGGTCAATGGGCAGTAACTATTCAGTGCAGGCAATCCCCGACTGAGAGAGTTCCTATCTCTCTATGTGAAAGGCCAAAGAAGGCCCTGAGTACAGGGATTCAGGGGCCCAGGGGAGACCAAGAGATCTGACCAGCCTGGCACTCTCCAAGGGGAGCCACCTCCCCCTGCTGGTACAAATCTCCAATTCAGGAACAAAGCCAGAAAGATGAGCAAATCAAAGAAAACGCTGAGAAGCATCATGCTATTGCCAACCTAACTCCACAGTGATACCAGAAGTGGCCCAAAGCACTCCACGGACACCCAGAGGAAAGGAAACAAGAGATAAAGAGGGGAGTCAAAGCTCTGAAGGCAAGACCCAGAGGGACGGCCAACAAGGCACGTGGCACCTCTTAATCAGGACACAGAATCCCTGAGAGCTAGAAGAGACCAAACAGAAATCACTGTCCTGGAGAAAGAAACGTCAGAACAAAATCAAACAACTGAAAAAAATAACCAACTGACTGTCTGAGCGTAATCAAATAGGATGGCGCCATACTATTACCGTTCAGTCATTTCAGTCACATCTGATTCTTCATGGCCCCCACTGGTGTTTTCTTGGGAAAGATTAGAGTGGCCATTTCCTTCTGCAGCTCATTTTTAAGATGAGGAAACTGAGGCAAACAGAGGGAAGTGACTTGCTCAGGCTAGGTGTCTGAGGGCTGGATTCGAACTCATGTCTTCCTGACCCCAGGCCCACTACTTTAGCCACTGCACTACCTAGCTGCCCTAGAATCCATGCATTTTGAACAAATCTAAACCTGGTATTAAAGATATAGCAGCTTGCCCCAAAAGTTTTTCTTTACATCAGTTTATCCTGTCAAAAAGCTACCCACTCCAGTGTCTAATTGTTATTGAAATGCGATTTAGGGTTCAAGCCAAGGCATTTGCCCAAGGTTCTCCTCATTGATGAGGAGGATTACTCAACATTCTGTGCTTTGTGCAGGGTGGAGATGGCCAGGGCTGGGGGGAGGAGAGACCTCCTTCAGGCTTCTGGCTTTGATAAAGGGCACATGTGGGGTCCAGGTTTTCTTCAGGGAGATGCCACTGGAGGGGGAAAAATCCTTTGGAAATAAGCTGACACGTAGAAGAGCCGGTGACTCGACAGGCCCCTATTTCCAGCACACTTTACCAGACACTTGGAGAAAATTTCTCTTTGGATAGGACTGGGGACTCGTGCTCTCCACTAGGCTGAGCTATCTGCTCTCAGGTGCAGAACTCAGACAAGCTGGGTATCGTGTGGCATATGAGAATCTGCATTTCTGTCTGCTGTCGGTTTATTGACCATTGGTGACGGTCTTTGTATAACTGGCATTTGGGGGGGGAGGGTACCAAGCCCTTGACACAGCCGGGGCAGGGACCCCTTCCCCATCAAGGGGCCATGACCACGAAAGCAACTTGATCCTAAAAGTAACTTCCCCTAGACGGCCACTATTCAGGGGTGTGGTATCATTCTAGTCTGGTGCCCCTGTCTTAGGGGAACACAGAGTCAGCCTCATGCCCTGCAGGCAAGGCTGTCCTGAGGAGGGAGCTGGGGAAGGCCCCCGCAGCTGCCTTGCTGACAAACCCATGTGATGCAGCCACAGACCTGCCCAAACCTCCCAGAGAGATTTTTAAATATCTGGATTCATCTGTGGCTGTTAACACCATGTTCTTCGTGTAATTCCTTTCTTTCCACAATGTCGGCATATCATGGAAAAGCTCTATCCTTCTCTGAGAGATGATCAGCTTTAAGAAGAGCTCTGATAGGGCTGTGCTCACTATGGAGCTTGTTTTTTAAAAAGCGACAATTCTTCAGAATGTTAGAGGGGCCTAACAAGGAGGTGTGGTGGATAGAGTCAGGAAGGCCTGAGTTCGAATTCTGTCTCAGACACTTATTGGCCACGTGACCCCTCTCATCTGAAAAATGGGGATAACAGCCCCTGTCTTCCAGGACCGATGTGAAGATCAGTCGGATAACATGCAAATCACGTTGCAGCTTTGAAGGGCTTTCTAAATGCCGCTAGCTCTGATGATGATGGCAAACAGATGGACGGTGATGCGTTCATTGCCTGGGTGGAAAGAATCTTCCCTGTTCTCAGACTGGTGTAATGTCCTTTCTTCTTCCTTTTCAAAGATTGTTCCTAAGACTTAAAAACTATTTGGTTTTTAATACCAACCTTCTGCTGGTGAGTCATGGAATGCTATGCTCAGTTTCAGAGGGCAGTGGAGAGATGGAGGTGAACACACAGAGCAGTGAAGTGAGAAGAACCATAATCAGAGGTTTCCTGGCAACTTGTGAACCTAGAAATAGGGAGAGATGACAGGTGGGCAGCCTGGGCACTACCCTGAAGGGGTCCTCGTGAGGTCGGGAGAAAGGTGGCCGGCACATTGCATAGATCTGCCTTAATGGAGGAGATGGGCTGGAGCTGTCCAGTGTGGGCGGTGCCCTCCATCCCCACAGGGCACTGGCATTGAGTCCGACCTTACCCCCTCCCACTCACACTGCTCTGAAGGGCAGTGACAATGAATATGGCCCTGCTGCCTACTGTGACCACTTACGATCACAGACTGATAAGTGGGGGACCCGAGAGGCAAGAGACCGGCCACCCTCATCAATCTCAGTTTAAAGGCACTTCACTGGACAAGGTGGGCCTCCTGAGAGTCAATGACAGTTTTCTAGTATTTCCCATGGGTCAGAGCATTGGGGATTTTGGGTTGGAGGGGACCCTGGAGATAGCCTAGTCTGACCCCCACATTTCACGGAGGAGGAAATGACTTGCCCAGGGTGATGCAGAAAAGGCCCTGTGAACTCAGACCCTCTGAAGGCTCTTTGGTGCCTGCTGGTTCTGGCAGAAGCTTTCTCTGCACTAGCCCCCTCTCCCTCTTCAGTGCCTGGGCCAGCAGGCCAGGGAAGATGGGTCCAGGAGCGGAGGCACACGCCTGGCTTGGAGAAGACTCGTCCCCTGCTGTGGTTTTCTGGACAGCTGACTAAATCCAGGGGTGAACACGGAGAGTCCCTCTCCATCGGGCATGGCTTTTCGGTGCAGCTTCTGGCCCCATCGAAGCCCAGAGCCGAGCTCCTTGGTGGCCTCTGGATCCATCCCACTCTGTGTGGCTACTTGGGCTTACTCATTCCTGACGATCTGGGTTTTCTGAACTCTGAGCTCTCCTACTTATCTGGATTCCTACCACAAAGCTCCTCCATCCTGATGGGGTTGTTTTCTTGGACTCAAGGCTTGGCCCATGGTCCCTGAAGGCTCCTGTCTAAATGAATGGACTTACTGGCAGTGATCCTTTTGCTTACCAAGACCCAAAATATGTTCTATTCCCTCCCTGCCTCTCGAGATTTTGGGCTGAGAGACAACGGTGACTGCAAAGAGGCAGAGGGACGAGCCAGCCAGAGAGTGATCTGAGCATCAAGCTGGGGAACGTGGCAGGGTGGAGCACGGCCTCCTGGGACACCAGCTTCTCAGTCCCCAGTTACCAAAACAGGCCACCCGTGGGGTTGCATGAACAAAGATGTCTTCTGCAGGTTACGTGGCTATTGCTGAGATCATGCAGGTGCTAGGGCGATGAACAGACCTGAGTTTAAAACAGTCAGTTCTGGGCAGTTTTCTGGCACCCGACCTGTCCTCATTCAGCAGCATTAAGGGTACGAGTAACATGGGGCTGGGGTTCTCACACTAGAAGTCTGGGGTGCTCCTGACCAAGGCCTTCTGTGGCTGACCTGTGGGAGGCTCATTAAGCATCTCGACTGGGGTCTCAGACAAAGAACTAGACCCCTTTGCTCTTCCTCTGCTATCAGTGTCACAGTGCATGACCTGCCTCCTTCCTTCTCCAGTGCTTGGCTCCTGGGGATCCCGACAAGCTGCTCAGAGACTGTCGGACGCTCCCCTGGTCACCCCACAATAACCATCTGACTCTCCCTCCCTTCACATCTTTAGCTTGTCAGCTTCTAAAATGGGAGGATTACGGCAGCAGAGAGGCAAGTGAAGGATACTGCAGTGTTCCAGAAGGAAAATGAGGTCAGAAAACACTGGAAAATGGGGCAGGGGGCTGGGAACAATGACTAGCGAAGAGAGCCATGACCCCACTGGGACGGCGAGTGGGGAAGATTGTGAGAATGAGCTGAGGCGGGAGGAGACCTCGCAGGCTGCAAGGCTCACACAAGCTCACCTGGTGAGGCGGTACTCCTGATGTAATGATCCTCCCATCAGAGATGGGGAACCTGAAATTCAGAGAGGGTAAGTGATTTGTCCAGGATCACAGAACCAGCAAGCATCAAAGGAGAATTCCAGTCCCGTGTTCTGCCTCCTGTCCCTCGATCCTGCGGCGGTCCAGAGCATACTGGGCTATCCCAACAGTGGACACACAAGAGGATTGACAGTGCATGGCTTCCAACAACAGCCTTTCTAGAAACATATGCGCTGGTGTCACTACAAAGTCATGAAGCCACTTCTTCAGGTTTGCCTCTGGCAATGCCCCCCACATGTGTATAGCCTCTAGTAGTGCCCTGTCCGCACACACACACACAACCTCTGGTACTGCCTCATACACATATACAATTTCTGGTAGTACCATACAGACTCTTGTCGTGGCACACACTCACCTACAGCCTCTGGTAGCACCTTGTACATACATACAGCCTCTGGTAGTGCCTCACACAGCCTCCTTCCAAAGTCTTGCTTTCTGAGAGGTATAGACAGTTCTGTGACTTCTCACTGGCAGAACTTGGAATGACTTCTTAGCCACAAAGTTTGTCTGTCCACATGTGGTCACAGAGGAGCTTGGAAGTGCCATCTTCCCACTGTATACTTGTCATCCCTCCTTTAAAAACATGAAAGGTTGATGATGGCCAGACAATGCACTCTGCCCTCCTGGTTTCAGGTTCTGGAGGACATAATTTCTCTTGAACAAGGGGGCGAGATCATTAGCTTTTGAGAACATTTGTGCTTTCTTTGAAATATATACCCTCCTATAGTATAGCAACAGACTGATATGGAGACTGAACTCTGCAATGGTTTTTCCTCTCCAGAAACCGGTGAAAACAAAGTATGAAGTTGGCCAGTGGGATCTACTGTTTTCTGCTCATTAGTCTGTATGCTGACGTGGCTCAAAATGCGACAACTGAAAATATCAGAAGGCTAAAACAGAGCATGGGGCACAGAGTCCCAAGGAAGAGCCCTTCCCTCAACCACAGATCACATCGGCAAACTGAGCCAACGCGACGAACCGGGATGGCTGCTGCGGCTGCTCCAACACCACGGCCTCGTCTCGGGGACATCGATGACAGCGCCGTCGACACGGTTGTGCCGCTTGGGAGCTATCTGGGAGAAGAGTCGAGCTATAGTGTCTTACCAGGTAAGAGGAGCTTCTACTCTATCACAGGAGGCCACTAGAACGTAAAGACCTATGTACAAAATGCATTTGTTATTTTTACAATTTCACCCTCACTTACTCCTTACAGACACTAACAGCTGAGGAAATCAGGAAGGGTTTTATGTCGATAGTGGACTTGAGCCCGGTTTTTAAAGGAAACAAGGGAATTCTAAGAGTTAGAAACAGGAGGGAGGGAATGTTAGGCCTGGGAGGTGGCCAAAGCAAAGGCCCAGAGGCCGGAGATAGGATGTGGTGTCTGAGGTGCCGCAGCAAGGCTGGCGGCATAAACCAAGGGTAGCCATTTATAACGGGGGGGGGGCAGGTTGTGTGAAGCTCTCCAGGCCAACCACGGTGTTTGATTCCAAAGGCTGCTGGATGGCGCCATTGGAGCAGAGAGTGTCGTGGTCAAATGTGGACGTTAGCTGTTGTTTGGAAGGTGAAGTGGACTGTGGAGAGACCGGAGGCCTGTTTGGAGGCCCCTGGGGTGGCCCAGCAAGAGTGAGAGGTGGCAATGGGGGATGGCGGCAGCCTTCAGCAGACACAGATGGAGCAGCTTGGCGGCGGGGAGCTGCTCTGGTGAAGCGGATGTACAGAATGTCTGCAGTTTCCATGTGAGATTTCCCCCTCTGTCCAACGGCCCAAACAAATAACAATCCATTAGCAACCAGAGGGTCCAGATGTAAAGGAGGGAAAACTCCCAATCACACAGGATGAATTTTCTAAAAGCCCCGGCCATCCAAGCTCTCCTACAACTCACACCAAGCAAGCGCCGTCCCCCATCCGGCCAGGGACGTCAATCATGACAAATTACTCGCTGTTTCTTTTTTATCCATTTTGTGGAACATTTTGCCAAAAGAGAGGCTCAAACCATGAGGCTCATTTCACGTTGGAACTTGGGATGGAACACGTCACAGGCCAGAGGGGCGCAGAGCCTGCTCAAGGGCGTCTCACATACCCCTGCCCACCGACCATTCACTGACCCCTCCCCAGGGCTTTCTGGCTCCTCGGCCTTCATGCGCCCATCTCCCACGCCTGGCATGCCCTTCGATCCAGCCTCCCCTCTACATCCACTGAGGCTCCCTTCTAAGACCTGCCCTCACCACAATGATCCCCTTCTTAGAGCACTTGCCTGAGCACTACGGATTCCCAGGCACCGCGCACCTTTGACCCGTAATAAACACACTTGGTTTTGTACATGCCTCAACTCCCCAGCGAGTCTGTAAAATCTGAAAGGAGGAACGGGATCATATTTCCCTTTATATTAGCTGATCATGTGCTGAGTGCTGGGCATGAGAAGAAAAGGCCCCAAACCCTTGCTGTTCTAGGGAGAGGACGCAACACAGCGAGGCACGCACCTGGCACGTGGAGAGTAGACAGAAGTTGACTATTGGGGGAGAAGGCACAGATGAGCAGGTTGGGGGAGGGGAAAGGCCCCCTCTAGAAGGGGGCCCTTGAATGGAGTCTTGGAAGAGACCAGGGGTTCTAGGACGGAGGGCATTCTAGGCATCGGGGACCACCAGGGCAGAGGTGTGGAGGTGGGACATCAACTAGGCCACTGATTCTTTGTTGTGGAGTGTGTGGAGAAGAAAAAGGTGGAAGACCCTGGAAGAGCAGGGAGAGGCCAAGTGGTAAAGAACTTACCCAACTGCGGCCTGACTACCACGGCATGCGGATCCCACCCTGTGGTGGAGACAAAAAAAAAACGTAGAAAAACGTCCACACAGATGATTCCACGCACCATCAGCACACGGAATGTGTGCACTCATAGACGAACAAAACCGGTAGGCCTGGAGGATGAACAGCTCATCCAAACGGCAGCCCTGAGTGAAGCAAGGCTGGCCAGTGAGGCCAGCTCCCTGAAGTCGGAGATGGAGCCACGTCTTTCTGGAGTGGCCGCGGTGAAGGGAGCGCCATGAAGCGGGGTAGGTTTCACAATCGAAACTAATCTAGTCAACAAGCTTGTATGCCTACCAAGAGGAGTGAATGACAGGCTCAAGACAGTGCAACTGCCACTTGCAGGAAAACGTCACACCGCCACCATCATCAGTGCCTATGCTCCCACCACGAGGAACCCTGATGAGGTCAAAGAAAAATTTTAGGAAGGCCTGGAGACCCTTATCATCAACGTGCCAAGAGAGATCAAGCTTACGATCCTGGGTGACTTTAACGCTAGGGTAGGCTCAGACTACCAGACACGTCAGGGAGTCCTAGGAAGGAATGGAGTAGGAAACAGCAACAGCAATGGTCACTCACTACTGAAGACTTGTTGTCTCATGACCTTGTCATCACCAACACTGTCTTCTGTTTACCTAAATGCAATAAAACTGTGTATGCGCCCTTGCAGCAAACATTGGCATTTAATAGACGATGTGATTGTAATGGGAAGAGATAGACAGGATGCGAGAGTGAAGAAAGCGACGTGTGGCGTAGAGTGCTGGACTGACGATAGACTTATCCTCTCCAAGCTAAACATTCACATTCAACAAAAGCGGTGCCCCCAAGGCAGGATGACTGCCAGAAGAATTAATGTCAACGCTAATGGCATCAAGGTCAGCTACCGCGCTGATGGTCAGTTTTTCACTTGCAGAGGCTACAAGCCAAGACCAAAGTGGAGGGAGTGTTGGTGCATGATTTTCTGTTTGCAGATGGTTGTGCACTTGATGCAGCCTCTGAAGCTGAGATGCCACAAAGTATGGATCGATTCTCTGCTGCTTGTGCTAATTTTGGCCTAACAATCACCACCAAGAAAACAGTAGGTGCTCCATCAGCCACCACACCATCAGTTACAGCAAATGGAGAAATGCTGAATGCTGTGGATAAGTTCACTTATCTTGGTAGTGTCCTTTCCAGGGATGAGCATATTGATAATGAGGTTAAGGCACACATTGCCAGAACCAGCTTAGTGTTTGGGAGACTCCAAAGGAAAAGTGTGGGAGAGAAGAGGTATTAGAATGATCACCAAACTGAAGGTCTACAGAGCCGTGTGCTGACCTCCTTCTTGCATGCCTGTGAAAGCTGGACAGTCTGTCTACCAGTGCCATGCCATGAAATGGAATCGCTTCCATCTGAATTGTCTGAGGAAGACTCTGAAGATCACCTGGCAGACTAAGGTGCCAGACACCGAGGTCCTTTCTCAAACTGAACCGCCAAGCATTCAAACTCTACTGTAGAGAGCGTGACTCCAGGGGGCCGGCCACGTTGTTCAAATGCCAAACATATGCTCGCCAAAAAGACTATTTTAGGGAGAATTCTCATAAGGCAAGCGTTCACATGGTGCTCAGAAAAAGTGATATAAGGACACTCTCAGGGTCTCTCTTAAGAACTCTGGAATTGATTGTGTGACATGGGAGACACTGGCACAGGACCACCCACCATGGTGCGCCCACATCAGAGAAGGTGCTGCGCTCTGTGAGCAAAGCAGAATGGTAGTAGCTCAAAAGAAATGTGAGATGCGCAAACTTAGAGTCATCCCCACCCCAAATGTTCACATGGACCATTTGTGCCTGGCTCGTGGTAGAGCATTCTGAGCTCCTATTGGTCTGTCCAGCCACAGTCAGACACACTGTTATCTGACTCTAGCATAGTGAGGTCATTTGGTCTCTTCGAGAATGAAGGACAACAGCCAACCACGGCTGAACCCTCCCCTAAGTGTGAATTCTCAGAATGCAGGAATTCTATTGCCTTTCTGTGTGCACCCCTAGCATGTGGTCCAGTGCTTGGCACATGGCAAGCATTTGCTAAATGGTCACCCGTCCATCCATCCATCCGTCTGTCCGTCCGTCCATCCATCCATCCGTCTGTCCGTCCATCCATCCATCCACCCATCCATCTGTCTGTCCATCCATTCATCCATCCGTTCGTCCGTCTGTCCGTCCATCCATCCATCCATCCATCCATCCACCCATCCACCTATCCGTCCGTCCGTCCATCCATCCATCCATCCGTCCGTCTGTCCGTCCATCCATCCATCCATCTAGTGACCCACGGCAACAAGAAAGACACATTAAAAATCCAAGAAGAGAAGCCAGTTAAGCCTGAGCTGGGAGGCTAACAGAACATCTCTGAAATGTGGTGTAATGAGACTCATGACCAGAATGTGTCTAAAGAGAATAAGTGAAGGGTAGAATAAGTGGCAATGTATAGTAAGAAAGGATGTGTACCTATGGGATGAACTTCATGAACCGGAGAGGGCAACACAGCAGAAAGCTTCTGTGTCACTCAGTAAGTCAACAAACATTCTGTTTACCTAAATGCAATAAAACTTTGTGTATGCGCTGTCACAGCAAACATTGGCATTTAATAGATGATGTGATTGTTAACGGGAAGAGACAGACAGGATGCGAGAGTGAAGAAAGCGACATGTGGCGTAGAGTGCTGGACTGACCATAGACTTATCCTCTCCAAGCTAAACATTCACATTCAACAAAAGTGGTGCCCCCAAGGCAGGATGACTGCATTGGCAGCCCTAGGAAAGGCAAAGCCTCAGAGGACTCACCTTCTCATGGCAGGGGGGTGGGGAGCCACAACATGTCAATAACCAGGCACATCCAGGCTACACACCCAAGAAATGAAGGTGCCACGTCAGAGGCAGGTGGGAGCAGCTGGGGGACTGGGAAAGGTCTCCTGGAAAAGAAGCGAGCTGAGCCAAGCCTTGAATGCAGGGTAGAGCAGAAGCCGTGTTGTTAGCAGAAAGGATTACGGACCGCCCAGCCAGAAAGAGGAAAGGAAAGTAGGGGGGCTGGGCAACAGACCCCAAACCGCAGAGAGGTGGGACGTGGCAGTGATGGGGAGCTCACTTCGCTGGAAAGCACACTTTGGCAGAGTCACTAAGAGTTTGAGAGCTCCACTCAAGGGATGGCAGCGATAAGGGAGAGCATGCCAGGCATCTGGAACAGCTTGAGCAAAAGCCTCAAAGCGGGACATGGCATGTCAAGGAGGGTGAACACTTGGCCAGTTAAAGGGAGTAACATTTCCCCAGCTCAGAAAGGGAGCCAGGGGCCTGATGCTAAAGGCTAGCTACCTTTGTAGTGACATCAATATCAATGCATTTCACTACTAAGTATCATTATGCTAAATAGTCCCAATAACTCAGCCAATTTGTTTCTGCTTGAGTTTATGGACATTATTTCCACACAGAAATACCATGTGACCAGCCCCCTCATTGGTCCAGTTCTCCCATCACGGGTGGTGGAGAACGGCCCTTTTCCTTTTTTTGCTTTTTAGGGTTTTGTTTTTTTTTGGTTAGGCAATGGGGTTAAATGACTTGCCCAGGGTCACACAGCTAGTAAGTGTTATGTGTCTGAGGTCAGATTTGCACTCAGGTACTCCTGAATCCAGGGCCAGTCCTCTATCCACTGTGCCACCTAGCTGCCCCAAGTGGCCCCCATGAACCGGGCTGGCATGTCTCCACTCCCTGTGTCTTGTGCACCAGCAGCCTCTCCTCCGATGTTAGAGGCAGGTGACACAAGATGTAGGGGAAAGGGCCCCCTGAGTCCTCTCTGCGTCTGGCCGAGACCCCTCCACCAATGAGTCGGGCTTCCGGGCTGCCCCGGCCTTCTCCTCTTTTTTGTTTTCTGCCAGGGAAGAAGGGCCGATGCGTCTTCGGTGGCATGATGATGTACCACTCAGCCGCGTGGTCTCCTGAACCGTGCGTCACCTGTCTCTGCTCCAACGGGAAAGTGGTCTGTGACGAGGCCACGTGTCCGCCTCGGCAGTGCCCACGGACCTTTACGCCCGAAGGCGAATGCTGCCCCGTCTGCTCGGATACTGGTACGGAAATGAGGCTACAAGGGTCTCCCAGTGTAGCAGGATCAGAAAAATTCACTTCAGTTTTAAGTCAAATCATAAATAACTGGTCAAAAGTTCCCAGCACACAGACATGCACCAAAACACATATGGAAAAGCTTACAATCAGGAGATGGGAACGAGGGATGTTGGCTTTAAATATCCAGCAATTTGTGAGCGACTAAGCGTGGGTCAGGGACTTACATTGCACATGTCAGGGTCCCAAGGCATACACTCAGTAATACAATATGTGTCATAGCATCAAATCCATTTCTGAGACGCTCAGAAGCCCGATATATGAGGCCGCCTGCCCGTGCTCCTTCCCGACTCCCAAAGCCTGGAGGGCAGAGCCAATCAACAAGCATTTTATCAAGTGCCTCCTCTGCGCCCGGACCTGTGCTGGGCATGGGGGTGCAATGCCACTAAGGAGACAGTCTTTGCCCTCAAGAAGGTCCCTGTATAGGAAGAGGCCTTGTGTGGCATCAAGGGCATACAGAATAAGGGCTGGGCACCAGGCAGGGCACAGCAGTGGCTCTCCACAGACAGAGAAGGCTGCAGCAGGCACGGGCTCCTCTGGCTGACGCTGGCTCTTCCTTCTCTCCCCAGTTTGTAGCTGAAGCAGCTACAGAAAGGGGTTAGTACAGGGAGCCCCCAGAATTGACTGAGCAGGGCAGGAAGGGCCCAGGTCAGACATATTCTTTGGGAATAGAGACTTGGTGGCTTGTTGGATGATGGACTGGAAAGGGGAGGGGGTGGCAGGGAGATGCATCAGGGACCACTGGTGCGGGGCTACGGGAGCCCCAAGACTCCCTCCAGCTCTAGATGCCCTTTAGAAGGGGTATTCAGCTAGCACATGTGGTTAGCAGGACTCCAGGTGAGTGAGCAGGAAGTGAAGCAGGTATGTGGAGGCAGCTAAGTGAGTACAGAGAAGGCAGTGGATTCAGGAGGTGCTGTGGAGGTACAGCAGACAAGCCCCAGCAGCTGGTGCAGTGGAGGTAGGACGGATGAGCCCCGGCAGCTGGTGGTGTAGAGGTACAGTGGATGAGCCTCGGCAGCTGGTCAAGGGTGGCCCTGTGACTGTGAAGGTGGGGGACAGGTGGGCCTCTGACAGAAGCAGGGATGTTAGGAGGAAGGCTGGATTTCAGGGCTTCAATTCTGGACTTGCTGAATTTGAGATGCCTCAATGTAGGACTGGCCTTGGAGTCACCTGCAAAGAAGTGTTTACTAAAGCTACCAAAGCCGTTAAGGTCACCCCAAGGAGGTGTAGATTAAGAAGAAAAGAGGCTGAGGCACAGCCTGGGGCACACCCAGTTAGAAGGGGCTATAGGTGGATTGGTCAGAGAAGTATGATGAGAAACCAGAGAGAGCCACGTCATGGAAGCCCAGAAAGGAGAAGGGGGTCAGCAGGGTCAAAGGCTACAGAGAGGTCAAGGAGACTGATGATGGAGGAAAGGCCAGTAGACATGGCAGCTGCGAGCTCACCGATAACTGAGGAGGCGGAGTTAGAGGCAAGAAGCAGGGGGCGTGGCAGAAGGGGGGACTAAGAAGAGAATGAGGGAGCACCAGCTAGAGGCCTGCTTTTCCTGGGGTCCTCTGGGTGCCGGAAGAAGGGCGCTTGTGTGTCCAGAAGCATCTTGGTCAGCAGTGACGCTGGACCACTACAGCACCATTCTTCAAAAAGGAAGCATTAACCTGTGCTGAGTGCAGTCCCCTTGAGGGCGTGGACTGTCCCTCCCCATTAGGGTCCCCCCAGCACTAAGAACAGTGATTAGCACACAGGAGGCACTTCATACAATTCTGCTGTTGAATGAGGTAGGAATTAGGAGTATTGATGACTAGAAAAGCGATGGAGTTACGCTTTGCCTGGCAATTCTAATTCTCTACTCTGTCATCTACCTCCCCCAAATCTGGCCTGTACAGAGACTCAACTATGGTCTATTTTGATGTGTACACATATGTACTTTTTTCAAAGAGCTCTCTTTTAGGAGTATGGCCTATATTCAGAAACAGCCTGTACAGTCAGGCCAATGCAATAGTTAAGAAAGATTTTCTGCCTTGAAGAAAGACATTAGAAGTGTGGGATGGCTTAGGATCAGGGGTAGGGAACCTGCAGCCTGGAGGCCACATGTGGCCCTCAAGGTCCTCAGGTGGGGCCCTTTGACTGATCCCCTTAATAAGAGAATTTGTGCTGTGAAACTTGGACTCAGTCAAAAGGCCACATGTGGCCTCCAGGCTGCAGGCTCCCCACTCCTGGTTTAAGACCATGGTGAGAGATGTAAAATCTGTGTACTCTAAACACTGGTGAGGCCAATGGGCACTGCTGGAGGAGATTTTCAGCAGGACAGAGGAAAGTGAACAAAAATGAGAAATAATCTGGATGTTAAATTCATTGTCATCAGCTGTTTTGCCTTTTTTTTTGCCAAGCCCTACAGTAATGCCCCTCAGCTGTATGTAGCCCCCCTGTACCTTGAGAGGAGAGCCGCATGGCACCATCCCCTTACATCTGTTCAATGACCTTGCCCGCTGTGCTGCTGGAAGGAGCTGCATTACTCCCTCTTCAGACAGCACAGCATGGGTAAAAAGGGCACATTCTCCAAAGCCTTACACATCGGGTTACCTCAGGAAGGATATCAGAGATGTCCAATCATCATTGGCAAAATTCTCTGCGCCAGGTTTCCAGACCTAGTTTGTCTTTCGATGGCCTTGTGACGCCTGGGGGGGTAACGGTTCCTGATGCTCTTGCTCCATTTTTCCTTTTCTCCTCATTTTCCTGATGGTTTCTCACCTCTACCTTCTCTGCCTGTATTTTCCTAACCAGTCTCCTATTCAGTATTTAATAGGATTTCCTTAGGTGACAGCACGGAATTTTCTGGCGATTCTTTAGCCCAAAGTGAACGCAGGGATCCACAGCAAAAGGCATTGCCACAGACACCGGTGGGAACGGATCGGCTGCTGCGCAGGAAGGAGCACGAGTCTGAGGAAGAAGACTCTGGGGAAAAGGATGAAGAGAAGGGAGAGAGGAGGAAAACCAAGGAGGGAAGACACCGCCAGCAGACTTATTCTGAGGGGATGGTGCCAGAAAAATACAAAAAGCAACCTCATGAAGCAGAGGACTGCTGGACTGAAGAGAGAAAGGAGGCACGTCCACAACTGAACCAAGAAAACGAGGAGGAGGAGGAGGAAGATGAAGATGAAGAAGACAGCTGCTTCCCACCACCTGCTCCCGGTGCACAGATCCCTCCTCTGCCCAGTGCGTGCTCCATCTCGGGCCACAGGATAAGCTGCATAAATGCCAAGCTTACCAAAATACCCAACATCATAGCCCCAGAGTTAAGGAGCTTGGAGCTTATTGGTAAGGGATGTTTGCTGCCATTCTGTTTTGTCTTATGAAAGTAAAAGCATCACTATTATTGCAATGCTATTTTACTACTGATAAAATTCACAATCTAAGAAACAGATTAAAATAATTTTGTGAAGAAAACATTAAAAGTTACCCTAGTTAACTTTCTTAAAGTTAACTATCTGCTACGTAGCTAATGCTTTAGAAAAGACTTGAGGATCCTCAACCATGTGGATTTTTAAAGTTTTAGAGAGAAAAAAAAAGTTTTCCTCTAAAGCTGGTTGTAAAGTGGTTTTGCTTAAAGCAAGTACTGCTCTCCAATTTGGAATCTTAATGATGAAACTGCCCCCCGGTCCAAGATGAAAATGTGTGGGGATGATGGCCGGGGAGGAGCTAGCTGAGTGGCCCCTTCTGGAAACCAGCAGCTCTTTCCTGGGAGTTACATGAGCTCCACGCTCGTGCCCAAGTACAGGACCACCAAGCTACCATCACTGTTAGTGCTGGGGATTCACAGAAAGGCAAACACCTGCCTTCAGGGAGCTTACAGTCTAAAGGGAGAAATAATGCACAACTATGTACAAAAAGGGCAAAACCTAGGGAAAGCTGGAGTAGTCTCCAAAGAAGGCAAGAGCATCAAAAAGGCTCATCAAAGGCTTCTTTTTTCCCCCCAATTTAAAAAAAACATTTTTACTTAAAGTTTTGAGTTCTAAATTCTATCACTACCTCGCTCCCTCCCCTCGCCATTCCCCCAGACATATGCAATTATGTAAAACGACTCCATATTAGTCACTTTGTACAAAAAGACTCGAATAAAAGAAAAAAATGAAAGAAAGAAAGCGAAAACTAGCCTGCTCAGTCTGTGTTCAGACAATATCAGTTCTTTCTCTGGAGGCAGATCGTCTGCTTCCTCATTAGCTCTTTGGAATTGTCTTGCATCATCATATGGCTGAGAAGAGCTGACTCAACCACAGTTGATAACTGTTACAATGTTGCTGTTACTGTGTACAATGTTCTTCTGGTTCTGCTCATTTCACTCTGCATCAGTTCAGGTTAAGTCTTTCAGGTTGCTCTGAAATCATTCTGCTTGTCATTTCTTACAGCACAATAGTATTCCATCACAATCATATACCACCACTTGTTCAGCCAATTCCCCAATTGATGGGCATCCCCTAGACATCCAATTCTTAGCCTCAGTGAAAGCTTCTTGCAGAAGGCGGGGAACAGTGGAGACCTGCAGGAGGCCAGGGGAGCCAGGAAGCAGAGATGAGAAGAGAGACAGTTCCAGGAATAGGAGGCAGTCAGGAGATGAGGTGGTATGTGCCAAGAACAGCCAGAAAGCCAGTGTCACGGGGACAGAGAATCCTTGGATAGGGGTGCAAAAGTACAAAGGCTATAGCAGAAGGAGACTGGAAAGGCAGACTCCAATTTTGATCTCCTCCTCCTTGAGTGAAGGAAACCCTTATGTAAAACTTCAGACTTTAAAAAAAAAAAGATAAACCAGGGGAGGCTATGTCACCAAAAGGTTATTTCATTTACAAAAATGTTTAGCCTAAAAACATTAAGCCCCATCCAAAGTATCCTTTAAAGATGCTTAAACCTCTGACAAAGACGCCGGGCCATGTAGTCACGGTCCTAGATGTTCACTGAAGATCAGTACAAAGGTGGGCAGAGGGCTGGGGATCTGAAGGAAGTCACAGCACCTGGACCAATGATGCTGGAGCCAGGTCCATGCTAAGGTCTCTTCTCTCAGTCCTGAGCCTCCATGACCATCTCTCCTCAGTTCTCTCAGGAATGGCATGGTGGTTGGTGGCCAGAGTGCTGGCCTCCAAGTCAGGGAGACTGGGCTCCCCCCACCCCAGCTACCCCTGACATACACTGGTGGGCAGGAGGTCCCAGGGCCTCTCAATGACCACCCCCATCCCCCACTCCTAAGATGTAGACAGATCATTTTAAAAATCCTCTCCTAGGGAATTCCATCAGCTGCATCCCTGACAAAGCATTCCATGGAACACCTAATTTGGAAAGGCTTGACCTTCGCAAAAACACCATCACCTCTTCTAGGATCAGTCCCAAAGCATTCAAGGTAAGAGCATCATGCCAGCCCTTGCACTTCTCACCTGGTCTGAACTGGACTACAGGAAGGAGAATGGACCCAGAAAAGAAAGGTTGTCCCTTTAAAATATTCCTTCTACTTGGGCCTCCCTGCCTCAGGCCTCCACCCAGAGGTCAATGAATGGGGAGACCTCTGTTAAGCCCCTACTATGTGTGAATGGAAAAACAGAGACAGCCTGTGGGGGAGGGGAATGGGACTAAGGCAGAAGGCTGAGCCGCAGGCGAGGACATGGTTGGGGGAACAGGGTCACCCTCAGTCGACAGAGCCTCCCTCCAGGACCACCCTGCCTTCATTCTCCTAACATTCTTGTGTATCTACTGATGAGACGCAGTGTGGGGTAATGGACAGAATCAGCCTTGGCTCCAGCTCCTGACTCTGACACGAGGGGGCGGGGGGAAGGGTGCGACCTTCAGTGTTCTAGGCAGCTCGTGGAGGCTTATCAGTTGTAGAGAAGGGGCAGCACCGGTACAGGACTTTCCTTACCTTACTCCTTCCATTCACTTATACCAATGAAATGACAGCTACAGTGCCCGTGCATGCACCCTCATATGTAGCATGCGTGTATGAATACATGTGGGTATGTGTGTGTAGGCATGCTTATATTCACACCTCAATCTGTCCTCATCTCCCCCATTACAATGTAAGCTTCTTGCAAGTAAAGGGTAATTCATCCCCTGGCAGTGAAGGGCCTCTAGATTGTAAAGAGGCAGGAAGATCTGAGTTCAAATCCAGCCTCAGACACTTAAAGACTGTGAGACCCTGGGCAAGTTACTAACTCTGCCTGCCTCAGTTCCCTCATCCATGAAATGGGGATATTCATAGCCCCTGCCTCTGGGGGTTGCTGTGAGGATGATATTTGTAAAGGGCTAAAGTGCACTGTTGATATTTGCCATTATCTTTCTAGCCACCTCATTCTCTTCTTGCTTCCCTTCATGGAAACGTCTCTGCAGTCAAACTCCCAGTAGGTACTGAATGTTGGTGGAAGGAGTTGATGTGATTTCTAATTAAAGCATCAAACAAAATTCATGTTTAGAAGTACGTGGTAAATGAAAAAGAAAATAATTTCAAGATTTCTTCTTTTCAGCCCCTGAAGAAGTTAACCCACTTGTACCTGGACGGCAACAGCCTGGACCGATTCCCTGACGCACTGCCCTCTCGACTACAGGAACTAAAAATCAATGAGAACAATCTTCAGTCAATTGATGAAGATAGCCTGGCAGGTGCGTGTCTGACCCGCCCCTCCAGTGCCCTGCCCGGGGGCGGGTCCAGCCTCCCTGACCCTTTCTTTCCAGGTCCTTCTGTCTCTCTGATGGGATGAAGCCCTGTCCTTCACCAGGGCCTCTTCCTCCTCCAACGTCCAGTGCCTTTATTCCCCTCAGGCTCGGGCCTGAGTTCCTCTTCTCCCTGGCCTCTAACTCAAACTGTGGGGTCGACAAGGAAAGCAAAGTGTGCGGCACTGACCTCTCCTCGGTGCCAGCCCCGCCATTCCCAGGCTGCTGGCCACACCTGCTTAGACGGCCACTGTCCTCTCAGATTCGACATGCTACAAAGCCAACAGGGCCATTTATGCTAATGGTACCACCTGGCCTAAAACCTCGGGGTCATTTTCAACTCCCCCATTTCCCTGGTACCCACAGGCACCAGGTGCCTGAGCCCCATTGATCCTCTCCTCCTTCTGTCTAGTCTGAGAGGAAGCGGGGGCCCTCAACAGCTAACACATTTAGGGTTGTGATGCTTTCCTTACTTCTAGGGCCTGGCTCTGGCCCTCGTCCACTCTCGCTTTGCTGGCAACTTCTTCTCAGCCTATGGACATGCCCAGGGCTCCATCGGCCTAAGAACATGTGTGCGCAGGCCTTCAAGTTACTGCCCAGCTCTCTTCTCCTGCCTTGCCAAACTGGCATCAGGTCCAGTCTATGTTCTCATCACATGTCCCTGGCAATTTGGCTTTGGTCCCCACGGCTGTGATGAAGGCTGCCCAACTAATGGGCATCAGATTCCCACATCCAAGAGGCCCTTCACCACCCTCCAAGTGGCACAGGAGCCCGGGCACTCCCTTGGTTCCTGTCCCCTCTCCTGGCTCCCCCTCTTCCTCTCCTCCCTGAAATGTGGGCCTCCCCCGAGGCTCTGTCCTTGGCCTGGTTCTCTTCTCTCTGCACATTCTCTCCCTGAGCGAGTCCACCGCTCAGGCCAACTCAACAGCCATTTCTCCACACACACGATGATCAAAGTTCTATTCTCAGCCTCTTCCCAGGACTCTGGTCTGGCATTTCTGATCCCCTGCTAGAGTCAGCCAAGTCACTCACTTGTTACAAATCATCCCAGGCTCTCTGCTCCTGCATGAAGCTCCAGACCCTCAGAGGAGCCTCATGGCACCTTCCAACCCCCTTTCCAGGAACTCTTCTCAGACAAACCCTTGGCATCTGCTAACTCACGCTTACTGTCACCCAAACGTCCATCGTGCTTTGCTTCGTACCCTCCTCCCATCTCAAATGACTCCTTCACCCCAACTTCACTCATCTGCCTGAGCAAACTCAGCCCATCCTCCAAGCTCTAGCTCTTCAAAAGGACTACCCCAGCCTGGCATCGCCTTTTGTGAACAGCTAGAATGCATTTATCATCCCACAGAGGTGGAAAGGATGAGGATGTCTGGTGGGCAGAAACCAGCTTTGTTGGAGTAAAGCTTGTGTGGATAAAGGTGGATTTGGACGGTGGAAGGCCTTAAATTCTTAGGGAAAGGAGCTGGAACTTTTCTCAGGGAGTAATGGGGGAGGCCCTAGGAGATTCTGGAGCAAAAGAGCGATGTGATAAGGTTTTAGCCTAAGGAAGGCTACCTCAGTATGAAAGAGATCAGAGTAGGAAAAAAATAGACCCAGAAGCATCTGAAAGGCAGCTAATGTCATAGTGCAGGTAGAAGGTAAAGAGGTGGTAATGGGGAGGTCAGTGTAGTGACAGAGGGCAGTGAGGAAGAGGGAAGGGTCGAAGGCAATACCCAAGAGAACTCGGAGCTGTTAGCTGTCACTGGCTACAGTTGGTGTGATCCCTGCTATCATCTCTGCAAGCTCTCATTGGTTGCTCTCATTTGCTATGGGATAGAATATGGACCCCCAAACTTCCAAACCAACCAAGAGACATTAGTGAAGGGCCTACTGTGTATGAAGCACTGTTGTAGACACCAAGGGACACCAAGACCACACAGGAAATGGCCCCTGACCTTAGAACCATGCAAATGATGGGAGCACGGGCCTCTGTGGAAGACAGAGCCTGATGCTGCCGTCAGAAAAACGCATGAGCTTTGGAGCCAAGATGATGCGACATGCGCCGGGGGCCCGAGGTCTTTGCGGCCCCTTCGTGATTCTCAGCCACATCCTGGATTGCTGAGGATTGTCCAAACAATAGACAGCCACTCTCCTCTCAGGGGCAGAGCCCGACTTCCTGAAAGGACAGAGCTTTGCTGAGGACACATCCACTTTCTACACGGTTTTTCGAAAGAAGGATGTTGTTGGAATTTGCCCTTTGCCCACTTTCAGATTTTCAGCTGCTCTGCAGAAAGCGAGCCAAGGATGACCCAGGGCTCCTCTGTCCGCAGATCTGACTCCTCAGAGAGCACGTGCACGAGGACAGACACTGCAGCGTCTACTTCTTGCCCTCTCCACGAGGCTAGCAAGCCTCCAGAGGAATAGAAGGGCCCTTGAGAATCCTAATTGTATAGAACGAGGAGAAGTCAATCCTTAAGTGAAAAGCTACTGGGCTCTTTCCCACATCCCCAGATTCTTCTGAGGAGCAGACGACTTCTGGCCAAATACAAGAGTCATAATGAGAGTCGCCAAATCTGGAGCTTACGTTGTTCTGGAAATGCTGAATTTCCAGATGGACTCCAGGAGACAGAAAGGACGCTTGAATAAACACTGCTGATTGTCTTTGTTCCACTAAAAAGATTCCAGGTAAAATGAAACCTTCCCATTCAGGCTATCTGGGTAAATGGAAACTCTAACAAGATTGCGACTGCTCGGTTACATGGTGGTTGTTTATTTAAGACTGCTGAATAAATGAGATGCAGCTGAAAGAAAATATTTGTGGAAAGCACAGCCGAGAACCCAACCGTGGATCCAGAGAAGCTGCTGGGAGAATCTAGGGATGGCGGCCAGGGAGAGAGGGAGGAGGGCAGAAGACCCAACACCCCGTGGAAACCTGAGAGCACCACATAGAAAGCTAACTAACCATTGTGACCGTGGCAACTACTGACATTACAGTGACTGGTGGTTCCAAGCATCCTTACCCTTCAAGGGAAGGAGCAAGAGCCAGGTGCTGGGACTGTCCCTGAAGCCTGAAGCATGGGCCGGGACTCCGAATCCCTCATGTGCTGGGACAGCCTTTGAGAAGCTGACACAATGGAAGGTCAGGGATTCTGCTCACACTAGGCCTCTCTACAAGGGCCTCTTCTGCCAAAGAAACCCCACATGGCTCGCACTCTCAGATGTCTGTCACTGTGAGGAGGAGCCTCTGACCTGACCTGGGCAGGCCTGGACCACTGCAGAGTCCAGCCTCCCCCCCTCCTGGAGGCCCCTCATCTGGACCCTCCGTCAGGGCCACTGTGGTCTCCTATCACTAAGAAGACTGCAAGCACCAGCCCTGCCTCTACTGCCTCAGCCCCCAAACTACATCCCTGTCCACAGCCTGTGATACAAGCATCTCAGTGCTTAGAGGGCACCTCTTTACTCTGTGCACCTGAGCCTGCCCCATCCCCCATCCCTTGGCCCCCTCCTCCCCTCTGACCTTGCCCCCACCTTGGTGCAGACCCCCTTCCTCCTATCCCCTGGCCCCCTCCTTCCCTCTGACCCTGCCACCACCCCCAGGTACAGACCCCCTTCCTCCTATCCCCTGGCCCCCTCCTCCCCTCTGACCCTGCCCCTACCCTGGTGCAGACCTTCACCTCACTCACCAGACCTCCCTGGACTATTGTCATAGCCTCCTGGGGCGGGGGGGGGGGTCGTCTGCCTGCCTCCAGTTTCTTCAGTCCGTCCCTCATTCAGCCTCCAAAGTGACCATACTGAGAAAACCAATGCCGATGGCTTCCAGGTTCACATACGACATTCTGTTTGGATGCTTAGAGCACCTTAAGGCTTGGTCTCCTCCCACCTTTCCAGTCTTCTCAACAGCTTAATGCTCTGATTCAGTGACACTGGCCTTCTGCTGTCCCTCCCACATGACACTCCCCCCCGACCCCAGGCTGTCTCCCGGGGCCTGGACTTCTGTCCTTCCTCATCTCTGGCTCTCTGCTAAGATCCACCTTTGGCAGGAAGTCTTTCCAGGATACTCCCCTCCTGCCTACTGCCTGAGGCCTGAACCCCTCTCTTTCCTTGTAGGTACATGTGGCTGCCCCCATTAGAAGGGGAGCTCCTGGAGGTCCCCACAGACATCATTTTTTCCTTTCTTGGTGTACCCCTAGCACTTAGCCCAGGGCCTGGCAGTGCCTCCCATATGCCGAGGGCTGGGCCAAGTGCTGGGGATACAGACAGTCCCTGCCCTCAGGGAGCTTACAGTCTAGAGGGGGGCCACAAGCTGTGTACAAACGAGCCCAAGACAGATAAAGGGGAAATAACTGACAGAGGGCAGGCCCTAGAATTAAGAGGGTCAGAGAAGGTAGCAAAGGAGGTCTGCAGTTGGAGTGCAGGAGGGAGAGCCTTCTGGGTGTGAGGGACACCAGAGAAGATGTCTAGAGCTGGGAGGTGGAGTCCCTGGCTCCAGGAGGACATAGGAAGGTGTGAGATGGAGGAGGAGGAGAAAGTGCCTAATGACTGCTCACTGACCATCCCTCCCAGGCTTCCATCCAAAAGCTCTCATTTGGAAAGCCAAGCCTTGTCGCTGAATCACAGCATTTCCGTTTGAAGGGCTTTCTCTGGGGTGACCTAATCCAGTCCACACCAGAAAATAATCCCTTCTCTGACACTCCCAGTCAGTGGTCCCCCAGGCTCTGCTCTGGGGCCTCTGAGGAGGGGGCCCACAACCCAAGGCAGCAGGGCCACTTCTGGCTGCCTTGGATTGTTGGGAAGTTTCTCCTAGCCCTAAGCCTAAAGATGCTTCTCTCCAGATTCTCCCCAGGAGTCCAGGTCTGACAGTGTTCAAATCCCGGAGCACAGCTAACATGTCCTCCCCTCTCCCTGAGCCTTTCCTCTCCAGGCTTCACACGATCTTCCCGAGGCCGCCTCCTATCAGGATACTGATGTCCTTCCTAAATTGTGCTGCCCATTCTGGGTGGCGTCTGCCACCTCCCCATCCCTGGATGCTCAGCCTGTCCTGCTGCGTGCTAAGAGGACACTGATATTCTGGCCTCCAATGGAGACTGGGGCCCAAGAAGAGGCCTAACTCTTTTGCTGCTGAGCCGTGTCTCCACTATGTTAAACCTATAGGTTGGTTACTTTTAAACTCCAAAGTACACCTTTGCATTTCTCCCTCTTAGGTGCTATCTTAGTGGGTACAGGCCAAGGCTTGAGGCCCGTCCAGATTTTTGGAGCCTGACTCTGTCATTCGGTCTGCTACCTATCCAAGTCCAGTAAGCATGCTGCTTTACCCAGTCACTTAAGAAGAGGAACAGTCAAAAAAAACCCCAAAAAACAAAAACAAAAAAACCAAACCAAAACAAAACAAAACAAAAAAGAAGAAGAGGAACAGTCCACACCAACAAGCCAAGCACAGATCCTTGGGGATTTCCCCTGGAGAAGATGGACCTCCTCCCAAGACAATGGCGAACCATTCCTGTCTAGTCTTTGGGTCTAGCCTATACCTCTCCACGGTCTTCGCCCCATCTGCTGGGCTCTGTGCTTCTTGACATTTGGACCGACAGTATGGAGAAAGGCTGAGATGACCTTCATTCCTCCCTCCCCTGTAGGTCACATCAGAAGCCACCGTGTAGAGCTGAACGGGCCTAGAGGGATCTTTGCCAAGAAGACCCTAAATGGGGTCACGGAGAGTCATACACAACCGAACAAAACAGCGAACACCGGAGTACAAGAAAAGAAACTTCACAAGAGCAAGATGGGGAAGGCCTGGTTTGATAGCAGTTGTCTGATAAGGATCTGGGGGTCTGAGTGGACTACAAGTCCAACAGGAGATGGCAGAGGATGGACAGACGAAAAAGCTTGTGTAATGTGGAGCTGCATTAGAGGGGCCGAGATTCCAGGAGTAAGATCACAGGCCCCCCACCACAGGCTGCCCCCATCCCATCTCCTACAGAGTTGTCTCAGTTGTGGCCAAGAGAGCTCATGAAGGTCTCTGATAAGGTGAAGAAGGCCCAGAGCTCAGGAGAGGGATTGGGGCGGGGGGGGGAGCAAGGCTGAGTCCAGGCCAACGTGTCCTTTTGTACAGAGAAGTGGGTGGCCCTGGTGAGAGAGTGAGTCCCCCACTTTGGAGAATGGGAGCAGTGGTTCTGAGAAAGGCTAGATAACTATTGGTCAGGTAGGGACAGATGGAACTAGGCAGCAGCTGAGGCCAACCCACCTCCCACTTTCTGTCCTTCCTCTCTCTCTGCCTTCCACTCACTGGGTCACTCCTGGTGGCCTTTGGGGGGCGGGAGTGACTGTCTGCATCACTTCCAATACACTCGTTCCTGCGGGCTGAGTGGGGGAGGCGAACCAGTCAAGAAAGACCCTTCCTGCTCCAACACCCTGCAGTCACTGAAAAACAGGTTACACTGCACCTGCTAATGGCTCTAATGTCACGTTCCCTAGACTTACAGCAGCTGGTTGTCCTGGAGCTAGAAGGAAACCGGCTCAGCGAATCCAATGTCAGTCCTTCGGCCTTCGCACCTCTCAAGAGCCTGTCTTACTTGCGCCTGGGAAAAAACCAGTTCCGCATCATCCCCCAGGGCCTGCCAGCTTCCATCGAGGTGAGTACCGCGCTCGGCACAGATGTGGGTCAGCGCGCGATGACCCACTGGGGTACACCTGCCAAGCACCTCTGTGCCGGGACGTCAGGTGGTGGACAGCAGGACTCCGTCGTGCAGGGTACTGGCAGTCACTGGCATGAAGACGCTCCCCCGGCACTGCAGAGTACCCAGACCTCCAAGGACCACGAAGGCTGGACAAGCCCTTACACCCCAAGGACTTTTCTGTGCTGGAGGCTCCCACAGTGGCATCTCCTATGACCATGCCGTGATCGTCCTGAAGCGCCTCTCCCCATAAGGATTACGACGGCCTCCAGCTCTCCCAAGGACCAGGCTGGAATGACTCCATCTCAGTTCCAGCCATGGCCCTCCCTCCGCCCTAGAGGCTTCTGAAGACTTCCTGCCTCCAGATCCAGCCCGCCCAGATGCTGCTGCCTATGAACACGTGTGTGCTCTGGCCCGCTCCCTCCTAAGTGCTCGCTGTTCTGAGGGGTGGAAATAATTTCATTTTGGGTTTGGATCTCCGAGCACTAGTATCGTTCCTGGCATACAGTAGGCAGTTAATAATAGACACTTGTTGAGTTAAAGCAAAACTTCCAGAAACTTCAAAGGGAAATTGTTCTTCGGGGGAAAAAAAAAAAAACCAAACAACTCCCGCACAGAGATGAGCGAGAATAATCAGTATCAGTTACCTGATGAAAAAATAGGAGGCATTAAGAGAAAAGTTGGCAGAAATCCAGAAGAAAAACAGACATGAACAACAGAACTGCCTGAAATGGCATGAAATGGAGAACTGCAATTGAAGAAACCAAAGGGAGTCAGAAAAAAAGTTACAAGATGAAATGAAGATGGAGCTAAGAGTGTCTGGGAAACCCAGACACAAGACAAAGCGAACCTCAAACCTTTACAGCAATCTGACCAAAGGGCCCAGTCAGTGCAAACCCTCCATGCCTGCCTGCAAAAATAGACCTAATTACAAAGATAAGGAAGGAAACTACATCTTGCTAAAAGGTACCATAGACAATGAAGCAATACCAACACTAAACATATATGCACCATGTGGGATAGTGCCCAAATTCTTAGAAGAAAAGTTAAGTGAGTTACAGAAAGAAATAGACAGCAAAACTATACTGTTGGGGGACCTCAACTGTCCCCTGTTAGAACTTGATAATCAAAAAATAAACAAGAAAGAAACTAGGGAGGTAAACAGAAGAGACATGACAGAGCTTTGGAGAAAACTGAATGGAAACAGAAAGGAATATACCTTTTTCTCAGCAGCACATGGTACCTACACAAAAATTGACTATGTGTTAAGGCATAAAAACCTCAAAATTAAATATAGAAAAACAGAAATATTAAATGCATCCTTTTTGGATCATAATACCATGAAAATTATATTCAACAAAGGACAGTGGAAAGATTGATTAAAAATTAAATGGAAACTACATAATCTAATCCTAAAGAATAAGTAGGTCAAAGAACAAGTCATAGAAACAATCAATAATTTCATTAAAGAAAATGACAACAATGAGACAACATACCAAAATTTATGGGATGCAGCCAAAGCAGTACTTAGGGGAAATTTTATTTCTCTAAATTCTTACATCAACAAAATAGAAAAAGAACAGATCAGTGAATTGGGCATGCAACTAAAAAAAAAACAGCAGAAAAAAAAAAAACGATTAAAAATCCCCAATTGAGCACCAAATTGGAAATCCTGAAAATCAAAGGTGAGATTGATAAGATTGAAAGTAAACAAACAAACAAAAAAGCAAACAAAAACTATTGAGCTAATAAATAAGTCTAGGAGCTGATTTTATGAAAAAACCAATAAGACAGATAAGCCACTGGTTAATTTGATTTAAAAAAAAAGAAAACCAAATATCCAGTATCAAAAATGAATCACCACCAATGAAGACGAAATTAAAGAAATCATTAGGAAATATTTTGCTCAACTACATGCCAATAAATCTGACAATCTGAGCAAAACTGATGATTATTTAAGAAAATATAAATTACCTACATTAACAGATAGGAAATAGAATGCCTAAATAACTCCATTTTAGAAAAAGAAATTGAACAAGAAAGTTAAGAGTTGCATGCACATCTAATGTTTAGAAAATCCCCCTAAAACAAATGCCAAAAGAAGGGGACCAAGTGAGCTTTGTGTTTTTAATATGACTAGATGCTCCCCCCGCCAGGATTAATTATTACTCACTTTCTGGCAACAGGATGTTAGTCTTGGGCAGAGCCCAGAGGAGGTGGTCTGGGTGGCCATTTGTGCCCTGACACTGGTGTCCTGGAAGGGCCACGAAGAAACCTCTCGCCACCAAAGACATGGGGTCGTTGGCCAAAGTGGGTGCCTGGGGCTGTGTGATCTCATTCTCTTTCCCTCTGAGAGACAGTGAAGGGCCTTAAAGTCATAGGACAAGTTGGTCTTGCATCCCAGAGGTCAGAGGCCATCGTGGGAGCCCCGTGAGCTGGGCCCAGACACAGTGAGGACTTAATTTAGGAATGCCAGTTGGGCAGCTGTGCGGAGTATGACACGGAGCAGGCCACTGATGAGCTACCCTGTAAGAGGGCACCAAATGGATTCACAAGTGAACTCTATTGGTCATTCAGCCAACAAATGGCGGTGATTAAATGTTCGCCATGTACCCAGACCGGTACCAAGCCTAGGGACACAAAGGGAGGCAAAAGACCAGATCCAACATTCAAAGAACATATGCCTCCCAAAATTATAGAAACTTTCTCCAAATATGAAAGGAAAAAAGAGCCTTCTACCTCCTTCTTCTGGGGAGTCCCAAGGGCTCTGATTCCCCAGACTTAGAAAGCAAAAATGGGGCAGAATCCTGATTATGGTGCAAATCTGGCAACTCACCCCTGGCAGAGAGAACACCACCAGAAACACATTCAGAAATATGCCTCGATATGGCCCTGCAGGCCTCTACCAGAAACACACACAAAGCTGCAAGAGACAGTAAGTTATAACAGTAAGACAACCTCTATGTGAATATGATTCCATCAGAAGGTTAAGGACATTCCTTGGATGAAATAGAACCATCACTAATTTTTTTTAAAAGGCCATGTATATGAATAGGAGGATTTTGCTTTAATGTATGATAAAAATATGTATTTGAAATAATAAACTAGCATTATGTGAAATGGGGAATCATTAGTGGCTTTCCCACTAAGAACAGAGTTTGCAAATACTTTTCAACCTCGTTTTAGAAATGGTATCTGTTGAAGAAAGACAAAAAGTCACCAAAGTAGTTCTATTTCCAGATACATGATGGTTTCTTTAGAAAAACCAAGAGAATATTTTTTTAAAGTTAACGGATATAATGAATGCCTTTAACTAAATACTAGAATACATCATACCCACAAAAAGCAATAGTATTTCTATAGATAACTAACACAAAGCAGAAGAAAAGGATGGAAAGACAAATGGCATTTATAATAACATTTATAGACTGGATAGATAAAACATAGAAATAGAGAAAGCATCCATTAAATGTTTACTCTCAGGTAATGTGCTGGGGTACAAACAAGAGCTCTGCTCTCAAGGAGCTTACACTCTACAGGGGAAGGTGGTGAGTGGGAGACGACACCTCTGGGGGAGCTGGAAAAGGGCAAGGGGAGGCAGCCTGGTCTGTAGACAACAGCAGCTTCTCAAGACACTGGCCAGACCTGCATAAAGCAAGTTCAACCAACAGCAATAATTGGTGAGCTTGGCAATGACAGCAACAGGCTGACTCAATTCACAATTCATATCATATCATCCCACTGATGTGGCCACATGACAGCCACTGGCCTGAATGTCAGTGGGACATTTGATAGAAATAGACATGGTGGTTACATTTATGTGAAACAACAAACAATCGAGACCATCCTGGGAAACTGAGGGAGATGAGGCAAGGGGTATTACACAGCCAGCTTACTGACCGCTGACAGGTTTCAGATGAATAATGATCAGAACTAGCCACTACTGTATGAAAAGTAGGAAAAGAGGTCAGCGGGACACAGGGGACAGCAGAGAACCGGAGGCAGACCCCTTGGGAGATTCCACGGTTCCACAAAACACTGGGGAAGGACTTTGCTCTTCAATAACTGTCCCAGCAGCGCTGGCGAGCTGTGTGGGCAAAAATGGGAGTGGCCTCAGCTCACACTAGAGTACAGTCACATGTGTGTGCATGGATAGATAGAGACAGACAATCAACAGTAAACTCCCAGTGGATGGTTAAGCACGACACTTCTTATCCTCTAAGCATTTTGGAAATTAGTGAATAATGACAGCAAAACAGACTAATAGAAGCATGGCAGCTAAGAGAGACAGCAAATGCTCATTTAACACACTGAAAACCTAGAGGGACTAAAGAAGGGGATTGAATGACAGAAAATAAGTTGGATTCTATGACGATAAAGGGCTGTTGGAGAACACTCCACTCCACAGCAGAGAAACAAACGTTCCTTGGAAACATTTCTGATCGACGCACGACATGCGAGGTCTGTGAGGATGAACGTACGGAGAACAACAAACCCCAACAGGCAGGTCTCAGATGGAGAAACACAAATGGCCAATTACCGCTAGAGGAAGCATCTGGATTCCTTAATATGCAGAGAGACAATTGTGAACGTCCACACGGCAGACGCCTCTTAATTTAGAAGAGATAACAAGGAAATGATCTAATTGAATTCTAGGATTTTTGCAAGCACAGGCCCTCAGCAAAGAGAGCTACAGAAAGCTCCCAGCAGGTAACTTGGGGGCTCTCTGGAGAGGACAGGGCTACACCCCAAGGGTAGCGACAGGAGGCACCAATCCTTCTGCACAAAAACATTCCTGACAGCATTGTTCTTAATAATGAGAACTGGGAAAAACCCCCAGTGTATCCAGGCAGACAGAGATACGGTATTAGAACGTAATGAAACACTGCTGTCTTAAGAAATAACAACTGTTACGAGTACAAAGAAATATAAGATGTCTCAAAATTCTAGGGTGGTTTTAAGCTTTTTAAAAAATTTTACTTAAACCTATTTAAAACTTAAGCTTAATAAACACTTCTTGATTGTAAATGATGCAAATTTACAGTTCCATATAAATTAATATTAGTAAGTTTCACATAAATTAATATTAATAAAAAATAAAACTAAACCTTTTCATTTCACAAACATTTGTTGGTTATTAAATTTATAACAAGTTTTTTTTAAAAAAGGAATGGAAAAAGTGATCGCCAACGTTAGCTTCCCCTCCCAAATTAAGAATCCCTGGGAAAAGAATGACAGAGTTCCAGTTGTGAAATTATTATTTCATCTCTGAAGGGTACAAGCCAATGCTTTGTAATGACATTCAAAGAGAGGCAGTAAAAATAGTTCTTATAATTTTGTTATTTAAAATAATCTATTTTAACATTTGGGTGCAGAGCTGCAATGTCACTGGCACAGTTCTCTCCACCGATCCCCGCTGGCAATAACCTGTAGTTGACAATCCTAGTGAGCTGCCCACATCCCACAGCCAGGACTGTGTCCACGGATGTCAGGCTTTTAGACCTCCAGCCCCTCCCCCTTTCAGGCACCCACCTCTCTCCCCCCCTCCTCCCTGGCACGTGGCCTCTCAGCTGGTCAGGTTAGGAGGAGCAAACAGCCAATGAAGCAGGTGGGCTCTCCCATGGCTTGGCTCGGTGTCACTGGTGGAATGAAACCAAGGAGAAGAGATCATTATCTTGGAACTGACAAAGCTCCATCTCTGAGTCCAACTGAACCCTGTCTTGCCTCTAAGCATTCTAACCAAAGGACATGAGGATTTTGGTAGAGATTTCACAATCCAGACAGAAACGTTGTCTTTTGTTCAACAAATGAAATCTTAAGGCGGTCAACACTTGTGGCTACTTTTGCCCAGACATGGATTAGATTTAAAAATATAAACTCCCAAGAGTCACCTCATCTGTTTGGTTATGAAAAATTAAACAAATACAAACGAGTCCAAGTGAAACTGGTTCAGTTCAGGACTCAAGCTGAGTTCCTCTTGGGTGATCGATCAGGAAATAGATTCTTCTCCTGACCCAGTATGACATGACAATTGACACTGTAGCTAACACAAAAGAGATAAAGAAAATGGCAGGGTTTTTCCAATGGTCTTCTTTGCTAATTATAGGAATTATATCTGGAAAATAACCAAATTGAAGAAATCAAAGAAACTTCTTTCAACCACACCAGAAACATCAATGTCATTATATTACATCACAATAAGATCGAAGAAAACAGGATTGATCCTTTGGCGTGGATCCATCATGAGTGAGTACCACCTGACATCCGTTTCTCCCTGCTATTAAACTCATCCAAACAGCAATCCCTCCAGATAATTGGTGGGGCATGTGGGGCAGGGTGGGTACTCTGCAGGCAGAGAGGAGGGGTCGGTAGAAAGAAAATGACGGAAGAGGCTAGAGGAGGGGAGGAGGATGACTGAAAACACACGCTGGAAGAGCCGGCAAAGGCTGGGGTTGGGGGCACAAGGGAAGGGATGAACTCTGATCACAGAGAAACCAGTCTACCTCAGAGAAGGAGGAGATGAGTGGAGATGTGGCTCCTGAGCACCCTTCTTTCTTTCTTTCTTTGCTCCAGAAACCTGGAATCCATTGATCTCTCTTACAACAAGCTCTACCACGTTCCCTCCTACCTCCCCAAGTCTTTACTGCACCTGGTGCTGGTTGGCAATCAAATCGAGCGAGTTCCTGGGTACGTCTTTGGTCACATGAAGCCCGGACTGGAATACTTGTACCTTTCATTTAACCAGCTGAATGACGGCGGTGTCCACCCTGTGTCCTTCCATGGGGCATACCACTCTTTGAGAGAGATCTTTCTGGATTACAATGAATTAAAATCCATACCGTGTGGGATATCACGCATGACCAAGCTGCGCCTTCTGAGACTTAACAACAACAAGATACGGTAACTTTTCCTTCTGTTCTTGATTCTGTCTGTCAGCAAACAGAACAGCTTTGCTCTTTGTAAGTGTCGTCATCTCAGAGCCAACAAACCCTTTAAGAGTTCTATCAAGCCAGGGTGGTGGCCAACGACTGGCGTTCTTAGTGGAGAGGATTGGATTTAGGACAAGAAGGGACCTTAGCGGTACCCAAGTATAATGGCTCCATTTCAGAGATGAGGAGACTGAGGCCAAGGGGTTGTGTGACTTATTCCAGGTAACCCAGGAAACATGTCTTTTCCTGTGCTAATTCACTCCTGAGAGTGGGGTGGGAGGGTCAGCCTTGCCTCCTCTCTTCTAACCTATCACTTCCATCCCAAACCTATTTCCTTAGGCGCCTTCGCCAGGAGCGCATCTGTGGGGCTGAGAACAGAGATTCCCCTCTGGAGCATCTGCACCTTGAAAACAACTATATCAGCCAGAAAGCCATTTCACCTTTTCTATTTCCATGTATTCAATCCCATGCAAGCATCATCCTGGGGCCACAAAAGGTCAAATAGAGTGGTGTGACCCTGCCTCGTGGCGGGTCTGCGCATCTCTTGGTCCACAAGTGGCACGTGGCTCCAGGGATGTCCCTTAAAGATAGTGGAAGATTCTGACTGCTTTTCCAAGTGGTTCTCCAGCCTGCAGACCAGGGGACAGGGCAGCATAAACCCTCAAGTCCTGCAATCCCTGGGCAGCAGCAGCTAAGAGAGGCCCAGCCCCGCCCCTGCCCCTGCCCGGTCCTGCTCACTATTACTTCCCAGGATGCACAGTGATAAGTTTGGAGATCAGCACAGGGAAGTCCAGCAGATCATTACTTGTCCTTGTTACAGCTGTAGGATCAGTGAGGCCAGAAGGACAGAAGGTCAGCCCAGGGCCTCCATTCGTCTCCCAGTTATATGACCAAGGCCCCAGGCCACATTCCTAGACCCTGCATTACAGATGAGCTGCTAACTTGCACTGGAGGGAGGGACTTCCTGCTCCAGGAGTTCCCCACAATGATTAAGTCCTGAGTCTAGAAAGAATAAAAGCAAATCAATTTACAGCTGACCTGATCTGCTCAGTAAATGCTGGCTCTGAATAAGATCTTTTTTTGATGTGTGATGCCTAAAGTGAATGAAAGGCAGAGGGCTGGGCTGGACTTGGAGGAGTCAGCAAGATCCAGGTTCCAATCCCAACATCTGGACACTTGTTCCAGGGCCCCAGGGAACACTGGAGTGGCTGTTCTGCCATGGTGGAGGGAGTTTCCACACTGGAAGTCTCCTATGCTGATAAGAGCACAGATGCTGGTTTGTCCCAAGGACCATGGAGCCCAAAGCCCTGAACAGTAGCACAGTTCAGGATCCGGGCCCCACTGGACCATGGGTACCATTCTCATCTATCAGGTGACATCACTTCACCAGCCACACACAGCGGACACTGGTGAGCCACCAGAAGCCAGTGGACTCTAGGACTTCCTGGCTGGCCTTGTGACCCAGGCCCCCGAGCAGCTCAGTGGTCCCTCCTCAGCCACTGCCTCAAAGACAACACTAAGGACCGATCCTCCTGGACTCTCCCCCAGAAATACAAACAGGGCTGTGACATGGACATTTTCTCCCTGTGGAAAACGATTTGCTCCCATTTCTCCCCCAAAACAAGTGCATCCTTTTGTGTGAGACCTTAATTATACCGTTTACTCATTTTCTGGTTTTTCTGAGTCATTGTGTAAACTGATTGCCCAAACCTGTCATTTGCTCTCAGTTCAGTGTCTTCAGGCATCACGAGGGCATGATGATGGGGTGCCAAGGGCCCCAGGTGAGAAGGCAGAAGCCCGGGGTCCTAGACTTGATTTTGCCCCCAAGTCCAGCAGGCGTGACTTCGGGAAATTCCCTGAGCCCCCTTCCTCCCCCTCCCTCTTCAGGGATCTCCTCTGCTAAAAGGGAGTGCCACGCACCCTTCTCTAAAGGTAGATGTCATGGGGAACTGGAATCAAAAAGGGGCCAGGTCAGTGTTGGAAGATTTGTCACTTCACTGACCTGTGACCTCCACCTGGGAAATCAGCCTGGCTTCCCTGTGTGCTGACGCCAGTTAGCCATTCCCAGAAATGAAAATTACCATTTTCCTGAAAGACGGAGGACAAGCCCTTAGAGAAGGAGGAAGCTTCCTCCCCTGACGTCTCTACTTCTCCCTTTCTGCCAGTCAGTCCAGTCCAGGCAGGCGCCTTCCCTCAGTGGGACAGGCGTCCAGCATCCCTCGCTTCTCAATCTGCCCCAGAAGACAGAGGAGCTGTGTATAGTGTCCCCCTATTTGACATGCTAGGTACCTCGGCCCCAGCCCCATGACGGCTCTGGTGAGCCCCAACCCAACATCACACAGGGAAGTGACAGAGGCAGGATTGGAACCCAGGTCTTCTGACTCTAGAATCAGTGTTCTCATCACTGTGTCCCTTTGATAAGGATCAATCAATCCCAGGATTGTAGGCCTGAAAGGGACCTTAGAGGTCATCTTGACAGCTCCCTCATCTTAGCAGATGAGGAGACTGAGGTCCCGGATGGTTAAGTGACTTTACCCAGGTCTGGTGGCTAAGGTGAACCCCTGGCCTCTGACTTCCAAGTCCAGTGGGTTTTCCCAGTAGTCCTTCTCCTTCTGGGATGATGCCCCAAGTTTTCAAAGCAGTGGTTAACCTCTGGCCCCAGGCAGCGATCCCTGGTCCCTTCCCCCATTCCAAAGTTACTCCCAACGACTACAAACCCCCACACCTTGGAGAGCTGTATTTCACCCGCTTGAGGCTTGATTATGAAGACAAAGGGGGATGGGCCAAATGTGCAAGGTGGGGATTGGTTCTGCTCAGCTGTTCCTACTTCTGAATGGCAAGGGAGTGGAAACCCTCCTAGTAATAATCACTGGCTTCATAGGGGTGTCTAAAGCCTCACCTACCTTATTTCACAAGAGCCTCAATCCTGACATGCAGGTGCTATTTACAGGTGGGGAACGTGGAGCTCAAAGGTGACTGTCCAAGGACACACAGCCACCAGATGGCTCAGGAAAGGACCCAGATCCACTGGTCTGTGACTCCCAAGTCCAGCCTTTCAATCTTGCTGCAGCTGTTCACAAGGAGGGTAGTGACTTAGCTCTTTTTGCTGAGCTAGACATTTGAGTTTTCCTTTAAAAAATAAAAAAGATTACAGGGTATTTAGAATAAAGAAACCCAATTCCAGTTATGGATTTCCAGTCTCTAGGAAGAGACTGTCTGCCTCTCAAACGATCAATTAACCAATAAGCATGTGAGCTGATGGGATGAAATGGGAAGGTCACATCTAAGAGTTTTCCAAGCAAATCTTGAAAGTATTGTGAACAGTGGGACAGCAAGCCCGGCCAAGCTTGATTCTTTATGTCTCACCGTATCCCAAGCAGATCTGAACATGTCTTTAATGGAGCATTTAATTCAACAGGCTGAAACAAATTCAAGACACCAGAAAGTCATAACTGGAATTAGTTGGGTTTTTTTGTTTGTTTGTTTCAAATATCCTGTAATATTCTTTTATTTTTTATTTTTGAAGAAAAACTATTTCTAGCTCGGCAAAAGAGCTAAATTGCTACCGTTCTCAGGAAAAACTGCAGAAATAAGGAGTTGGACGCTCACTCCTTGGAAGCCCTGCCCCGCGACCAAGCTGTGAGCCCCACAGAGAAGAGCTCGTGCGTTAGGAATGTGGAAGGGCAGGCTGTGGTTGAAGCCAAACATCGGTGTGAGCTCCATCCACAGCACATCACGGCATTCTAATGGCATGCTCTGTTTCTAAGCAACAGAAGTTCTGTGGTCAAACAAATGAACACGATACTCATCACGTGGCCCTGCGTCAGGGAGTGAGTGGAAGGGTGGGAGCCCACGGGGCCTGCTCAGAGCTAACACATTTACATGCAGAGGTCTGAAAAGAGGTTTTATCTAATTCTGGGTCTTACTGAATGAAAAATGTAGTTCAGCACCAGATGCAGTTTTCAACATTAGTTCTCAGTGACTGGAAAGGAAGGAAAAGCTTAGGTAAGACAATCACAATGTATCCAAACTCTTGAGTGCTACTACTCTTTTAATATCTCAGGCCACCAGTAGAGCCGTGAGCCTCCTCTGAGGGATCCGAGATCTCACCAAAGGAGCCTGCCTGAAAGGGTGCCAGCAAGTCACAACCTGTTCCTGCCTTCCGGGTCTGGGCAAGTCTGCTCGGCTCCATGCCCCACCGAAGCCAGGAGACCCACTCAACGCACTAGAGGCGTTCTCCACAGTGGAAACCGACCACGGCCCTCAGTTTAGTGACCCCTCCCTCCAGTTAGGGACAGACCAATTTCTGGTCACCTACATCTCGGTCAATAACCTTTCATTCAGCACCGTCTACATGCAGGAAGTGCATGTAGGTTAAAGACAGCCCCTGCCCTCGGGAAGCTCACAGTCTAATGAAGGAGATAACATGTAAACAAGTGTGTCCAAACAAGCTATAGAGGGGATGAATTGGGACAGTCAAAGGAGGCAAGGCAGGAGAACGAAGAGGGCTTAGGGAAGGCTTCCAGAAGGCTGTATTTGAGCTCGGTGTTCTTGAGTCCCGGACCAGAGCTCTATTCGCTGCACAAATTGCCCGGCTACTTCATGGCAGCAGACTAGAAAGAGTGTGGAGGTAGGGAGGCCAGTCAGGAGTTTACTGAAATGCTGGTTAGTGGTGCTGCATGGGCAGAAAGAAGAGGATGGAGATGGCAATTCTGGAGGGAGAGCGGATGAATGTTTCTGCTAAAAGCCTGAGATCCAAGCATGCTAGGGAAGCCTCCAAACGATGATGAGTGGTCAGAGGACCTGAAGAAGCAGTCTTCAGAAGAAATGCAAATGTTCAAGAATGCTATGAGAAAAGTGCCACAAAGTCTGAGGAAGAGAAATACCCATGGGAACACCCGACGTTTCACTGCATGTCCAGAAAATGGGCACAAAGGCCAAAAATGTAAACAGTTCATATGCAAGGGTCTGGAGGAAAGAGAGACACGCTAATTAGTATCCGGTAGTGAGGCTCCGAGCCCAGTCCAGTCATTCCGGAAAACAATTAGGCAAGAAAAATGACTCAGCTGCTGATACCCTTTGGCCCTGTGTACCAGGCTGAGCCCTCTGCCGTGCCCCAAGGGGCTCATGACTAAGATCACTTCAGCATCCTAGGTCTCCTCACCCTTGGCCCTCTGTCCCAGCGAAGCGCAGAGTAGGTGTTTAGGAAATACTGACTGATTGATTAGCCCCCATTTAAAAAGAGAGCTCAGTTTTCTTTCCCGGCTGCACAAGCCTGGGACTTCCGGCTGCTCCTTCCTCAGCCCTGCCCCTGCCTTTGGTCCCTGGGATTGGAGGGGGCCCAGGAACCCCAAATCTCCATTGAAGGAGAAAGCTCAGCTCAGACATTTCCTGCTTCTCTCCTGGTTGCCCTGCCTCAAGACTATTCTGCCCAGCTTCTCCAGATGCCAGCCCCTTCGTGTTCCAGCATATCCCTTTTCCTCCCCCCACTCCCCTTCAGCTTCCTTTTGTGTTTTGTTTTTACCTCATTAGAATGTATGCACCTTGAGGGCAGGGACTGTCGTGTGTGTGTGTGTGTGTGTGTGTGTGTGTGTGTGTGTGTGTGTGTGTGTGTGTGTGTGTGTGTCCAGCTCTGAGCACTGTGGTGGCATGGTAGGTGCTTAATAAATGTCTGTTGAAATGAAATCTACCCCAAGGAGGTTAATACAAAGAGAAAGGTCTCATTGTGGGGGAAGGATTTATAGTAGCACTTTTATGGCAGCAAGAGACAGAAGCAAAAGGGTAGCCACCCATGGGGGTGTGCCTGAACCCAGAAGAGTGATGTGAATGCACTGGACACTCCAGGCCCCAGAGAAAGTCCAGGCCTGAAGATGTCTGAGGAGCTTGGAAGGCCTGCTCCGACCTGGTTCACAGAGAAGCAAGAAGGGCAAAGAGAGCCCATAGGTGATAAACATACAGGGAATAATGGGCAGACCTAAGAATTCACCCCCAGGGAAAGAATCATCATGGCTCCAGGACCGTGGGCTTAGCCTTTTTCCTCTTCCTTACAAGGGAGGCTTCTATGGGGGATGAGATCAGAAAATGACAAGGATGCAGGACAAAATATAAAAGCTATTCAAGAAGCCAAGACAAGCGAGTGCAGCAAGAATGCAGGTGGCTTTGCCCAGCAAGGGGCTGGCCGAGGCCCAAAGGCCCCCTCAGCTCTCCACCTGGCTTTGGAGACGTGGGCTGGTGCAGAAACGCAACGTCCAGCTCGCCAGGCGAGCATCTGTTTCCCCGATAAACACTGCAGAGCTGCAGAGGCTACCAGTGATGCTGCAACCTACTGCAGGGTCTCGTGGTCGATTTTGTGCCATGGATCCCTGGAGCAGTCCGCTGGGTGGAGCCCAGGGACAGGAACCCCTTCTCAGAATCAGAGTTTTAAATAATTGAAAGAAATGCTAAGTTTCCTATAAAGGTTGGTGAAAATACTCATTTTTTCCACCTATTTTCATGGCCCCTCGAAACCTGCCTAGCAAGGTATCTGTGGCCCCCAGGTTAAGAACCTCTGTTCTAAAGCCAAGGAATTAATTCACTTTTAAATCACTGATCCAATTAAACATGGATCGCCACTTAATTCTACCCACAAACTTATTCACAGACACATTTCCAAACTTTCTTGCCCCAATAATTCCAAAGTCATTTCATTTTCAGGGCATAACCCTGTAGGGTTGAGGTCATTATCTGAATAATTTCACTCCAAAAACCTGTTCTACAACTGAATTAACAAGACAATTGCCTTGACTTGTGAAGTTCCTCGCTCTGGGGAAGCCCAGACCTGAAAGCCTTTGCCTTGGCCACTGCTGGTGCCTGTCTTGGAGCATCATCATGGTAACAATAATACCAATGGCGTTTCTATGGTACTTTGTGTGCAGGGTCTCACTGAACCTTAGAATCAACTTGAAGGGAGGGAACTATACCCATTTTACAGATGAGAAAATGGGAGCAGAGTTCACAGACTTGCCCAGGGTCTTACCACTAGTGCGTGGGTCAGAGGTGAGATTGGAAGCCAGGTCTTCCTGCCTGCAAGTCCAACCTTCCATGCGCTCTGCTGCCTTCTCCCCATCCTTTCACAGGGTGCCCTAACCTCCTGATGGTGCCGAAAGAGGAGGCCCAGGTCTGCTTTAGTCCCACGTCGATCCAGACAACGCACCAGCTGCTTCTCTCCTTCCAAACGTCCCATCCAGGCTCGGTCAGTCTCACCCCTGCTTTCATTCACTGTTCTCCACTTCTCCACACTGATGGCCCCTGAGGAGCATTCTGTAAGAACCTGGGTGCTGAGGCGAGCTGCTCTGAACAGGCTCTCCCTTAGGAGAGGACCCGAATGAATTCCTTGGGAAAGAGAGAGGGAGGAGGGAAGAGTCTTCCATAGAAGATGCTGATGCTCCCTCCTTTCTAACCAGAATTCAGTAATTCCACATCTGTTGCTTCTACTGGCTCTGCCCTGGTTGGGATCCAGGTCAGGCCAGAGGCAGAGGCTGACAGCCATCATTCTTCAGCAAGAAGGGGCCTGGAGGCTGGGGACTAAATGTGAGTGGGGAGCCCATTAAAAGCAATAGAGTGAATTCCTGTAAGGCGGACAAAGACCACTGTCAAGCTGGGGGGCCATGCCACAAGTACAGTTCAGCAACATGGAGTTGTCAGAAGCCAACGTGGTCCAGGGTCCAGACAGCATTTATACAGACAAGCCCCCAAACAAGGGGCAAACAGTCTTCTAAGAGGGCATAGTCAGTGCTGCATCCACGTGGAAAGTCTTTTGAGGTCCAGCTTTGGGGACTCACCCTGCCCATCTGGGCTTTTGAACAAATGACCTTCAGCTGTGGACAGCTCCCCACCCACCAGTTCCTGCATAGGAAACAGATGGATGTGCCCGGGAGTGGACACTGTCATCTGTGCTGATCCTCTGGACTTCCTGCTTCCCACTTCTAGCTGAGGGACAAGGTTTGGAGGGAGGCATTTCTAAGAGCCTGATTTGGGGCAGTTAAGACTGCTTGGCCCCTGTTGGGAAAGTATAATCTGTACCCAAAAGGGTTTTTGTACCAACTAATCATTGTACTTCATGAAATGGTAGTTCACACTGGATTCCCTTTTGAATCTAACAAGATGTGATATAGTTCTTAGCCCAGTGGGGCTGGGTTTTTTTTTTTTTTGCCAGGGGAATGTGCCAGTGTTTGTTCATTTAAGCCACCTGGGGCCATCGGGCAGCACACTTAGTTCTAAGAGGCCAAAGAATTAAAGAAGACCAAAAGAAGAAAGGCAGGCAGGGTCCTGGGGCCAGGGGAGCCCCCAGCCAGCTGCCCTTCTTTCTTAGGACATAGGAAGCTTGGGAGAGAAGAGAGGATCCAGGTCATGGCGTCCAAGGGTCTGGCTCTGGCCCTCCCTGGCCTCGGCTTACTCAAGTTGTAAAAGAAGGGGGTCAGGCAGCTCCTCTAATGTCTGATGACTCGTGCCTTTCTATGTGCTCAGGACCATGCCAACTTGTGGCTGCTCAGGCTGGGCATAGGTGGCTTCATCCAAGACCAATCAGTGCCTCTAGGCTCGGTGGAAGCTCTTTAAATTGTCAGGCCTGTCTGAGCAGATGCTCTCCATTGGCAGAAAGACCACAAACAGGCCCCCAAGGAAGCCTACCCAAAGCTTCATACATTCCTTCTGAATCTTAAGAGTAGTGCAGAGGCTTGTGTGGCACTAACAAACCTCAAAGAAAGGGGAGATAGCAGGTTTTCTCTCCCAGGAAGGACAGGGATGGAGAAGGTCCAGCAGTGGGTTTGGGGCACAACGCTAATGTTTGAAAACAGGGCCACCACTGCCACCCAAAGGGCAGGGTCAAAGGGGCTTCCGCTCAGACACCTGAGAGGCTTGGACCTCCCATCCCTGGAATCATAAAAGCGGGGCAGATTTCCAACATCAACAGCCAACCCCCCAGGCTCTCCCCAGGAAAAGTGACTGGCTCATGAACTTGAGCAGACATTTGGTTAAAAAATTCTTGCTGCCTGAGGATTACTCTTATTCCACTGGGGAGGGAGGGCGGGGAGTGTTTAAAAGTCACACCTTGTCATGGAGGTTTTCCTACACCAGGAACTTACTTCTTGAATGGATCTCACTATCCATTCAATGGCGAGAGGCCATGCATTATTACATCGCATGGTTTTTTTTTCTTCCAGATTCTTCCAGTAGACGTCTAGAGTTTAACGAGAAGTTTTGGCTCTGATACAAACAGTGATGGAAAACATATGAGCACTAACAAGCCTTAATCTCGCTCCTCAGTACTAAAATGGGATAATCTGGAGGAGCCGTTTACTCCAGCATCACCCAGGGTGCCAGCTGCAGCAGGAGCGCGTGGGGCAGGCTCTCCACAACCCCTTCCCATCTTCTCTCCTCCAGAGGACCGGACAACATTGACATTCTCTTGACCTTCACCCCGGGGAGGGCTGGATAACGACGCTGTCAAGGACTGCTCTAGCCTGACGAGGTAGGTTTTCTTGGTGATTGCCTTCCTTGGTCTGTCTTCTGAAGCAGATAGCAGCAGAATGTTCAAAATGGTTTATTTTTCATAATGATAAGGGGGATGCTCACATAAGAAAAATGACTTTTTCTTGGGAACATGATCCCAAGATAAGAAACTAATCTGCTCAGTCTCATTTAGTCCCTCATAGTGATTAGGACAAAAACCACCACAAAATGTTGGTGCTTTAAAAAATCCACAAACCCCCCCAAATGGAAAAGGTTTTCTTTGCATGTCTGTGACTTACAGAAAAGTATACTATTTCATCTCTCCATATCCACAGAGATGTAGGGTTATTTACTTCTACATAGGTTAACTAGAAACTCAACATTACTGCATTTTGGTATTTTGCCACAAAAGTGACTATAGCTGATTTCTAAGATTAATTTAAATCCCATGAGAATGCATTTGTTTTCAATGCCCTGATAACAGATGGCTTTGACCCTTATGTCATGTACGCTGATTACTGAAAGAAGAAGGTTAGGAATTTCCTGGTAGCATCAAGTCTGTCTTTTTCCTCTACAATGGGAAACAGAAATATTGGGACTGATTTTGACAGTTTCTGAACAGCTGACCTCTAGCCTGTGGCAAAAGCTGTTTTTCTTCACATAATCAAGGGGCAAAAGGAATTACCAAAGCTCAGCCCCTCTTTGCTCACAGAGAGAACCACTTAGTAGCTGTTCAGCCCCAAGCACACAAAGCTGCAATCGCTCTTGTAAAATCAACATGGGTCTTCACAAGTTGTCATGATAAACACAATGATGTCCCTCACCCATGGCAAGAAAAAAGATACAAAAAGCCACAGCCATGACTCAGTGCTGGAACGGAGCACCCAGTGCCCCAAGTGGAGAGCAGGCATCCCGCCTGGGAACCCACAGAACCGGGGCCGCAGGCTGCAGGCTTGGCTTTGGGCCACCCACATTGGAATGTTGGCAGCCACTGGGCGTTTTGTTCTCTTTCAAGGGCTACTGACTCAGGGGGAAAAAACCAACCACAGGCACCAGAAAGAAAGCACCTCAGACACAGGCCTCTGTGTTGTTTGTTTACTCAGAAATAGAGCTGGTTCACCTGTTTTTAAAACGAGGACCAGGGGTATTTTATTTGATAGATGTGGAAAACAATGAAAACTGGAGGAAGACAGAATCAAGAGGAGAAGGGAAACGGCCTGGGAAATGACCTCTCCAAGACTTCAGAACAATCCTTTCTCTGCCGGGAAATCACTGTTCTGCCTGTACTCTCAAACTTGAAAGTTTATTTTTGAAAAAAGACTTTTACTTGTAGAATTCTAAAATTTTACACATATGTAAAGTCAGCTTTAGAAATTTAGAAATTTGTCTGCCAGATTCTGAATGTCAAATGAGCCTTTAAGACAACAGCAAATTGAAAAATTGCCTTATTTCTGTGTAACGGACAGGGAGCTGACCTCAAAGCTGGCTGTGTGACCCTGGGAAAGTTAATCAACCTCTCTATGTTCAAGTTGCCGACGAGCCAACCTGCACTGGTAAAGGGAGTCTCCTCATCTGGGAGTTCTCCAAACAACGCAGTGCTCAGGCCAGTTTCTGTCAGTCTCACTGAACATTTCATTGATCTGATTCTTCTTTTTAAAATAAATGCAAATTCTGAGTTAGCCCTGATGGGATGAGGGGAGGAGTAGCTGCTTTAAATTGGATTTCGACAGGATCTCCTGCCCCAGAGGGTCCTCAGCTCAGTTCTAGAGGTCACGTAGTCCAAGAAATTAAAAGGATTCAATAGGGATATTTGCTATTTATGGGGTAGTGAAACACTATATAATATGAATAATAATAATGGCTAACACAGACAGGGTGCTTTGAGATGTGCAAAGCTCTGCACACATCGTGTCTCACTGGGCCCTCAGAAGAACCCATTATGGGTGGGTGCTATTATCACACCCATTTTTCAGAAGAGGGAGCTGAGGCCCAGAGGTATTAAGTGACCTGCTTAGAGCCACTGAGCTGCAGGATTCGAATTCTGGTCTTCCTGACTCTGGGTCCTGCTTGGTGGTGATTTGGGATTATGGCAAAGAATAGAGATGTTAGGATGACCCTTGGGACATGGAAGGGATCAGAATGGGAAGATGATCTTTTCAAGACCCCGCCTTTGCAAATTCAGGCACAGGCAGCAACATAAGAAAAGGGCTTGGAAGGCTCCCTGGGGCCCAAGCAAACAAACACAGCTCTCAAGTGTGACAAGTAGGCCCCTCTTCAATCTCCTAGCCAGAAAGAGCTTCCCCGATGGCAGGCATGCCCAGGAGGGGGTCCTTTCCATGAGGATCTTTGAGCTTGGACCAGACTGCAGGAGGGACCCGTGGGCCAGTATCTAGAAGGGGGAAGACTATCACCTGCAGGTGGAGCCACAGGGCACAGAGGCTGGCCCTGGAGTTGGGAAGAGTTCAAATCCTACTTCAAACATTTCCTAGCTGTGTGACCCTCAGCAAGTCACTTAATCTCTGCCTGCCTCAGTTTCCTCACCTGTAAAGTAGGTATAATAACTTCCCAGGTTGCTGTGAAGGTCAGATGACATAATATTTGTAAAGCACTCTGCAAACCTTAAAGGGCTCTCTAAACAGTGGCTGTCATCCTCACTCTCCAAGTCAGAGGAGGGGGAACTGATTTGCTTTTGGAAATAGTAGGGAAACAAGGTGAAACAGAGAAAGCCTCCATGGCGCTGCTGAGATTCAAACCCAAGTCTTTTGACTCTAAATATTTCACCCAAGTAAACTCAACCCCCTAAAGGTCAAACAACAGCTGTCTGTCCAGTTCTTTAAGGCCCATTGACCTTCCCAGCACAGAGCTCCCATGTCTCACTGGGGGAGGGAAGGGAGAAAGCATTTAAGAATCACCTACTGTGAGCTGGGCACTGCGCTAATAGGCCCCCTGTTGGAGAGGCCTTCAAGCTGTCCGTGGACCTGGGGCCCAGTGGGGGAAAGCCCAGGAGGCTCATAAGAACCTCCAGCAAAACTGCCTGGAGGAGCTACATACATCCTGGTGTGATTTAACAGCACCCACCCTCATCCAAATGACTGGACCCTTGCCAATCATTGCCTGACTGGGATACACTCCCTTCTCATCTCATGGTCTGAGTTCTCTTTCTTCAAGGCTGAGGCAGGCTGGGCCCCACCACTGCATTCAAGAAATCTGCCCTGCCCCTGCCCTGCCTTTCCCTGCCAGACTCCCTTCACTAATTACCTCGTACTCACTTCTATGTGGATGTACTGCACACCCCCTCACACACGTACCCCCACCCTGCATATACATGGGCTGCCCCCACAGTCACTCGCACCCATTCCCCCACCCAACACTCTACCCCCCATACATACACACCCCCACCCCTACACATACACACACCCATTCCCCCACTCAACACACACACATCCCTACCCCCCACCCCTACACATACCCACACTCACTCATACCCATTACCCCACCCAACATCCCTACACACTCCCACCCCCCATACATACATGCTCCACCCCTACACATACCTATACTCACTCACATTCATTCCCCCACCCAACACCCACACATACCCCTAATCCCCACCCCCATAGACACATGCCCCACCCCTACACATACCCACACTCACACTCATTCCCCCACCCAACACCCATACAAACCTCCTACCCACTCCCCTAAGTAAACCCCAAACCCCTACCCCCCAACATACCCACATTCATTCACCCCCCCCTACACACACACTTATACACTCCCTTTCCCCCCAACAGAAGCTCCCAGATGGCCAGGACTGGTTATTTTTTTCTTTCACCTTTCTGGTCTCCCACCATTAAAAGGTACTTTGCACACAGTAAATAATGAATATTTGTTGAAATGAATGTAGAGGAGCCATGGCACACTTGAGCCTGTCCTCAAAAATTACTTAGAAAAAGAGGAAGGAATCCCAGCTAATCACACAGGAAGCAGCACGCAGCAGGATCACAGAATTCGGATCAAAAGAGAGCTTAGGGGTCATGGAAGCCTAGACCCTCCATTCAATGCAGGAGGTGAGGGAAGCCCAGAGAGGGGGAGTTAATGACCAAGTGAGACCAGGGGGAGCCGGGAGTCACCTACCCTGGCCAGGGGAAAGGAAGGAAGGAAGAGGCATTCGATAGGCACCTGCTGCATGCCAAACACTGCCTGAGCACGGGTGGGGGAGGGTAGTGGTAAATACACAGAAGTGACCCGAGCCCCTGCCCTCCACAAGCTTCTACCGGAAGCAGGGAGACAACTTTCTGGGCCACAGCAGCAGCCCGGGCACTGCTGAGGTGGGCCGGGAAGGCTGGGCCTGGTGCTGCAGGGACTCTCAGTCTTGGGGCAGTGTTGCTCACTTCCCATCCTGGCTAAAAGCCCAGCTTCGGCAGGAAGCCTTTCCCAGGCCTCGTGCATCTGAGTGGACCCCGAGTTATCCTGCCTCTAGCTCATCTGCCCATAGGTGTCTGCATGGTGTTCCCCATTAGACTGGGGGCTCCTCGAGGGCAGGGACTCTCTGACCTGTCTTAGCACAGCGCCTGTCACACAGTAGGTGCTTACTCAATACTGCCTGACTGGACTTCACCATCACTGGCCCTCCTCTACAGGCAGGATTTACTAAGCATAGCACAAGGTCCCACTAGGAGGCCTCCCCGATGTAGAGGTGACCCTGAGTTTTCAAAGGCAATGCCAGAGGTGTGCAGGCTCTCAGAGGTCCTACCAGGCTAGCCAGGGTGGCCCCAGGAGCCGAGGGCTGCTGAACCTGGCTGGCTGGGGACCAAGGGGTGGAGACCGTCCCTATCCACTCACCAGACCCCTTACACTGGGGGACTTTAGTGCCAATGTGGGAAAAGGTGGAGATGGGGAGAGAGCTATGAGGACGTAGGGTTCAGGAGGAAGGAATCAGGGCGGCCAAAGACATGTGGATGGTGCAGAAGCGGTCACTTCCTTTAGAAAACAAATTGGCTGGCACTGGCCACTGAAAATAGCAAGTAACAACCCAACAGTGATATTTTTAACAGAGGAAAATACTCATCCTGGACGTGGGAGGATCTTGAACCGGCTGTTTGGTTTATTGTCAAACCATTGACTCATCAGAGCTAAGAATGAAATTTTTAATAACCCAGAAGAACAGTAATGACAAAACTATATGCCACACAATTAAAAATACAACTCTAAATGAGTTAAACAAGTTATAGGAAATTTAAAACTGCGAAATGGACACCAGAAATGATATTGACACCGATCACAACCACTTCATCCCGAAGCTGAACCCACGTAAATCAGTGGCTCTAACATGGTGACCACAAGAGCCCAGACAGCATCTCACCCATCAAACATCTGGATGACTTGCCAGGTGGAGAGAGATAATGGCCAAAGCTGCATGGTGCTGGGCTTCTCTGGAAAGTCCTACAGAGAAGGAAGATGGGAGACCATGAGCAGGACAGTCTCACATGAAGTGAGGAAGGGCAAAGCCGTCAAAAGGAAGGCCCTCTACCCAAGCAAAGTCATCCCCCGGTCACTCTGGGGAGAAGACGGAGAAGACTGGCAAACACCATTGCAAGAAGCTGTTTTCTCCATCCAGGATTTGGACTCTGATCTCCCAGGCCCTGAGACGCTCAGGAAGGAAGCAGAAATGGTACCAAGGAGGACAAAAATGGGAAAAAGCAGAGAGACTGGGTGCAGGCTGGGCAGAGGAGATCCAGGCTGCAGGTGAGCCAACCATGAAGCTACCAAGGGACCCACATGTGAGGGACCTGCAGGAAAGAAGGACACCAAAGACTTAGGAATGATCAAAAGATCAGCACCTACTTACTGAAATATCTCCTCTCCCATCAACACAAACTCCTACCCAGAGTCCCTGATGAGAAAAGTATGAGGGAAGAGGCAGGCAGGACCACTGAAAGATGTAGAAAACACAAGATCCCACCGGGGGAAGGGAACAAGCATTTATTTTATTTTATTTTATTTTAATTTCATTTTATTTTTCTTCCATATGCTTTTGAGTTGAAAATTTTTCTCCCTTTTCCTCCCTTCCACCCTCCCCAAGACAGCGCACAATCTGACATAGGCTTTACATTTACATACCCATTAAACATATTTTCACATTAGTGAAGTTGTAAGTAAAAATTAAAACCAGTAGGAGGAACCATCAGAAAGATGAAACAAAACTCAACAGAGGGTAAAAATAAGTGATAGTGATTCGACTTCCATAGTTCTTTCTTTGGATGTGGACAGCATTTTCCATCCCGAGGCCTCTGGAGATGTCTTAGATCCTCGTAATGCTGAGAAGGCTTCAGTTTAACATTCTTAGTCATCGCATAACGTGGCTGTTATTGTGTACAAAGTCCTCTTGGTTCTGCTCACTTCACTCAGTATCAGACCATACAAGTCTTTCCATGTTTTTCTGAAGTCAGCCTGTTCATCATTTCCTATAGCACAATAGTATCCCATTACATTCATATACCACAACTTGCTCAGCCATTCCCCAATTGATGGCCATCCTCTCAATGGGAACAAGCATTTATTAAACACCTACTATATGCCAGGCACTTTGCTAAGTGCTCACTGTGGCTACTGTTTGTTGATGATGTTTGGTTTTGGTTTTTGTTAGGCAATGGGGTTAAATGACTTGCCCAGGGTCACATAGCTAGTAAGCGTTATGTGTCTGAGGCCGGATTTGAACTCAGATCCTCCTGACTCCAAGGACAGAGCCCTATCCACTGCACTACTTAGCTGCCCCTTGTTTGTTGATGATGAAAACAGCATTTGATTGGGTAGAACAGAGTGCCACCTTATTGGCTCTTTTCAGCAAGCAAGGAGGCTCTGATCCAAGGTCACCTGGGCTTCCTCAAAGGATGTGACAGTAGTCATTCAATGCTCTACTTGGGGACACTCACGAGCATTAGGGGAGGCAGAACACAGGATGACGTATGCTCACCAAAAGCTTTCCCCACCGTGATGGGGGAAACGAGGGGCAACATCCTCCAGGGCTCCGGTCTGTCGACTGCTGAGTGTGCTGATTACCTCTCAGAGCACTGCTGAGCCTCCTGGAAGGGATCTGTCATCACTCTGACTGAGGAGGGTGGCGTGACCATCCACACACAAATGACCAAGTGGATGAACAGTGTTCATTGACCAGATGTCAACATGCAACAGAGCTCATAGAGCAATGAGTATATCAGGGAGAGACAGGGCAGATGCACAGTGAGCTGGGCCCAGAGAAGAAAGGGAGGAGGACAGGGGGCTGGGTCGTGTTAAAGGAAGTGCAAGGCGCTTTGACTGACCCCAAGCTTCCATCCACCTTTACCACTGCTGCAATACCATGCCCCAAAGAACTGAAGATGAACATAATGTCTGGCAGATGCAGGCTTCTGACCCCTTTAGGGACCTAGTCAGCATGGAAGATGATCTGCTCTGGCAGAGAAAGTGTCCTCACCCGGGAGTTCCCGATACCAATGAAATCACAGGTCCGGTTCCTATCCCTATCCTCTATTACATATAAAACTTGCTCTGACCCTCCCCTCCCCTCCCCTCCCCTGGTTCTAGAGCCTCCCCTTCCCTCTGCTGATTGCCTCTCCCTTATCCCACTTACATTTTGGTTACAGTTGCTTGCACCCTTCTTCTCTACCCTCTGAAGCCACCACTTTAGCTTCTTGTACGCAACTCTCCAAGTCATCATTCACTTTCTTTGCTGTTCCAGTTCCTGCCTCAGGCCGCCTCCCCAGGCCTAGCAAGGGGCCCATCCTCCTGGGGAAGGGATGCTAGGAGCAGGGGGATGTGTCTGGGGCTTCCTGGGCTATCACACATTGGGCTCTGTAGGGCTTTTGGTACTCTGCTGGGGGGAAGTGATGCAGTCAGTGAAGATCTGGGGGCTGTCAAGGAGTAGAACCGCGATTCATAACACTGCTAGATTAGAATGAGAGTGCCACGATTCAGACAAATGACTGACACAGGAACTCCAACAACCTTCTGGTGCTGAGGGGCAGCCGGCCAGAAGCCGAGCCACAAATGAGCCAGTCGGCAGCTTCTCCATCTTCCACACTGGTCTGCCGCTCCAGTGAGGGGCTTGGGAGCCCCCTGGTAGGTGACGGGGGACCATCTCTCCCTCCACAAGTACACCAGAGAACTTAACCACCATGGATACTTCCGATGGGTTAAAATTTAATTTGACAATACTATTTGTGCAAAGCAACCTCCTTGCACATAGACACCAATAACACAATATGTAAGTTAGAAAGAGCCTACTCTGCGCAAGGCATGGCCTAACCTGTCTTATTTATTGCTGTGGGGAGAGACAAAGAAAGCTCTCTGTTTGTGGGAGGAACTCTGGCCGTACTCACTCCCCATGGATGGCCAGAGGGAGAAGTCAGAATCGGGGCGCCAGGAGTGGGGAAAGGTGGTGCCGCAGGATGGGTGGGATGACTCAAGCATTTTGTAAGCCGGGGGGTTTCGAGGTGAGCCAGACCGAGAACCACATAAGGAAGGAGGGAAGGGAGCCGGGGCGGCAGCCAGGGGTCCAGGCGGAGGCGAGGATAAAGGCCGGGCACGCAGCACAGTAACGCTCCGCTGCCCCTTTCCGTATCGTTCCAGGTCGGGCGCCTTCTCCGAGAAGACATGAAGGAATACGTGCTTCTCCTGCTGCTGGCCTTGGGCTCCGCCAAGCCCCTCTCCAGCCCCTCTTATCTGACCCTAAAGAATATGATGCTCAAAGACATGGCGGATGCGGAGGATGAGGACGACGATGATGACGAGGAGAATTCTCTCTTTCCAACGCGGCAGCCCCTGATGCCCTTCTTTCCTTTTGACCTGTTTCCATCATGCCCCTTTGGATGCCAGTGCTACTCGAGGGTGGTCCACTGCTCTGACCTAGGTAAGATCTCCGCCTGGCACGCCTTCCACCCCCCGCGAGGAGGCCGCACCTGAACGTCCCGCGAAATGCTCCTCCCCTCCTCAGGTGGCCGTCTCTACCTTGGCGTTTACGTGGCTGGGCACGTATGCCGTGGAACGTAAGCGGGGAGGGCGAAGTCTGGCCGGCTTTATACACCTGGTGCCCCACAGACAGTGGAAACTGAATGGACGTTTGTGGCATTGAGAAACATTCTAAAGTTTAAATGTTCAATCGGTAGCAAAGGCACATGGATGTTGGGACCCTCCAAAGAATATCCCAATTGTTTTGCTGTGGTTGAATTTCTCTTAAGAAACCTACTATGTGCTAGCAGTATGCTATGGGTGGGGACAGGAAAATGAGCTGAGGCCTTTGAGGCCACCCTAAAAAAGGCTTCCAAGGCTAAAAAGGAGGGGAGACCGTGTACATTACCAGTCAGTCCATCAGCAGCGTCTGGAGACTTTGGAAGGAGATACTTCAGGAAACTGGTGGGGCCTCATCTAAGATTTCAGTGGTTTTAGGATGGAGTAGGGGAGCAGGAGCAGGAGGCCATGGCCGTGAGTTACCTTTTCCAGAGGTTTTGCTGTGAAGGGGAAGCATGAGATAGGAACAGTAGCTCGAATATGGATGTTTGTAGGAGGAGGGAGGCCGCACTAGAAGGGTGAGGTCCCACAGCAGCTTGGGAGTGCTGCGGGGAGGGTCCAGAGATCCAGGCACCTCTGGCCCCACTGGATACTGGGCAGCAGGAGAGGCAGCCACCACATGCACTGTGACGGGGTAAGCCCAGTTATCAACAGGTGTCATTTGAGGCCCAGAAGGCCTTCCCCCTTCATTCCCCAATCCCCCACCCCCAAGTCCTTCAGTACCAAGTTCAAATCTCACTTCTTCCACAAGCTTTCCTGGGTCTCAGCCTCCCTCTCACATGGCCCCTTCCTAGTCCGTGCCTACCCAGGGCAGTTTTATGACTTTTTAGGTATTTCTCTCAGCCTGATCCCGCAGCCTGGGGAAGCCTTCCTCTCTCCATTCCTGGCTTGCTTCACCATAGACTGTCAAGGAAAGGGTGTCTTTGGGTTTTCCAATGAGCTTGGGATGAAGGAGGGCTGCTGATGGTGAGAAGGGTATTTCTCTGCCCATGCCCCTAGAGGCTGCCCTTCCTGTCTGCCCAGCTCCATCCTCTCCACCAGATTCTCTGTGGCCTGAAAAGCCTCCCCTGCTCCAGATGGTCACACTGTCCTTCGCATCCTCTCTGATTGTGAAGCTGGGGATTGCTGGCTTAGCTTCTGTGGTCCTCACTTCTGGAAGCCCACAAACGCCCAGCTTGGTTTCCCTCCTCCCACCATCTCAGGTCCCTTGCTTTAGCTCTCTACCAGACCAGGACATCTATCATGAGATGTGCGATTTATTTTGCAAATAAGGGCTCTGGCTTCCTGATGCCTTTTAAAAAGACACTGGATACCTGAGGGCTTAAGGAGCACACTGACGGCCTTTCCCTTGCTCCCTCAGGGCCGTCCTTTCACAGCTGCTCCTTGCAGTGTACGAAGTCTGTCCAGCTGGCAGGGTCTGGGCGTCTTCATGGCGCGGCCGGACAAGGCGGAACAATGTCGAGTGTTCGCCTCCACAGGGTCCAGTCTAGAAAGCCAAAGAGGGACTGAGCCCTCCATCGGCTGTCAGTATGAGTGGAATTTTTCTAGGTATAAACTGCTATCAGAGGCTCATGGACGTTAGTGTCAAAATAGAGCCCAAAGCCTGCGGTGAGTCCTGGCCCCGTTAGAAGCCGCTAAGCAGCTGTGTCCCACGAAGCCAGATGTTTCAAGGCTCACCAGGACCTCCAAGATAATGGTGTTGAAAGCCCTCATTTTCCAGAGGAGGGCCCTGAGACCAGACAGAGGAAAGGCCGGGCTGAAGATGAAGTGACCAGGGAGAACTGCTGTTCCCTCCAGAGTAGGGGGCTGGACTAGGTGACCACTACTGTCCCTTCCAAGTCCTGCGGTTCTGGGGTTTCTGAGCAGGGCACAGCCAGGGTCAGGCCTGTACTCGCCAAAGATGCCACCAGCAGATTGGGAAGGATGGATGGAAGAGGAGAGGGAGAGACGAGGCTGACAGACCAGGCAGAAGGTGATTAGAGTAGGGATGTCTAGGCACAAAGGGCCTGACGAGGGGAGCAGCCCGGCACGAGAGAAAGGGGGTGGATTCAAGGGACGTGGCAGAAGAGAGCCTGGAGAAGGCAGGCCAGTGACGGCACCCACTGCTCAGATAACAGCACAAAGAGCTAAGCTTTCGCTGTCAGGTTGGCAGGGCACCTCACAAATACTATCTCACTGGATCCTCGCAACAACCTAATGACCCGTCCAAGGGCACACAACTGGTGACTGCTTGAGGCAGAATTGGAACTCAGGTCTCTGTGGTGCCAAGTCTAGCGCTCTATACACTATGCCAGGAATCCTCCCACTTGCTTTCTTCACCACAGTCCTATGAAGTAGGTGGTAATAGCACTGTTGTGCCTGTCTTGCAGATGAGAAGCTCACACGGCTTATACGTGTCAGAGAAGGGATGTAAACAAGCTCTACCTGACTCTGTCCACCCCAGCATTCTCCTCTCTAGGATGACCCCAAGGTTCTGAGCCTGGGTGACCAGAAGGATGCTGGTACTTCTGACAGAAATAGGGATGTCTGGAAGAGTAGAGGATTCAGCAGGGAGGTAGGCAGCTAAGGGGCTGGGGTACAGGAGAGAGGTCAGGTCAGAATCAACAGATCTGGGCATCATCTGCCTCGAGATGGTGGCTGAGGCCGAGATAATGGAGTGGAGAGCCACTTCCTAGGGCTTGACCTGCCCAGCCTCAACTCTTCTCCTTCCGGCTCAGCACCGTGCCTGGCACATGCTAGGGCCCCACCCCACTGATCCCACCAGGCTCATCCCTCCTTTTGGTCCCCGAAACGTGCTGCGGCCACGGGTCCCCCTCCTGAGTTCCTTCTACCTCCTCCTGCCCAGGTTGAGCTCCTGGGCCACCTCCATCCCGGGTCCTTCCCTTCACTCCGACCCACACTAACCTTTCCTTTCTCTGTACTTGCCCTGGCCCAGATACCAGGGATAAGCAGACAAGCTCCTGGCCCAGCCAAGGAGCAGTTAATGTTATCAAATAGTTATTAAGCAGCTGCTAAGGGCAACGTTCTGGGCTAGGTGTGGGGAGCACCGACACCAAGGAAAAGAAGCCTGCCCCCCTGAGTAGCCACAAGCTCTGCAGCCTCCCTAACATCCTCCTAGTCGTTATGTGAAAGGAGGCTGGTCTGCCCGGCCCCTCCCTGTGGCAATCCCATGTGCGGGTCCTCCCCGCTGAAGCAGGAGGGGTGGGCTGGCACGAAACACAGCAGGGGGGCAGCGAAGGCTGGAAAGGAGGGGGCAAAGGCCATGCCTGCCAGCAAGGGAGGTAACAAGAATAAGGCCTGGGTCCCACCTTAGGAGGGCTGGAAGATGTTTCATTAGGACGTGGAGGTTTCATATTTTCTTTTTAAAAAAGTGACTCCCTAGGGAAGCTACTAACAATTTGTCTTTTCTAATTAATGTACAAATGCTAAGTATGGGCTGGCTTTGTTTTGAAATGTATAGATGTATTTAGAGAAAAGTACCTCATTTTTACAGAAGTTATGGGAATCCCAAGTGGGTAGAAGGAGAAAGAATGAAATGGAGCCATACAGAAGTGTGTGAGTGTGTGTGTGTGTGTGTGTATGAATGTGACAGTGTGAGCGTGTGTATATAAGCATGTGACAGTGTGCATGTCAGCATAAATATGACAGTGTGTGAGCGAGCGTATATGTGTGACAGTGTGCATGTGACTGTGTGTGAGCATGTGTATATGAGGGTGTGACAGTGTGTACGAGTGTATTATATAAGCATGTGACACTGAGTGTGAGCATGTGTATGGGAGCATAAGTGTGACAGTGTATGCATCAATGTGTGTCTATGACTGTGTGACAGTGAGTGTGAGCGTGTGAGAGTGTAAGCATGTGTGTGACCATGTGACAGTGAGTGTGTGAGCATGTAAGTGTGTGACAGTGTGTGTGCATATGTGTGTGTGTGTGCATGCGTGTGTGTGTGTGTGTGTCTATTAAGATAATGTACTGCTTCTGCTTCCCCAGTGGACTGTGACAGACAAGAAGCCTCAGTCCCCCCACATTCGCAGCCAGGATCCCCGACAACCTCGAGGGGTGACCTGGCTTGGTTTACACAGAGGCAGACTGGGCAGGAGTGGGTCTCTGTGGGTCCCCACCCAGCTGTAGCTTGGCCCCAGCGACTGCACTGACTCTACCTGCTAAGACAGGCCCACAAAGCACCAGCAGCAGAGCCCTAGCTAGCAAGGAGCTCATCAGAACCCCAACACACCCATGGTTGTGATTGCAGGCACATCTGTGGATCTGTGGATCTGTGGCCAATGGTGATGCCTATTGAAGACCTGGGATTTAATCCCTGCAAGGGCTCCTCCCAGCTCCAGCAAATTCCAGTCCAGCTTTGGGGAGCATGGCTGGTCCTTGGACCCGGGCACAGCGGGCTCTGGGCACACAAGCTCAGGCTCCTGTGGGGCCTTCGAGGCTCCCTCTGTGCTGGGAAGAGGAACAAGGATGGAACGTTGGGGACTGAGAACCATGACACTGCCTGGGGCTGGGGGGCCTTCTTTCTCTCTGGGTGGTTTTCTACCATGTGATTCGTCTGTCTGTCTGTCTTTTGCTCAGGTTTGACATCGATCCCAAACAACATCCCGTTCGATACGAGACTGATAGACCTTCAAAACAATAAAATCAAGGAGATCAAAGAGAATGACTTTAAAGGACTCACTTCCCTTTATGTAAGACTTTCCCTCCATATTTCTAAGATGTTTAATTGAATATGCGCATGTGTATAATGGGATGTTTGATTTCAGCCATCTACTCACCCATCCATCCATCCATCCATCCATCCACCCACCAATCCACCCACCCATCCATCCATCCATCCACTCATCCATCCACCCAGCCACCTACATATATACATATCTGTGCTGGACTCTCTCCTTCTTAGAGTTTTAAGTAAAGCACTCTTCATCAGAGGTTCCTTTAGGTGACTGATATCCATGAATAACACAGTGACTTCACATCAGAGGAGGGCAGCTGAGAGCCCTAATCCAGTCTAAACTAGACCAAAAAGGAATGCCCCTCCCCCCATAATAACCCAGACAAATGGCCACAGGGAGTATTCAGAGAAGAGAGACCCCCTCCCCGCCCCCTCCAGGAAGCTCAGGCCACATCTGGAAAGCTCTCACAGTCAAGCAGTGTTTCCTAATTTGCATATTTGTATCCCCCCCCCCAATTCTGCTGTCTGGGGCCAGATAGAACCCTTAGATCCCTGTTCCCCTGGGCCGCCCTTCCAGTCCAGCCACTCAGTAGCTCCAAATCTACCTAACCGCATTAACATCTAATTTGCACCATTTCATCTTTTCCACAACAAGGCCTGAGATCCTTCTTGAAATGAAGGGCACATAAAGGAGCACGCTCAGTGTACAGCTCACAGCTGTCTGGGACTCGGTAGTTCTTTGGGTCTCACTGGGCCTACTGAGGCCTTCTCTGTAAAGGAAGGGGCTTGTGTCATGGACCCCCTTGGTTGCTGGGTGAAGCCTACAGCCCCCAGCTCAGAATAATTTTTGTTGCCTGCATTCAGAAGGGTACCCAGGAGGCACAGTGGAGACAGTGCTAGGCCTGGAGCTAGGAAGACCTGAGTTCAAATCTGCTCTCAGATACTTACTAGCTGTGTGACCCTGGGCAAGTCACTTCACCCTGTTTGCTTCAGTCTCTTCAACTATAAAATGGGGATAGTAATAGCACCTACCTCCCAGGGTTGTTGTGAGGATCCAATGAGCTCATTTTTGTACAGTAATTAGCACAGGGCTTGGCACAGAATAAGTACTGTAAAAATGTTAGCTGTTATTATTATAGGAAATGCTGAATTCCAGTTAGAGCTGAATGAAAACAGAGGCCTTTTTTTTTTTCCACGCCCAAGTTCACAGATCCCTAGAACTAGATCTGTGGACCAGAGCTCAGGCTAATTAAGAGCTCAGTTTCTAATGGGGAAAACAACAGGCGAAATGCCTCTGCACAAACAGGACAGAGTTATCAGGGTGATCCATGGCGGGGAAGGCACTAGAATGAAGGGGCATCAGGAAAGGCTTCCTGGAGGAGGTGGGACGCCTGGATGTGGCCAGGTACAAGTCCCTGAACCTCCTTTTGGGTCTCAGCGGAGAGAGCGCCGGGCCCTGGAGTCAGGCAAACCTGAGTTCAAATCCAGCCTCAAACACGTTCTAGCTGTATGACCCAGGCAAGTCACTCGACCAGTCTGCCTCAGTTTCCCTCTCAGGGTTGTTGTGAGGATCAAATGAGCTAATCATTATAAAATGCTTAGCACAGTGCCTGGCACGTGGTAGGTGCCATATAAGTTATTAAGTATTCTTATTATTCCAGCTGTGAGTCTCCAAAGACCCCCAAGGACCCGAAGGCATGACAAATCTGAAAGCCTTCTATCCGAGTTACAAAAGAATATGATGTGGCCAGGAGCTTCATGCTTGGGTTGCTTATAAGGACGTTCTGGGTGGGTTCCATGGGATCAGAGAACCACTGCAGTCCTGTGGTTGGGAGCGAGCCTGTTTTCCAGCCACTTTCACGATAAATTATCATCCCCCTTGTAGAGGCCGGCCGCGTTTTCCTGTGGCTGGTCTTCCTATCCGCCCACATTATTTGCTAATGATGAAATCTGGGACTCCGATCTGGCTTCCATTTTTGGCATTTCTCTGTTCGATGAAAACACTGACGGTCCAGTGTAGCCAGAGACAGCGTGCCAGGCCAACGTGCTTAGGCAGCACTGTGGCTGCCAGGCCAAGCACTTTCTTCAGATGACATTCTCCGGCCTCCCTTCTATGCCCCTCCAGCCAGGCTGAAAACAGACCCAAGCAGGCACAGGCCCCCGTGGGCACACTGGCACGACCACTGATTTATCTGGGGCCTAGAGTCACTCTCTTGTTCTACGGTCAGTAAACTCAGAGAACTAGAATAAACATTCCATCACCATCCGGGAAAGTATGCTTGAAAACCGTGAGCTAAGCCCTCCTTGGAGGTGATGCCTCAACACCTTCCCAGAAGCACGTTTTAGCCTTAGATAACTATTAACAAAATACACAGATCTGTGGCTTCTACGTTGGCCAAGAGACTAAAGGGGGAGATAGATATAAGGGCATGGACAATGCTATCGCTACAGGGTTAACTTCTGAATAATTCCACATTTGCTGATCTCATTAGTGGTAACTCAAGACCCACTGAGGACAGCCAAAGAACGCAGCTTTCTGAGTGAGCAGAGACTGTGCTGCCTTGGGAGAGTCCCCAGCAGAGCGTGGGGAGGCCTGGGGGGTTAACTCGCTTCTAGACTAGGAGAGTTAAGGTGCAGCAAGAAGGAGAACCCAATGACCCACTGGGCTCCACAACAGCTTTCTGCCTTCTGCTGGTCCTCGGGGCTGCCTGAGATTCCAGGGAATTTCACTGTTTGGGGTCCTCATGCTAACTCTTACTGTTTCTGGATGACAGATTACAGAGAGACTCCTAATGTAAAGAAAAACATGGACCTGAGGAATCCAACCAAGTCTTTCCCAATCCTGTGGCTTTCATTCAAGGCTTCTGGAAGAGCTGGATAACTGAGCTCTAAGCCATGTCAGTAATTATCTAAGAATGCAAAGGTCCACAGTCAATCAGTTGGTGCTCACCAAGTGTAGATCCCCCCACATGCCTCCCCTACTCAACTAATCCCAGGGGCTCCTTATCCTACACGATGCCGCCCCACCTTGTCTCTGAGGCTATGCTGGGCACCGTTCCTTTCTGGGCAGCCAGGCGAGTCTCAGTCTCTGTCTCTGTTTCTCTTTCTCTCTCTCTCTCTCTCTCTCTCTCTCTCTCTCTCTCCTCTCTCTCTCTCTCTCTCTCTCTCTCTCTCTCCCCCCACACACACACACACACACACACACACACACACTCCACCTCCCAGCTCTGGGCCAGGCCTGGAGCACACTCTCTCCTCAGCCCACCTGGAGAATCCATCCCTGTTAAGAATAGGGTGCCTCCCTCCCCAGCCACCTAGAAGTTATCTATTTGTATTACTTAATACTTCTAGAGGCCTTTATCTTCCCCCAAAGACCGTCAGCTCCTTGACAGTGGGAGCTACTTCATTTGTTATCCTTGTAACCCCAGGGACCAGCATTGAGCTTCCTGAACAGTGGGAGATTAATAAATACTTGTGGACTGAATAATCAACATTTACTAAGCACCTACTGTGTGCCCAGCACTGGGGATCCAAGCCCAAAGAAGGAATCAGTCTTTACTCACAAGGAATTTACTCACAAGGAATTCACACTCCCTAGGAGAAGACAAGTAAATTAAAACACACATAATAGTGAGAGGGGGAGCCAGCCCTCAATTGCTCCCTTTGGGGAGGATTCTCCTGGTTCTGCTCACTCCACTTTGCAGCCGTGAGAATATGTGTGCACGTGTGTAAATCTTTCCAGGCTCCTCTGTATTCATCATGGCACAGGCAGATTCCATCATACTTCCAGACCACAATGTGCTCAGCCATTACCCAAATGATCACTTCCAGTTCTTTGCTACAAGAAACAACACGGCTATAATTACTGTGGTGTATGTGAAGCTTTTCTTTTTGGGGTACGCGATGAGCAGTGGAATCTATGGGTCCAAAGTATGGATATTTTAGTCACTTTATCTGCATAATTCCAAAGGCCTTTTTCAGAATGGTTGTGCAGATTCACAGCTCCACCAACAATGCACCAGTGTGCCCATCTTCCTACAAGTCCTCCAAAGCTAACTGTTCCCATTTCTAGCCCTCGCTGCCAGTTTGCAGGATGTGAGGCGAAATGTTGCATTTCTCTTCTGGGAGTGATCTGGAGCATTGTTAATAGATTGTAATTGTCCTTACCTCCTGGACAAAGCCATTTGAATGTATTTCTGTTTGTTGTCTCCATCATCTTGGACACCAAACCCTTACTGGTCATATCTGATACAAAGATTTTTTTGACTAGGTGACTGCTTCCCTTCTTATCCCAGGCATGCTAATGCTGTATCATGTCATCTAATTAAAGGGACCGATTTTGTCTTGGGTGGTTGTCCTAGGTTGACTCCGCACTCTTCACACTGAGTTACAGTGCCCAGTGCACTCTCAATCAGTACGCATTTTAGAATACCTAGGAGGTGCCAGGCACTGTTCTAGGCACTGGAGATGCAGCATGTACTGAGGCATGACGGCCAGGAAAAGCAGCCGTAGTCTAAGCATTCTCTGGGATAGTGACATTGGGTTCTGGTATGAGGTCACTTCCTTTCCAACAGTGATGGAAATCCCAATCTGGCCCCCTGCCACCACTTCTTATGCTCCAGATTATACCCACTGGTCAAATGCACAACAATCTTCACGTATTCATGTAAAAAACACTAATTACAGACCTAGGTCTTCAATATGGTGCTGGCTGGGGGGGGGGGTGGAGTGGGGTGAAAGGCTGCAGGCATCACACTCATCCTTGACCAGAACCACTTTCAAGTGCTCCTGACCTCCGGGGACCTCATCTAGGCAAGGCACCGTAGGAGACTCGAGGTGCCTAGAGGGCAGGGCGTCCCGGGCTCCCTGGGGGGCACCAGGGCAGCAGCCCTCCTGGTCAGGAAGGGGGCTCCCTCTGCTTCCCCTGTACCCTTCATACTTGCCCTCTGGAGAGAGTTTTGAGAGTGCTGAGCCTAACTGTCTTAGCACGTGCTGTTGGCGATCTGAACAACCCAGTGAAGGGGGTGGGCTTGGAAATACCTCACCTCAGACTGGGCACTGTGGCGCCCAGACTCCCCTGGGATCCCCTTCCCTGGCTGATGACGGCTGTTCTGTCTCCTCCTTCCAGGGCCTCATGTTAAACAACAATAAGTTAACCAAGATCCACCCCAAGGCCTTTCTGCCCGTCAAGAAGCTTCGAAGGCTCTACTTGTCCCATAACCTGCTCACCGAGATTCCTACAAACCTTCCCAAGTCACTAGCGGAGCTGAGGATTCACGATAACAAAGTGAAAAAAATACAAAAGGAGACTTTCAAAGGGATGAATGCTTTACACGTGTTGGGTAAGTTCTTCCGTATGTGAAAGAAATTGTTCAGCTGTTACCAAATGCCAAATTCTTGACTTGGAAGAGTACTCAAGATGGTCAAACAGACAATCGATGGGTGCTTTTATGAGCCATTTTTTTTTTACCAGTATTTGGAGGGGTTTGGAGGAGAGCTCAAGCAAGTCACTGCTGTCACTCCACCATCTTGGCTCCACCCCTCCTACGGGTGCTTTTACAGCCCAGGCATTTTCTTCCAGTGATAAAGGAAGCTGATTATAAATAGCATTTTAAACACTGATGACTGACACTGATCTGCCCAAAGACATCCTGCCCTGTTAGAATTCTTCCTCAGGGATGCGAGGCCACCCTGATAATGGCACAGTCCAGAGGGTGTGCTGAGCCCTTTCCACGGCAGCCCCAACCAGGGCTGCCCTGTGTTCTCTCCCACCTTACCTCATCGACCCACAAGGAAGTCTACAAGGAATCCCACAAGGATCGCCTGGCTTCCCATCAGTCACCTCACCCTTATGCCTTTGAGACTTCAGGAGAGGAAAAGCAGCTGGTAAAATGACCACTTCCCTATAGTTTAAGTCATGTGAGCTCTGTTTTTTTTAAACCACCTGCACAGATCAGAAGAACAGGGTAAATGTCTGGAATTCACTCCCTAGTCTCTGTTTGGCTAATTTGCAAGAAAAATTTGCTTATCCATGAGTTAATTCAGCAAATATTTGTGCAATAAAAAGTGAACACAGAAACTGATTTGCAAAAGACAGTTGGCTATTGTCGATTTGTGCTTGTGGATTTGGGATACCGTCCTTAACTCTGGCCGCTGGGTATGCCCTCAGACGGGCCCCTCACTTACGGGAACACACAGAGGCATTTGTAAAAAATCTGCTGTCTTTTTGCTGACAAAGACGATGGGGAGAAGCGACATTCTATCCCTAGTGTCTGCCTAGCGCCTTGCGGGACCGGGAGGTGCTCCATCAGTGTTTGCGGATTGACTAACAGAAGCTCTAACGTCCATAATGTTTCCTGATCAAAGCTCAGCTGCCAGGCCTACGCAGAGAGACTGAGGACAGCCTTCTGGATCCTATTTTTACAATCTTATAATGTTCACTGGGGGCACACCAGAGCCTGTCTTGGACCCCCGTGTGCAGCAGTTTCCAGATCGACGGCTCACATGCTCCAGTCTATAGAGTAAGGCGAGTGGTGACAGCTGCAGCAACAATTGCCAAAACAAAATAAGAGCCAGAAGCTTCGTACAAGGAGCTACTCCACAGAGGCCATGCCAGGGCCCCTGCGCACTGCCGCCACTGGGCACCGGGCTAGTCTGTGGGCGGCCCCCCTTCGGGCAGCAAGCCTTCCCTGGAGGCCTCATGCATAAGATCAAAGAACATTGAGGTCAGTGTGCTTAGTGGGAGCTGAGCAAGCTCCTACTATGTGCCAGGCGCTGTGCCAAGCGCTGAGGAGACAACGGCACCAAAGGCTGGCCTCAGCTCTCGAGGTGCTCCCAGGTGGACGGGGGAGGCGCATTTCAAGCCTCATCCCTGCGCATCATGGAGATGCTCGCCTCCACCTGACAGGTGAGAGGAAGCGGGGGTCAGTGACTTACCTGCCCAAGATCACACGGTTAAAAGCATCAGAGGCAGGCGAGGCTAGCTCAAGCTTCCTCACCCGTAAGTGCAAGCTGCCACGGCAGCTGCTGCCATCTCGACCTGCGGCCCGAGTCCTCTGCGCCTGTCGGAGCTGGACGGGCCATGACAGCAGGCCGTCTGGAGCACACACGTCTCGAGGAGAGGGCCTGGGGTCCAGGGCTCGTCCTCTGGGACTGCCTGCCCAGGGCTCGGACGGACAGCTGAAGGAGCCTAGGCCGGACTGGCGGCTCTTCTGCATCTTTCTCTGAAGAGGGCCACGGGTGATGGCAGGTTTCCTTCACAACACATATCTGTTAGTGATGTTCTTTCTTCTTCCTAGAAATGAGCGCCAATCCTCTGGAAAATGAGGGAATAGACCCAGCGGCCTTTGAAGGCATCACCGTCTTTCACATCAGAATTGCAGACGCAAAGCTGACCTCCATCCCCAAAGGTGCGTGCCCCATGCCATCTCACGCACCGCCCATGTGTCTAGAAGTGGGGGCAGACTGAATGCTGAGGAGTCACTGGGCGGCACACAAGCATGGTCGGGCACCTCCTTGGTGCCTCACCTTTGTCAGGGAGGGGAGCCTGGGGGCTGAACGCTCAGTGTGGGGGGGGGACTGCAGGACTAGAGCCACAGGGAAGGCTTCATGGAAGAGGGGCCCAGAGCTGGGTGCTGAGAGGCAGGGGGGTGGTGGCCACAGGAGTGAAGAGTGGGCGTCTGCTCTGGGAGCAGGGCTGGGTAGGGCGGGGCCCCTGCTGGAGCACAGAGAACAGACCAGAGGAGAGGCCCAGGAACAGCGGGGAGGACGGGGAGGACCACTGGGGTGGGGTTCTGCCCCAGAGGAGTCCTCTTTTCCCCCATGGGTGAGTTTACTTCTGGAAAATCTTCCCAGGTAAATCTCACAAATGCGCTGCTGTTCAGTTGTGTCCGACTCTGTGACCCCATTTGGGGTTTTCTCGGGAGATACTGGAGGGGTTGGACATTTCCTTCTCCGGCTCGTTTTACAGATGAGGAAACTGAGGCAAACAGGGTCAAGTGACTTGCCCAGGGTCAGTCTTCCTGATGCCAGGCCTGGTGCTCTATCCACTGCGCCACCTAGTGGCCCATAAATCTCACAAATACATTTCCCCAATGGTGAGTACCATGTTCCCCAGATCCTGGACAAGTTTTCAACTTAACATATACAAATGGGCAGAGGATAGTCTTTCTTTCATGCCTCAGACCACACAAAAGGCAGGAGGCTTCACAGGGCCTCCAAACAGATAACGTGAAATGCCAGAAGCCTTCACGACGGCTCCTCGGGAAGGAAAGGCAAAAGGCCCTGGCACTCCGTCTGGCAGCAAGGGCAGCGGTGGTCCTGGCAGGAGGGCCAAAGAACTGTGCTGACGATGGCCGTCTGGTGCCTTTCTCTTCAAACTCAAAGTTCCCTTTGAAGTAGAGGTTTCTTTTCCCAAATTATGCAGAAGGTTTGCGGTGATGAAGGTGATTTCAGAAGTTTGACAGGCAGGAAAGGTCAGTCAACTGACTTAACTATTGCCTGAGATTCTCATGGCTGGTCTTGGAAACCTCTGGCCAGCTCACGTCACATTGGAGAGCTGCTTCTATCACCTTCCTGACTTTGACAGGGCCTGATAAAACAAGGTGAGGCTCTGAGGCTCCCCACCCCCACAGAAAGCTCCGGGAACCGTGTTCTCCTTCCTGCTCTTTTAGGAAATCTAGCGACAGAACAACACATGCTAAAGGTCAGGAGCTCACTGGAGAGTCTGCGGCACACTGGGAGAGCCAGGACACAACCACAGTTACACACACACATATACACACCCACACCCACACAGATGCCAGGCTCCTCTGAGGCATCTGTGTCTGTGGGCAGCTGGGGAGGCTTCACACAGAGACTCTGGGGGGCTGCAGGATGCTCAGCTTTCTCCCCATGTGGCTCTGGGAGGCTTCACTACTACTGAGCCCTCTGCCAGTGGGGCCAGAGATGTGGGAGCGAGGGATTCTGACCACTCAGTCAACAAGCAGTGATTGAGCACTTGATGCGTGCCAGGCACTCAGCTAAATGCTGGGGACACAGAGAAGCAGCCAAACCAGGCCTTGCTCTCCAGGCGGTCCCAGCCCTACGGGGGACACAACCTGGAGAAATAAGTCACAAGGTAAATGTGGACTAGATGGGGGAACCTGGGGCTATTCTTCGGCTGAGATGGCCACATGAATCCGCAGGGATGTTTCACTTGTATGATCGCACTACAAGATCTTTACCATCTGTAGCTTTTTACATGGTTTTTCCATGGAATTTTCTAACACCGACAGACCACGTGGTGAGCGGGACAGACCTGATGGGAGCTGGCGAGGAGCTAGCCCCAGGAGGCCGCCATCCTTGTTTTTGGAACAAGCACATGCAGTAAAACCCAAACAAGATACTTTGGAAGCTCAATCACTTTTCCAGTCTCCTCTGGCCCACAGATGCATGCCCTGTTCTTGGCTAGGACTGAAGCCCAACGCTGTTCAATAGAACAGACATCAATACCTTCCAAGCTTCCCTCCGGTACATCTGCAAAGCACACAGCGGGAGGATGAGAGCACGAGGCCCCACTGGGACTGGGCTCGGGGTGGATTCCCAGAGACTGGAAATGGAGATCTCGTCAAAATCTGTGGTATCGGCTTACCTGGGAAAGCATCCTGGATGCAGGCTTCCAGACCACCCACCACAGCTTGTTTTTAAAAACAGTAAGCGGACTAAGTGGCCAGTGCTGCCAGGACACACCCAGGGCTAACATCAAACTAGTGACGCTGTACCTATGGGACGCACGGCGGCCGAAGTCTCGGAGCACTAGTGACTCAGAGAGGCGCACTGATGTCCCCTTAAGGGCTCTAGGGGCAAAAAGGACGCTCACGAATTTCTTTCCTCAGGCCACCTGGTATCCCTGGTCCAAAAGCTACGTGCTCCATGGAAATGGACAAGGGAGAGAACTTGGTCAGGTTTTTACTAAGTTACCCCTGAGAGACAAAGAGAAAGCAGAAACAAGCCCCCATCTGATGTCCTGTTCCCAAGCAGGAGATATTGTGATGAAGAGGAGACACCAGGCCAGCAGGGAGCAGGCACTGCCTCCTGTAGACCGGGGCCCGGGGCCTTGTCCACCCCTCACCCCGCCCCACCCAGGACTCAGGAAGTGGGAGCAGCGTAGGGAGGAACAGCAAGGGGGGCAGAACATGGGAGGCGGTCAGCGTTAGAGGCCTGGGGAGCCAGAGGGACCAGGCCGGGAAGGGCTTTCGATGCCGAACAGCCCTTTATCTGCATTGTGTCCGGAAGGCAGCAGGGAGCTTTTTGATCAGAGCCGATGTTTGGGAAAACCCAATCTGGCCAATGAACCCCAGAGGGAGGCCTGGGGTGGGGGACCCTCTGAGACCCCGGGTGGTGGCGGCCAACGCCTCTGAGGGGTCTCCCTGCCTCAAAAATCCGTCCCCCCCCAGCCTGAGTCGGCTCCTGTCTCTCATGCTCCTGCTTGGCTCCAAGCTAAAGGCCCCTCACAAAGTGGCAGCAGCCTCCACTTCCTGCCACCTCTTCACCTACTGCCCGCGCCAGGCAGGCTGGCTTTCCCGCTGCACAGGTGGGCCCTCTGCTGTCTCTCTGAATCCCTGGCCTCTTCCAAAGCGCAGCCCAGCCCAACCTCCCCCAGAAGAGGTCGGCTCAGGCCTTGGGAGAACCTAACCTTAGGAGAGTCCAAAATGCCTGGAAAGTAAAATAGAAACAGACCACCTAGTCCTGTCCTAGACAAGTGCTCGGGGGGGGGGGAGAATTCCAACTGCCCTCACTCTCATCAGTTGTAGCCCACTGACGGCTACTTCAGGGCTACTTCACCTCCTCTCTGGAGAAAAGGAAGGAAACAAACTAGTATGTGCCAGGCACTGGGAGAAGCACTTTGGGAATATCATTGCATTTGACCTTCATAGCCAGCCTGGGAGGTAGGTGCTGTTATTATCCCCATTTTACAGGTGAGAAAACTGAGGCCCTCAGAGGTGAAGTGACTTGCCCAAGGTCACAAAGCTAAGAAGTATCTGAGGCTATATTTGAACTCAGACCTAGTGCTCTATGCTCTGCTCTCCCAGCTGGACAGACGAATGTCTTTTCTAATGCTCATGAGCCCCCACTGGTGTGCTCTCACCATGGCAGTCAGTTCATACCAATTAGTCAGCCTGCCTTATTAGCTTTTACAAAGAGGTTTTACTAAGGTGATAGAGTGAAAACAAATGGTCCAATATACCTCCCCACCCCACCCCCAAATTGGTGACAAATCTATCAGGACACACCGACTCTAGGGGGAAAGGGGCTCCAGCTTATTAGCAAACACACAAGGCAAAGGTGGCTTCTGGTAACAGCTCCTGGTGCTGGAAGCCACTGTTCCCTTTTTCGGGGTGCTCTTTGACCAGCTCTTTGACAGGCTCCTCGAGGAGCCGTGAGTCTACCTTCCTACATCACATCCAGTCTGTCCTCAGCTTTGATGCAGACACTGCTGTGAGCCACTGCTGTCTGAGGAAACAAGGCTAGGATGTCAATGGGAAGATGAAAGTCTAAATTATTCTGGGCCCTCTGAAGTTGGAAAGGTTCTTCTCCAGTCATGAGATAGGAAAAGGAGACCTAGGCTAATGTCCCCTCCCCAAAGTGCTTCCTCCCTGGGGCTTTGCTGGAATACTTCACTCTCATTTATTGGCTGGAACAGATAGTTTAGAGCATGACCAAGTCTCCTCTGCCAATCTGAGCATGCTTCCTGGGGGATGTCAATCCAGGGGAAGAAGGACTTTTCCTTATTTAGCCTAAAGTCTTTGCCTGATTGGAACGGTTACCATCTGGTTAAGGAATCACTTCCTTTAAACGGGGTGGCACAGCTGATAAAGCACCGGGCCTACCTGTGTGACCCTGGGCAAGTCACCTAACACTGTCTGCCTCAGTTTTCTCACATGTAAAATGAGCTGGAGAAGGAAATGGCAAACCACTCCAGTACTCTGCCAAGAAAACCCCAAACTGGGTCACGGAGAGTGACATGGACAGGACTGAGCAACCACAAACAAGGTAGGGGGACTGGGCTGATTCACACAATAAAGCCTCACCCTTATCACTAGGAGATGGCACAAAGCAGTTCATAATTAATTACCCAAGTGAGTGACACAGACTCGAGAGCTCAGGGGAAACGGAGACCACCCAGAGGGAAATACTGGGGCTTGAATCCAGGAAGCCTTGAAGGCCAGGCAGAGACTTTGACTCTAGCTGTGTGACCTTAGACAAGTCACTGCTCTGTGGTGAAGGGGCTGGTGCGGAAGATCTTTCTGGCCCGGCTGGTTCTAAAATACTCGGAGGATTGAGGACAAGATTCCCTCGGCACAAGTGGCGTGCTGCCAGCAGTCCCCTAACTCCTGACACAGTGACACAGAACCCTATCAGCTTCCCCTACATGAAGGTGGCCCCACCAGGGACCTGCTTTTCATTTGTCAAAGGGCTTCCCTGCATTTCCCCCTCGGTATCCAGACAGATGTGACCAGAACAATGATGCTTTTAAACAGGTACGAAGGGGTTCCCTCCAACTCCCTGCTGCCAAAGCAGCCAGCATCCCCAGGCACTGCAGCTGTGAGCAGTGGAACCTGCCATACGCACGGGAGCCAAGCAGAGGCAGGCAGGTCCGGGGGCAGAGCTGCACCACCCCACCCAGCCCTGCCAGAGGCAAAGGCTGGAGCAGGAGGAAGCCTCTGGACACCCCCATCTACAGAGTCCCTAGGACACCTTCCCAACTCCAGGCCCTGGGATCTGCCTCTCCCAGGAAAATGGAGCAAGGCCAGGCAGAGTTCCCATCCACCTCTACTTCACCTTGATGAATTCTGTTTCATTCTTGTTTGTCTTTGATATTTTAGAGCAAGTCTAGCTCTGTCATCTCTAAAACTGACTTCTCTATGCCCTCAATTCCTTCTTCTCCCCCTCCATAAGAGCAGGGCATCCAAGGCACAGAGGCAGCTCGCTGATAGCACAGTGGCTTCTGACCCTGGGCAAGTCACTTGACTTCTGTCTACCTCAGTTTTCTCACCTGTACAATGGGGATCGTAGCCCCTACCTCATAGGGTTGTGGTGGAGATCCAAGGGGATTATATTTGTCAAGCATTTTGTTAACCTTAAGGTTCTATGTCAATGCTAGCTATTATCATCATCATCATCGTCATCACAGAATCTCCAGAGGTGGAAGGGACCTCAGAGGCCACAGTCCTAGACTTAAGTGAGAAGGGAGTGCATGGGAGGTGGGAAGCATGGCAAATGCAAAGGCACAGAGGTGAGAAATTAGGCCAGAGCAGCTAGAAGGTTAGGAGGGGGCCAGGTCCGTGAAAGCTTTAGAGGAGTTTCTATCTAATACTCTCAGTAACTGGGAGAGGAGGGGGAGGGTGAGACGGTCAGCCTGTACTTTATATGACTCCGTCCGTCCCCACAGAGAGCTCTGACCCACTGCCTTTCCCCTTCCTCCCCGTCAGGCCTCCCATCATCTCTACTGGAGCTTCATTTAGATGACAACAAAATTTCCACAGTGGAACTTGAAGATTTTAAGCGGTACAAAGACCTTCAAAGGTAAAGCCACATCAGCACGTGAATTTGGAAGCTGAGGTATGTGCTGTACAAGGAAACCTCCTTGGGGCCCAGTGGGGTGCGAGCCTCTGGTGGCCTCAGGGACACCAGGCCATCTCTGGACAGCTTTGGGGCTGCCCAGGGGTGGGGGGGGTAGAGAGGAGGCATTCCCTCTGCCACTGAGTGGAAAATGGAGTGGGTGAGATGGCGCACAGGGCCTGCCTCCTCTCCCACAGACCCCCACCCCCACCCCCGCCTCATCCAATGATGCTCAAAGGGAGGTTTCCCCACAGAAATGCTTTACCAAGTGAGGAAAGGATGTCACTGAATGCTCAGAACTGGGACACTCTCACTGAGAGCTGGGCAGCAAAAAAGCAGTGTGTCAGCCAAGCCACAGCCAGGCCAAGCCGCATGCATCATGCACTGCCATCTTTTTGTTCTCTTTTCAGGCTGGGCCTTGGAAACAACAAGATCAAAGACATTGAGAATGGAAGTCTTGCAAACATTCCCCACATACGAGAAATCCATTTGGAAAAAAACAAGCTGAAAAAAGTTCCGCCTGGGTTACAGGACCTGAAATACCTTCAGGTAAGGTCTTCTTCTGGGGCGGGCCAGCCTGCTCTCTCAGGTTTTCAGAGAAAAAGGGTAACTTAGGGTTAGGCCCAAGACAGCTCTGAGATATAAAATCAAGAGACAGACAACATCTGCCAACCTCATTCTCATCCCTCCAACAGGCCTTTTGTTATTCCTGATTCTGGTAAGAAGCCAGACCCCAGGGAGGACACATCTTCCTCTCCTCTTCCATGAAGAGGCAGCCTCTAACCCTGCCAAGGTCATCGCCTCGATCCACCCCCTTCTGTCTGCTCCAGCAGATCATCCCCGTTCACGCATTTGCAGTCTCTCACTATCTACTGGCTCATTCCCTACAAAGCCCATGCATGCCTCCCCCCAAGTCCCCATGTGACCCTTCCATCCCCACCAACTAGCCTCCTATGCTATATCTCTTCTGTTTTTTGTCCTCAAAAAGGTGTCTACAATAGGCGCCTCTCTTTCTCTCCTCTTTACCCCTTCCAGTCTGGCTTCTGACCTTGCCCTTCCACTGAAACTGCCCTCTCCAAAGTCACCAGTGATCTCCTAGTTGCCAAACCCAGGGGCTTCTTCCCAGTCCTCACTCTCCTCGGCCCATCTGCAACCTCTGACACTGTGGGTCACTCTCTCCTCTCTCTGGGTTTTCAGGACATCTCCACTCTCCCCTGGTTCTCCTCCCACTTCTCTGATGGCTCCTTCTCTGTCTCCTTTGCTAGATCCTCCTTCAGATCGCCTCCTCTAACCACAGGTATCTCTCAGGGTTCTGTCCTGGGTCCTCTTCTCTTCTCCCTCTCTTCTACTTCACTGGGGGATCTCATCAGCTCCCGAGGATTGAATGACCATCTCTGTGCTGAGCAGTCTCAAATTTACCCATCCTGTCTCAGCTTCTCTGCTGACCTCCCATCTCCCACCTCCAACTGCATTTCAGACATCTCTAACTGGATGTCCAGTACACATGTCCAGAACAGAACTCATTCTCTTTCCTGCTAAATCCTCCACCCTCTTAACTTTCCTGTTACTGTAGAGCACAACACTGTCTTCCCAGACTCCCAGGCTCCCAACCCAGGTGCCTTCCTGGACTCCTCACTCTCTCTCTTCTCTTTTGAGAAATAGGGAGGTCAGTGTACAGGGGCAGCTAGTTGGTGTCATGGTACACAGAAGTGGCAGGCCCGGAGTCAGGAAGACTCATCTTCCTGAGTTCAAATCTGGTCTCAGACATTTACTAGCTGGGTGACCCTGGGCAAGTCACTTAACTTTCTCTGCCTCAGTTTCCTCATCTGTAAAATGAACCGCAGAAGGAAATGGCAAGGCACGCCAGTATCTCTGCCAAGAAAACCTTGCAGTGGGTCACAAAGAGTAGTATGTGACCAAACAACGACAAAGAGGTGGTGTACCTAGGTAATTCAGTGCACAGAAAGGCAAGGGGGCCGTGTTTGGAAGGGCTGTCAGGATTAAAAAGAGCCCTTAACAGTAGAGCCTGGTGGGGAGAGGGAGCTGCTGGATCCTGGTGAACGGGAGGTGAGCTGGTCAGACCAACTGCAGGGAAATCTCCTTGACAGCCAAGAAGACGGATTAGAGATAGGGACAAGTGTGAGGCCATCACACGTCCGGGAGAAAAGCGACGAGGGACTGTTCTAGGGTTGCGACTCTCTGGGTGGAGGGAAGGGGACACGTGCAAGAGATGCTGGGGAGGGAGGAATGACAAGGTTTGGGGGCTGAAGCAGAGTGGACGGTCAAGCATGAAACACACTTTCTGCGGCCAAGGCCAAAGGCTCTGAGGAAAGCGTGGGTGGCAGAAGTGGGAGAAACTGGGCTCAGAGAGCGGAATGTCCACGTTCTGACGCTCGGACATGGCACACTCTGTGAGGGCATCTCTACAGCCGTGTGTCGAGGGGAGAAGGAGGTCCTCCAACTAGAGGAAGCTGAGGAATTGTTAGGTTGGGTCGTCAGAGGGGCGGCTAGTGTTCACAAGAAAGTCAACGGGGATCCTGCGCAGGGATGGGTGACAGAAGCACGCTGGGGCAGTGACCAGAAGGTGAGCAGGCATCGGCCACCAGCACAAGGATGGGGCTGGGTAAGCAGACTGTCCGGGATTCCAAAGTGGCAGGCTTGGTACTGGTGGACAGAAGTAGGGCATAAACCGGAATCAGTGGCGGGGCCAGGGATGCGCACACTCAGCACCTGGTCCAACCCATCGGTCCACGGGACCTCCTCCACAGCAGCCCCAAGGGGCCACTGGGGTTGACTTGAGGATCTCTAAGGGAAGAGAAGCCTCATTCCCCAAAGCAGACGGTGCAGTCCACTGAGGGGGCCGCTCCTCGGTCAGCCTCTCCAGAAGGCTGTGAGGATGTGCAGTTCTCAGGGGAGAGGCTCTGAGGACACAAGGCTAATGAAAAACAGCCCCTGCCTTCAGGAAGCTTGCATTCCCACCTGGCATTGCCTTCACCTACCACTGGGAGAGAATATTTCACTCACTAATTGTAACTGAATTCCCCAGCCGACACCAGCAGTGAGGCTCTGCTCACCTGCCACGAGGGTTATGAAAAGGGGAACAGGAGCCATGGGCATCTCCACTATGGCCTTCAAGGGTTGCCTTTGCTCCTAAGAGCTAGGGCTCAGATCCCCTCCACAGGTTTTAGAAATGACTTCTGTTCCCTTCCCCAGCCCCCTGTACATACACAGTACTCTCTTGTTAACGACCAAGACAATAAAGTCACACCTAGCTGCCTAAACCATGACATTGGCTAGCGAGGAAGGACCCCCCAATACCTTCGAGGGCAGCCACATTCTTCAGGACCCCTTTAGTGGCCTGGCAAAGCTCATGAATTATGTTCTTCAGGGTTTTAAATGCTTCAAATAAAATCCATAAGATTCCAAAGGTAAACAATTATAGTGAAACAGTTATCAAAACATGAGGGGAAAGGCTCAGGCTGTCTTGTGGAGAGCCCCTGAGCACCCTCCGGGGTCCTCAGGGCTTGACCATTTCAAACCAGAATCTATGGAGCCACAACTCTAAGCTCCTGCCATCCTAACTCCCTGGCTCTTGCCATCTTCCCATACCAGCCCCTGGTGAGCTGGCCAGGCCTATCCTCTGGCTAAGTGTCCTCTGCATCTTCTGGTACTCTGCCCTCCAAGCACTGTGCTGGCAGGACTCTTCAGTCATCTTTCCACATCCTGTTCAAGGAGGCTTTGAAAGCCCCTTCCCCCGAAGGTTGTCCTGAACCCCAAATGAGAACCAAGGCACTTATGGTCCAGGGCCACCAGCCTCCATCTGCACTCCCCGCCCATAGCGCTCTCTCTCCTCCTCCTGGCCTCCACCTCCTTCCCTGCTTCCTTCCAGCCTCAGCTAAACGAGCCTATCCTGGTGCTCCCAGATGCCAGCACCTTCCTGCCACAATTACCACCGACTTGCCCTGAATGTGTCTATCCACCACCAAGTTATCTTCTTGTTTTTAACAGGTGATCTTCCTCCATTACAACAACATCACCAAAGTTGGAGTCAATGACTTCTGTCCCACAGTAACAAAGAAGAAGAAATCCTTATACAGCGCAATAAGTCTGTTCAATAATCCCATGAAATACTGGGAAGTCCAGCCGGCCACCTTCCGGTGTGTGCTAAGCCGAATGAGTGTCCAGCTGGGGAACTTCAGAAAGTAGTGCTTAGGAAGGAATCCGCTGACCCGAAAGGCCTCTACAGTGTTGCTTTCAGGATACTTGAAGTCTGTTAAGGTTGGACAACGCTCACCCCTGGTTAGTCTTTGATTCGGACGTTGCAAATACGGCACACAATTTGACAGGTCCTTCCTTGATTTACTTGACAAAAATGACGGCAGAATTTTACAAAAATATTGGTACGCACCAGTAGTTAGGGGGACACAAATATTCACCTTAGCTTCTTTTTGCAGAGATCTTGTCAAATGACATGCTTCAAAATTAATTTTTTTTTTACTAAAAATGCCAGATAAGAGGCAAAGACTTTGCCCTTATGACTTTTTACTAACCATTTTTAAAAAGGAGAATAATGCATGCAAAATGTTTGAATTCTGTATAGGCCAATTCACTATTAGAAAACAGAATTGACAAGGACAATGTCATCAAGGGCTATAAACCAGTGTTGCCTTGTTCTACCACTGATAAATCAGGAAGTACTGTAATGTTCTCTGATGCCACAAGCAGGATTGGATAATATGAAAGGGAACTCCTCCTGGGCTCACAGCAGGGGACGTCTGATCCACTAGTCCTCTGACAACCAACAGAGGTCACTGCCACCTGCCAATCTGCCAGTGATGAAAGATGGGCTCGGGCTGGATCACATGTTTGTTCTTAGGATAGTTACAGAACCTATATAGAAAAACTATATATGTAGTGAGTTAGTGGGTTTCTATTAGAGCAAGTCTATAATCACCTTCTCCATTATACGAGTTATCTTTGTATTCTTTTCACGTCATATTGCTAGACGATGTGCAATTAATTACACAGTGTAACCTCACTACCTGGGGCATCTTTGGGGAGATCTGTCGCCCTCACCTGGTCTGAGGAGCTCAGGTTCTAGACCATCTGTTTTATGATCTAGAACCAAAGATTCCTTCCAAGTTGATCAAACTAGGTAGCATTAAAAGGTATTTGTTTTAAGAGATCTGGTAGCATATGTAAAATACACAAATATTTAAAGTTTTGTATAAACATCAGGACTATTTTCTATATCTCCTTACCTGTATATTTATTAGTGGTATTCAAGATAAGTTAAGTAATATTTGAGAATAAGGAATACATTATTAAAGATGTCTGATTCATATCCAACTTTATTGTTTGGCATTAAGTTGTTTTTTTCTTTTGCCCAGGAATGTTTATAAAACAGCTTAATTAAGACACATTAGAGGCTGAACGATCATAGGGGCCTCCTCAGTCAGAGCTGACAGAGAGAGCGCCAAGGTCTTTCCACACCTGGTTGTACTTTGACCTCCCCCACCCTCCCACCACTGTGAGAGGCAAAACCAGGCAGCGCCAGCAGGGCTGCCCCTCCTGCCTGGGCCCAGCCCCTCAGGGGGGCTGGGAGACTCCCAGGGAGGAAACGCCTTTCACCAAGGCGGAGCCTCACCTGCTGTACAACATGTCATACACACACACAACATATGTGTGTGGATGATACATGACACACAAAACCACAAACATGCACATACGTGCAAGCACAACACAACATATCACATATCATAACATGCATTGCGTTACATGATACACTGTAGAGAATGTGCCGTGCACGTTGCGCATGTTACACACGTTTCTCTACATAGTTATGTCATTACAATGTTGTGCTTATACATACATATGTTATGTACATGTGTGTGCATACCTGCCCCGGACACTGGGCAGGGCCCTGGGAGCGCCCCACTGTAGGCATGAATAACCCGGATGAAGCGCACGCCCGGCGAATTGCTAGTCAGGGCTCTAGAAGTTAGAGGAGGCCAGGTTTGGGGGGAGGACCTGGCTTGGAGCCCCAGCCTGGCTCCTTACTCCCTGTGGCGGCTTCTTGTGTGAGGCACAACCTTCTGGGGCCTCAGTTTCTTCCTGAAAAGGCAGGGACTTAGATTAGAGGATCCCTCAGGTTTCCTTCCTGAGTGACATCTTTGGACTCTGTAAAGCATCAAATGTTAACGTTCTGAAAAAAAAATATGCCAAACTGGTCTGAATTTTACATCGTAACTTAAAAAATAAAACTCTCCTTTTGCAGAAGCAAGAATAAAAATGGTCTAAAATTGGTCACAGCATCACCAGAATGGCTTGTTTGGGCAGGGGTGGGGCACCCACTCTATACTAACAGCCTCCACTGCCCAGGGCTGTGGGGAGGATTGAATGAGATCGTATTTTCTAAGCACTCAGCAGCGGCATGGGCACGTGGTCGGTGCCATAAAAATGCTTTCCTCGCTGTTCCCTCAGGTCTGACTCTCACTGACCCCATCTGGGGATTTCTTGGCAAAGACACTGGACTGGTTTGCCATTTCCTTCTCCAGCTCACTTTACAGATGAGGAAACTGAGGCCAACAGGGTGAAGTGACTCGCCCAGGGTCACACAACTGCTAAGTATCTGAGGCCCGATTTGAACTCAGGAAAATGAGCCTTCCCTTCTGTGCACTATGGCGTCCCCTAGCTATTCCTCTCAGGATACACGGCACAAAACAAATAGGAAACGATTCGAGTTGACACCGTGGGACATAGCCCCCCCATTTCATCTATCAGTAATTTCTTGCTCAGACATCTGTTTCCCCCGCACAGCTGGACGCCCCATTTCCTTCGACTTTCCAAATAAATCCCTAATGAGGGTTCAAACCTCCTGCATCCAAGTCAGGGGTCTTCTGCCTGCTCTCCTGGGCCCGCAGAACTTGCCCGGGGCTGCTCCAGCCCGCTGGCTCCAATCGAGTCCAGCCACGCAGGTCTGCGGGCGGGCGCTCTCCTTTAGAAACCTGTCACTTGTTCCCAAGCCTCAAACACAAGGGCCGGCCAAAGGACCCGCGTCCGCAGAGCTGGGACTGTAACTAACGGGGGAGCCGAGTCGTGAATGAAGCCTTGTTACTGTTACTGTTACCGTCTGTTAATTTGTTCTGGGAAACACCAGGCGTCCTTACGTAACCTGCACCAAAGTGAAGCCGCAGGCAAAGTGGCGACTTTCTGGAAGCGCCAAGGTCATTTCGGAGCACGCTCAGACCGCTCCCGTTCCTTCGTCTTCCCTTTCATCTTCACAGCAAAGTTTCTCTTTCCCTTCGTTTGCTCTTTTCAGATTAAGGTCTCAAAGGACTAGCATGGGGAGGTGGATGGTGGAGGAAATACAAGAGGCAGTGGGTGAAATGCAGGTTCGCAGGGTTCCAATGCTGGCCCCAATCACTCGGCGGTCTGGAACCCAGGCATCCCGGAGGCCTGACCAGCTATACTGCAAAGACGCTCTAATCCGCCCGCCGGAGAAGGACTGGGATAAAGAAGGCCCGGGAGGCTTCGCTGTCCGGAGCCTGTTTGCACGTGAAACGCCAGAAGCAGAGGTAAAAAAAAGCCAGCCAAGGAGGTAAGAGAGGAGCAAAGTCAGATCAACAGGTGGGTGGTAGGCGGCTGTCTACACTAACCCGGAGGCCAACAAAAACACACGCCAAAGACACAGATCCACCGGAGCTTCCAGGGAGCTCGAGTCACACTAGGAACGTAATGGACTGCTGCCATCTGGATATCAAGAGTAAAGCTGCTGGCGTGAAGAATTGGGAAGGGCAGGGGGGTCTGACCACACGTGGGCTGCACTCAGAGGAATCGGGGTACAGCATGGAATGGCCAATGGCCTTCCAAAGAGCGATCCTAACGCTTCCCTTCTCAACCCCGTAATCTCCATTCAGTCATTCACACCAGCACTCAAACAGCTGGCACAGGAGAGGAGCAGGAGGAAGACACGATGGGTGTAGGATATGTAAAGGGGAGGCCTGCAACAGTCTAACAGGAGAGTGAGGAAAGGGCTCCAGAGGATGATGGAGCCTAGGGACTCCAGGAGGCAGAGGCCAGAAAGGAGTCTGGGCAAAGGCCCGAAGGTGGGAGAAAGAATCTTAAGTGTAGGGAATGCCAGCGTGGCCCATGTGGCTGAAAAAGAAGCGGGAATGGAGAACAGCAACTGAAAGTCAGCCTGGAAGGGTAGGCTGCAACCAGGCTGGAAAAGGCCTCAGGGCCAAGAAGAAGGGTCTGTGTTTTGCCACAGAGCTAGAAGGGAGCCGGTCAGGAGAGCCTCTGGCGGGCAGCGACCAGAATTCAGTCTGGAGAAGGAGGCTGCAGGAGAAAGCGCCTTCCGCCCCGTGCCCCTCAACCATCCCCCCTCTCTCATTCATCTGTCCCCTCTCCGTGGCCAGCGGCTGTTTCCCTGCTGCCCGGGACCCAGCTGTGTCTGCTAGCTGTCACCTCAGGCCTCTCCTCCTCTCTAAGGCTGCACCCTTGAGAAGGCCGCCTACACCAGCTGCCTCCACTTCCTGCCCCTTCCCTCAGAGACTGTCTCCAACGTGTGCTGTAAATAACTTGTCTGTATTTGTCTGCTGGCATCTTGTCCCCCACGTTAGACTGGGAGCCCCTTGAGAGCAGGAACTGTCTGCCTGGCACACAGCAGGCACTTGATAAATGCTAGCTGACTGGCTGACTATCCTGTCTCAGTTTCTCTGCCGACCTCCAATCCTGCATCTCCATCAGCTTCTCAGACATCTCAAATAGGGCATCCAGTAGGCTTCTTAAACTCAATATGTCCAAGACAGAACTCTTTCTTTCCCCCAAAGCTCTGCCCCACCCCCCACCTAATTACTGGAGAGGGCAGTACCCTCTTCTCAGTCTCTCAGGCTCCCAACCTTAGAGTTATCTCAGACTCCTCATTCTCTCTCACTTCCATATCCAAGATGGTGCCAAGGCCTGTTGATCTCACCCTCCTAACACCTCAAATATACCTTTCTCTCCTCTAACAATACCACCACCCTGGTGCGGACCCTCATCACTCATGCCTGAGTCTGCTTGGGCGGGGGGAGTTGGCATGCAGGTTGGTGGCACAGTGGATGAAGTGCCAAGGCTGGAGCCAGGAAGTCCTGAGTTCAAATTCGGCCTCAGACACTTAATTGCTACATGACCTTGGGCAAGTCCCTCAACCCCGTTTGCCTCAGTTTCCTCATCTGTAAAATGAACTGGAGAAGGACATGGCACACCACTCCAGTACCTTCGCCAAGAAAACCCCAAGTGGGGTCACGGACAGTCAGACATGGGTGAACAGCAACAAGCTGTGGGGCCTCCCCCTCTCCAGCCCACCCTCCACCGGGCCTAAAGCTCTGATCATGCCCCTCCCCCATCTAATAAACTCCCATGACTCCCTCTCTTTGTGGCCTCCCCATTCAGTGAAGGCTTGTTGACTAGCCTTGCGTTTAAATGCCAAGCGCAGATCCTATTTCATCAGAGTTAATGGGGAGCCACTGAAGGTTCTTGAATACAGGAGTGACGTGATTAGACTGAGGCTTAAGGAAGCTTGTTCTGGAAGCTGAATGGAAGAAGGCTTGGGAAATGGGACACAATGGAAGGAGGAAGCCCTGCACAAGGGTGGTGGCTATATGAGCAGAATGATATAAAAAGGGGAAGGAAACAAGCACTTATTAGGCACCTACTGTGTGCCAGGCACCATCTGAAGCACATCACAAATATTGCATGTGATCTTCACAATGACCCTGGGAAGCAGACCTAGTATCTCCTCATTCTGCAGCTGAGGAAAGAATCTCATACAGGAGGCACTATATAAATGCTTATTATTCCCTTCGCCCTACTGTGTGCTAAGCACCTTTTACCATTATTCTGATTCCAAAACCTGTTGTCTGTTACATCACGCCATTTCTCATCTCTTGTGATCTTTTAAAATGCCTGAATGCTCCCCAAATACCAGACACTTCAGACTGGAAATGAATTCACCAGCCTGCAATAAAGGCTTGAACCTGAGGCTGTGGCCATGGATGGCCTGGGGAGCAGGGGACACGAAGTTCTCATCCTTTGCCACAGAAAGAAGGAACCTGAAGTTTCTTTGGGCTGGGAGAAGTCTTACCGAGTGTTGGCCAGACGAGGGCAGCTGCAGTCCAGACTCCTGAGGGAAGGAGTCTGCTTCGAGAGGAGGGAAAAGGAAAAGCCCTTGGGAAGGAGACTGGGGACTGCGCGCTGCTCCCTCCCTCCCTGTGCTGACAGGGAGGCCCATAGCCCACCCCCCACCCCATCCCATGGGGCTCTGACCCACAGTGATAACTAACCTTGGCACAGCCCCCTGAAGTTGGCAAACAGCTTGACAAATAGCATGTTGTTTCACACAGGGCTATTGTTGTCCCTGTTTTACAGATGAGAAAAGTGAAGCAGGCAGATGTTCAGTGACTTGCCTGGGGTCCCACATAGGGTTTGAGCCAGGTCTTCCTGACTCTGTCCATCTCTGAACCACCTTGGGGTCTCTGAGGCCCCTGACTGAAACTCCCATTTAACAGATGAGGTAAGTGAAGTCCAAGGAATACAGTAAGATCCAAAGGCCAATGGGAACCCAGGCCTCTACCGTCAGACAGAGGAGGCACTTTTGACATCCGTCCCCCTGAAGTCATCAGAGGGAGTCCGTGGCACTAGCGACTATCCGTTGATTACTTGGCCAGATTAATTAACTAATTAATCACTACCTGATTACTGATCAGACACATGGGCCAGAACAAAGTGCCGCTCTGGATCTGAAGTGCCTGCATCGCCACAGCCACGGCCATCACCAGTAAAAGTTATTCCAAGAGGATGAAACCGAGAGTGAGCTCTGTGTTCTCCAAAGCCTATTGAATTGGCTGCAAGTTCTTAACCTCCCGGTCAAGGCATCTGAACCACAGCAAAGTCGAGGACCTCAAACCATCTCAATTTGAAGTTCATAATGGAGTTAGCTAGAATGAATTCACCTTCACTGAGCAACCTTTTATAGAAAGAAAGAAAGAAAACATTTAAATATCATTCAAAACAAAAGAATAATCGCCAGTGAGAGGTGGAAGAAAAGAAGGCCTCAAACCAGGAGCTCTCCATTGTGTACCTTAAGGCCCCAACCAGAGGTAAGGGGAAAGGCTGCATCTATTTGAGGTGGCTGTCTCTTTTTAGAAATTGTTTTATTTTAAAACTTCTGAACTAAACACCCCTCACAAGACCACCATTTTCATAAAGAAAAATGGGAAAGAAAAAGGTTTGTATGTGAAAATGTGAGGCTCCAACACATCCTTCTAAAAGCTCTCCTGCTGGGCAGGGCCCCCCCCCCATTCCCTTTCTGTCCTCTTCCTGGGCTTGCCCCAAAGTCCTTCCTTTCTTTCCTTTCTGGTTTTTGGGGACAACACTATTGCTGATTCCCTCCCTTGCTACCTCCCCAAAAGAAATAGGAAAAAGCCAGTCTTACAACAAAGACCCAGAGTTAAGCAAAACCGTGCCCTAAGGTCTGTCTCACTACGCTCCCGGAGCCCCCCAGCCCTCGGTCACCAGGAGGAAGCAGCCATCATCTCTGCCCCTCTGACCTGCCCAAACTCGTGGCCTTGTCTCAGTCTGGATCCTTCTGGGCCTCTCCACAGCGACTGCGCTCTCCTGCTTTCCCCTACTCGCTCTTCCTCAGATTCCTCAACTGGATCTGCAGCGGGGTCACAATGGCGAACGCACACGCCCCTCAGGGCTCTGTCTGGGACCTCTACCCATGTTCTTCCATTCTGTTTCACTTGGTGACCTCATCAAGTCCCAGAGTTTCAATTACCGTCTGCACGCTGATGGTTCTCATACATACTTATCCAGCCCTAACCTCTCTCTGAACCGCCAGACTTGCATCTCCAAGTAGATGTTTGGTAGACATCTTGAACTTGATATGCCCAAAATGGAACTCATTAGCTTCCCCTAAACTCACCTCTCCTACCTTCCCTATTATTGTCGAGAGCACCGCCATGCCCACCTTCCCCTGCCAGGCTCCCGACCTCAGAGACATCCTGGACTCCTCACTGCCTTCCATCCCCCTTATCCAATATGGCACCAAGGCCTGTCAATTTCACCTTCCTATCTCTCTCCAGTACACTCCCTTCTCTCTCAGACCACGCCCCTAGCCTAGTGCAGGCCCTCAGCACCTCCCGCCTGGACTACTGGAATGGCCTGCTAGAGGGCCTCCTTGTCTCCGGTCTCTCCCCACTCCGGCCCATCCTCAGCCACCAAAGCACAGTTTCCTAAAGCCCAGATCTGACCGTGTCATCCCTCCCCTGTCAATAAAGTCCAGTGGCTTCCTAGCACCTCCAGGTTCAAACATAAAATCATCTGTTTGATGCTCAAAGCACTTCACCACCTCTCTCTGTAATTCAGACTCTTCCCTAATTCCAGTGACCTTTCCCCCTAAATTCTGAAGGGGTAACAACCCCAGGGAGAATGTACTAAAATAGAAAGATGTAATAATTCCCCCAACCCCCATTTCAGGATCGTGCTTTTTTATCCTTAATCTTCTAGACATGAGGCTCATTTAAATGTTTCTGGATATTTTCGTTTCTATGTATTTAGAGATGCAGCTTCTTGTATTTTTTTCATATTTGCCATGGATTCTGATAAAAGATTTTAATTTGGAATTTTAAGAGTTCAAGAGAAAGGCATTCAATGAGATGTTTCTCCATTACGATGCTCAAGGGTTCAGAAGTAAAAGAAGGAATTGCCACAGAAGTAAAAGAAAGGAAAAAAAAGATGCCTTGTTATGTTGGGAAGACCATGAAAGGCTTCTGCGGAAGGGATTCTCACTTGCAAGAGTCTGCTGACATTAGCAATGGCGAGACAAGACATTCATAAATGAATGTAACCCTAACAAATCCTGCCGTGCTCTTTCCATGAAATTTTGAAGAAAGTGCAGATACTTGCTTTCTCTGTCTTCATGTGGATGAACGTCTGAGGGCGAAGAACAACGATGCTAATAAGAAACATATGGGGAGGCTGTGGAAAAGGCTGAAAACCTGACCCAAGTGCCATCCGCCACGTTTTACATACCAAAGGCTTGAGTAAGAGACTGGGTTTTGATATTTACCTTATATGTTCAACAGAAACTCCCAAGAACATAGACCACTAAGGATTTAAGTTCAACAGCAGAGAGGCGATCGGCTAGGTTGTTTTTTTTTTTAATTCAAAAGAAAGGACAGCTTTGGAAAGAAAAAGTAAAGAGGCTCCAGATCCACTTTACCTTAGTCGTTTGTACAAGCTTGAAAGAATGTGTGAAAGCATGATCTCACCAGCCCATCCTGCCAAGAGACACAAACCCTGACAGGAGTCCACTGGGTATGAAATAAGACCTTGTTAGTCCGGGGAGGGGAAAAAAGAGGGGGGGACCTTCTAACCCTACAAACTAAAACCAAGGCAGCAGTCAAAGACCAGCTACAACAGACCAGGCACATAGGGGCAGTGCCCACGAATGTGTAACGGTTATGAGAGTCCCTGGCTGTCCATCTTTGCTGGATCAGTGTTGGAAGGGCTGGTGCGGAGGTTGGCTTTGGTTTGGTTTTTTGGGGGGAGCTGCCTGGAAGAGACAGCTAGCTATAAATGTAAAATGGATTCATGACCATCATGGTGAAGTGGCAATAACACGGCTTGGGGAGCTGGGAGACCCAGGCTCATGCACTGACTTCACTTCTGGGGCCTCAGTTTCTTCGGGGAGGGGTGGATTTAGATGCTCCCTTCCAATTCTGACCTGAAAGATTCTTTTATTTAAACCAATGGTATGAATGAAACTGTGCCGGTAAGCCCATTCTGTGTTCTGGGCAGAGGGGAGAAAGGAAGGCCTACGTGGTCACTGCACAGAGCTGCAGATGGGGCTCGCTAACATTAGGCTTTGCTGCTATAAAAATCTAGGCTTCCCCTTAATTTGAACTAGAACATGGAGTTCCACCTTCTGGTGGCCATTAACTTGGAGAACTCGTTTGGAATGGGAGTGAAAAGAAAAGCAGTAATCAGTGCAGCCTCTCATTTAGCTTTTCTGTTGACCATTCAGATTATAGGAAATTCATGCCACACCTCAAACCAAAACTAAGGGGGGAAAAGGAAGAATGAAACCACATAAATTGACCAGGGCTAGCAAAATTTTTATTTGCATTCGTAACGTTTTCTGGAAAAGAAACATATAATTTAATCCAACCCAAATGTTACTAAAGCAAATTATATTTTTGCTTAAATTGCTACAGTATTTCAAAGGACGCCCCTGACTAGGGACAGAGTGACTGGGGACTTTTAGGAGACACGGTTACAGATTTCAGGAATTTCTGATTCATTCAAAGGATTTGCAAATTCATCCCTCACTGAAAACTAAAGCAAGATCAGGTATGAATGGAAATGCAATATGATTTGTATTTTCAATGTTTGGAAACAGTATTTCTGCTGTTTATCAACATGAATGTTTGCTTGTTAAAAATAAATGGTAGACTAATGACTGAAAACTTTTATTGCAAGATGATAAAACTGTGGGAAATCCCCAGTGGCTAAGACGGCCAGCAAGAGAAGGAAGGAAAGCTTCTTGGTACGGGAGTTTTCAGTGCTGCTTTTGGGCTCCCAATGGGGTGGGAGGCTTCCTGAGAATCCCCGAAAGATCGCTGTCTCCTGCGCTCACTCATGAGTCAGGACCAGTAAGCTAAGACTTTCTTTGGCTACGGAGCGTCTTGTCAGGCTCATGGCCCCCGGTATTAATTGCCACTTTACCTTGCTGTAGTTGGAGAAGAGAGTGGTAGGGGGAGACTTTGTAATTGACACAGGAAGTTTATTTCATGGTCTTCCTGCATATTCCTGTTCTTGTCTTGTCTTTCACCCCCTCGTTTGCCCCCTTTTCCTAAAATCACAGTGAAGGGAAAAGGATAGCATCTGGCTAATGGAAGGTTCTGGAGAATTCAACTGAACAAACATTGGGGTCCTGGTTTATTAAGGTCTTAGTGTGTAACTTAAAGAGGTCTCTAGAAATTAGAGGTTACACTCTCAGAAGACACTTTCTCTGGATCTTCAGTCATGGTAAAGTACTTCCTTTTGCTTTAGAAGAGCCTGTTGCAGTTGATTTGAGAAAATGTTGAGGCAAATCCAGATGCTTGGTTTCATTAGACCAGATATTATTACGCAGAAATACAGCCCACCTTTGAGTCACTGATGGAGCTAAATTTCTCCTTCCTGCTTCCTACATATGAATAGGAAAAGTATTTTAAGCCCCTTTCATCCTAAAGTAAATTATTATTCATCATTTCACTCAAATGAGAACAAAGGGAGCCTTTCTCCAAGTAAGTTCAATCCCCAAAGCTTAATTAACCAACTGATGGAAGGCAGGTATTGGGAGCACGAGCCAAGGGGATTATTGAACTCTGTGCCTTTTACTTAACTTGTGACTCATATCTGGAATTCAAAAAAAAAAATTCTTGTTAAAGGGGAAGCTTATTTTTAAACTCCTTTTAAATAGTTATGTCTGTATTTAGCTAACAATAGCAATTTTTAAGAAGTGGTCCTCCAAAAGCGCTGCGGTAAATAGCAGACTAGAACCCCGGCCACGTTGGGGTACAAGGGGTTAAATGAAATGTCCTTAACAAAAGCCCAAGTAAATGACTAGAAATCACTTAACGTCAGTCAGTACTTAAAGACGGGTACTTTCCCTCTGTGCACCAGGTCTAAGACCAAAAAAGTCCGGGGGGGGGGTGGAGGAATTGTTAGGCTGAAAGTGGGGGGATGGTTTGGACCAGGGGTTCTCCAGGAAGGATGGATATATATTCTCTCTCTGGGTCACACTATGGACACAGCAGGGAGATGGACTGTGGGGTGAAGTCAGGAGTGAATCAGGGTTCGAAGGGCAGAGTCTTCAGAATCTGGAGGTAAATCTGCAGTGTAGAGACTGAAGACACAGAGAAAGCCATATTGGAGGCTTGAGTGTCCCCAAAGGACCGAGGAGTTCTGGAGATGCCCATCCCAAACACACCCAAAGGATAGGACTAGCAGAACAGACTCAGATTAAGTGGATGACAGCCACAAACTCTCTACAGAAGGAGGAGACAGACTGACACAGATGGGGGGGTGAACTCAGCCCCTCCCTGGCCTCCACAGGTTGGTAATGGAACCAGCAGAGCAGCAGAAACAGCAGCCCCAGGGCACAGGAACAGAGATGAGACAAGAGAGAGGTAGGGCTCCTGCTGAGGAAACGGGAACATGTAAGAGGATGAGATGAACAAATACCAGAAAGAGGGGATGGCAGGGGGGCAGGGAAAGAAACACAGAGCCCACAGGCTGTGCGATGGCTGCTTCAGGGGCCAGCAGGGATGTAGGAACAGAGTGCCAGGCAGCCTGAGCACGCGCCACAGCTAATGCCCCTCAGTCTGTGAATCAATCAGATAATGGGGCACAGCGGGAAGGAGACTGGCCTCGGGAGGCAGGACGACCCGAGTTCAAATCTGCCTCAGACGTTTAAGTCAGACAGCTCTCTGGCCATGAGTTCCCTTACCTGCAAAGAATGCGATAATGACGGCACCTACCTCCTGGGCTGCTGGAAGGATCAAAAGAGCTTGCTGACCATAGAGGCTTGTACAAATGACATTATGATCATCATTACCATTACCCATGAGCATTACCGTGTTGTCACCCTAGCAAGTAAGCAATTTTCTAACTCACTAGGCTCAAACACACCATACTCTGATCCTTAATAGCCCCTAATGAAAAGGAAAATCAAAGAAACCAAAGATGTCTGGTTGGCTGTTCTGAAGGTATCCCAACACCCCGCCACTTTTGGAGGCTTCTCATCCCTGTGCCTGCTGGCGCATAAAGGCATTCTCCTCAAAGCAACAAGAAACCCCAAGTCAGGGGACGTTTGGTCACTGGGCACCGCCACACTCAGGGGAGGCACTGGCCAAAAGGCTACTGTCACATGCCATCATGTGGAGAGAACAGGGAGGTGGAGAGGACTCGATAAAACCTTCCAAGTTGAAGAGAAAGCAATGGTTACTTTGGGAAATAGGGCCAGAAGGAAGAAATGAAAGCATCAAAGAAATGCCAAACAGCACCTGTGGACAAACAGAAGCTGCACACCAACCAATACTGTTAATATTTTCCTTTTTGAGGAAAACAAGGTCCTTGATGTGACAAGAGCTAAATAACACCGCAAAAAAATGAAACTGGTTCTGTTTGAACAGACAAGAAGTGCGCCATTACTGAGGTGGGAGCCAGCTGCCTGTGCCAGCTGTCCAAGGTCCGACAATCAGCGACTGGATGGAAAAAAGTCTGGTGGTCAGGACCACCAGAAGAGGAGATGGTGTCCGACCTGACCCTCTCAAGCCCATGTGGCTCTTTCAGGACCACAGAACCAGGGTTCTTCTGAGACCACAGGATGCTGTGACTTGTGGCCAACAGCATCACCAGAGGAAAGGGGCTAAAAACATGGACCTTAGGTTCAGAGAACACTTTCTCCTGTTCCATTGTGAGCCCAGCTCCGTGTCCACTGGCACTATCTGTCACATGGATGGATGACACTGTAAATCACAGTTTCAAGAACTGGCATTCTTCATCCACTTAGTTTTCCCTGTGTGGATAGTCAGGCCAGATTCTTTTGAGTGATTACGAATCTCATCTAGGGGAGGAGTCCCTACGTTGAACTTAAGAAGCCCGTGGACAACAGTCACAGAGGATGGCCAAACATGGATGGGCTGCACTCTGTGCCACTGGAGGGAATACCCACACTTAGAAGATATGGCTGGAGTGCTGAAAAATGAGACCCAAAGGAAGGAAAGGGCTCAACCAAGGTGGACTCGTTCTCATGACCAGGAGATCAAAAGAGTCTAGAAAAGCCTTCAGCTAGCTAATGCTTCCTCAGTGAGCTGGGCTGGGAATGCCATGATCTCATTCATACAACCTCACGGAGACAGACGGAGGAAGAGCTGGAGCAGAACCGTTTTATCAAACACCCAGAAACACTATCAGGAAAGACGGATTTTCTCCAAAATCTGCTAAGAGACCCCAGTGAAGGCGAGTACCCCAAGCCCAGTGAAAGCACTTTTCGCCATGTGGGGCCCTGGCTCCACCACCGTGGACTCTAACCTTGGTCTTGGATGAGTACAAAGAGGAAGACGAAATGGCCCTGAAGAAAACCCAGCTGGGAGATGCAACTGATCATAGGAATGGAGGGCCTCATCACTAGTGAAGGTCACATGCTAATAAATAAGAGGCTTGATGCTTGGTTAGCTTTGTCCTTTGTTCTTGAAAAGGACCAAAATGGCGCCCCTATGCTGAAGTCAGCGTGCGGTGTGTCTGGCTGGGCAGACCTGTGCCCGTGTCTCTCATGTCTCACAATCGATTCCACAGTTCTTCAGAGAGAAGAGGCACAATGTGGACAGACTCAGGCGTCCTGACTCCCACGCCAATGCTCAGCCCACTCCCAACAGAGTGGTACAGTGTGCACTTCACACACAAAGAGAAGGAAGCTATGCGGGGATCGATGGCCACTGTGAATGGTACGTGGGCTCTGAGAAAGGCCAGTCCTCAACAAGAACAGGAAATCCTGGTCTTCAGAGTGACCTCACTCTTCAGAGCTGATTCTGTTAGTGAACAAAGGGATAGTCCTGGCATTCTGCCTCTCCAGGTACGTATGCGTGGGGTGTGTATTTGTGTGTATGTCTGTGTTAAGGCTAGGTGGAGGCAGGGAGGTGGCAAAGTGGACTGGGAGTCAGCAAGACCCAGATTGAAATCCTACCTCAGACACTTAGCTGTGTGACCCTGGGTAAGTGCCTTAGCTTCTCTTAGCCTCCCAGGGTGGCTGCGAGGATCAAATGAGTTAACATGTGTCCAGCGCTTGAATTTCTCTAAATGTTAACATCAATGATGAAGGCTAGAGAACACCAGTGATCAGCTCATGATGGCGTTCCCAGGGTCCATTCCAAATGTCTGTTCTCTTCTTAGGCCCCCAAGCCGAGCCCTGAGGAAGCAGCCAGCCAACTCCTGCACTGAGAAAACAGCACCTACCACACTGGGCTGTTGTAAGGATCAGAGGAGACTGTATTCATGACGCTTAGCATAGTGCCTGGCACACAGTAGGTGCTTAATAAATGCTTGTTCTCCCTCTCCCCCCATCAGCCCTACCTCCAGGACCTGATGACAGAGTTCCTCATTCATGACGGGCAGTCAGACTCTTCTTCACAAGGTCCTGGTGGTAATCGGTCCTTTCCAATGCGGCTGTCTTTCTCCTTAGCAGAGAAAACAGAAGCCAATCACAGAGCTGAGGGGGTCTGCCTTGTCTCTGGTGTCAGTCATCAAGGCCCCAATCACACCAAACAAGAGCCTTTCCGCTCATCTGATCCCCCTTTTCTTCCAGTATAACTTTTAGAACAAGCCCAAACCCCCAAACTCCTCCTTGGTGCTCCTGCATAGAGCCTTGTAGTGGGAGGGAGGCTCACGTGCCCTCTTCAAGCCGTCGGTTGTAGCCTCCGGCCCCTCGTCCCACATTCCAACCTCCTGGTTTTGCTGATTGTGGATGCAGAAGGTTATGGAAGTGCATTTTCACCCTGGACTTCCTTTTGAAGAATCTGATAGGCATAAAAACTTCATTTGAAGGAAAAAAAATTGACCTGTTAGTAACACGAGTCACCATAACGAGCCTGAATTTTTAACAAGATGATGTTTGATGTAACAGGCATTATGAAAGTGCACACTGGAGCCTTGGACGGTGATGCCAGGAAGAGGCGATTAATCGGACAAATCTGAAGAGCTTTTAGAGGGATCGGTAAAAAACAAGGGTGAATAACTAGGGGTCAGAAGGTCCGCAAATGTGATGAGGTTGTTTCTAGGAATGCTGAATTTGAGCTTGCTTTGAGAAATCCGCAGTCAGCGATCAACTCCAAGGGACAGCCTGGGGAAGAGCCAAGGCTGGAGAAAGAGGGTCGTGATTTGTTCACACGGAGCTGGCTAGGATAATCAAGCAGAGGAGATGTCTTGAGGCATGAGTGTCTCCTGTGGAAGTAGGGGGAGGGGAAGAGGAGCCAGTGAGGAAGGTGGAGGAGAAGGAGGTAGGGTTAGGATCCAGGGGAGGGCGGCAAAGCCAAAGTCAGACGAGCCCAGAGAATGGTGGAAGAGGGTGGTGGCTGAGGAGGGTCATCGCATGCTCTGTCTCCTTGTGGTGGAAGACTGGTTCTCTAGACATCTGGATGAAGAAAGTCTCTTCTGGATCAGAGTCTCGATAAGAGCGGCTGAGAAGCAATGGGAACTGGGGGTAAGATCCAGGAGATGCAGAGTCTGCTGTGCCGGGACTGATCCCCCAGCCTAAGATGCCCCAGGGGAAGTCAGCCCAGGAGGGGCGGTGGTGCTTGTGCAGACACAAAGGGAAATGGTATTGAGGAAGAGCCATAGGATTTGTCTTTGGGGTATGGGCTGGACTAGAGAGCTGTAGAGGTCCCTCAACAATTTTGAGTTTTGTATTTCTTCTATGTCTAGGAAGGCCATGGCTGCTAGGCCAACCTAGGTTTGAAGGAAAGAACACCAAAGAGTCTCTGGGTCTAAATCTAATTTCATTCTCCTTCCCCCACAAACCATCCGTCTTCCTGTTTATGGCACCAGTATCTTCTAAGTCTCCCTGGTGCATCCCCGGTGTTATCTTTGACAATTCCATCCCTAAAAGGCAAAACTGAGGGTGTGCCAGCATGGTGAAGGGCAAGTGGAAAGGCATAGAAACAGAAAATGTAGGAGTAATGAGCTGGCCAGTGGAGCTGGAGCGTGGAGGGCAGGGAGGGAGGAGCACTACAGGATGGGGCAGGAAGGAGCCAGTCTGTGAGGAGGCAAGACCAGTCAGAAGGCCACCATAGTAGGCTGGGGGAAGTGATGAGGGTCTGTGCCCAACGCCCTGGATGGTGAATGGAGAGAAGATGTATACAAGAGACACTGTGGAGGTAGACACAACAAGGCTTGGCAACAGATAGGATATGGGGAGGTGGGGAGTCAAGGGTGACAATGACGGGGGAAGCCTGGGTGGCTGGGAGGACAGGAAAGTCTGGAAGAGGGCATGTTTTGGGGAGAAAAATAATGAATTCTATTTTGGATACATCGAGTCTGAGATGCCTCCTGGGACATGTGGCTTAAGATGGCGCCAGGACAGTAAGTTTGAGTCATCCCTTAGGAAACTGGCATCAAAAGGTTAATGTGGTATCTGGAGGTGTGGGACTCATCTACAAAGAGCGGATAAGTGAGGGGCATGAATGAGCTAAGCAGGTAAAATCATGCCGAGCAAAAGGCAGGAAGGCCCAAGAGAGAACCTTGTAGGCCATCCTTGGGTAGTGAGTACTGGGGGTCCTGGCTGAAGAATCAGAGAAGCAAACCTACCCACCCCAGAAGAAACTGTCAGGTTACTCAAGCCTGATGGCAGGAGATGGCACAGAGTGGTGGGAGAGGCCTCAGGTTGGGAGCCAAAGACATGAGCTCACCCCAGGGCTCTGTCACTCACTGCAAAGGGCACAAGAAACATCTGTGGGTTTGAAATAAATTTACTTGGGGCAGCATTTAACCTCGCTGTGACTCAGGCTCCTCATGGACAAGACGAAAGAGTCGACTAAAATGACCTCTACTGTCCTCTCCACCTTGAAATGTCTGGTTCCATGATCTCACATGTGTGTGTGCGTGTACATACATGTAGACAAGCCTTCATGGGGTCACTGCCTTAACATCTGTGGCAGGAGGTGACGGTCAGGCTGGAGAGATTCTGTCCTAAAGGGAAGAGCAGAAACCATTCCCCTTTCATGATTAATTATACCCATTTCTGGATTTGCAGGTGTCTTTCTCTTACGAACAGATCCTGGAAAAGACCAGCTCTCTCCTGTGCTCTGGAGCAGATAGTAGACAGAAGGAGGGAAGAGGCAAGGGAAGCCAGAAGTGAGCCTTCAGTTACCATGGCAGAGCCCAAAAAGGGAGGGGAAGAAAATGAGACACAAGTGTGGGTTGTCTGACTGAACACAGGAAGTGGGGCAGGCTCAGACAGGAAGAAGGTCAGCAGGGTCTAGAAACCAGTGACAGTTTATTAAGTAGACATAGATGCCAGTCCTGGGGCCAAGGGCCACATTTCCAGGAAATCTCCAAGAAGCTGACGCTACCCTGAGGGGCCCCTGGCCCGGGGCAGACCCATAGGGCCAAGGTGTCAAACACAGCCACAACCCTCCCTCATAATGGGGCAATATTGAACAAACAAAACAGAAATCCAATCGATACCATCAGTAGGGGCTTCGTGAGTCAGGCTGTGGCCTGCAGGGACCCCAGTGCACAGCCAGACACAATAAAAAGGCTGGCACTGAGATTCTCAGTCACTCCGCTGGGACTTCAGCCTGTACTCTGGCACTGTCACTCCCTCCTCCTAGGTGTTCCTTCCATCTCTTTTGACAACAAAAATGCTCTAATGTGTATAGATGTGAATTTAACGAACGTCACCCTGAGCTTTTCCCCTTTTGTTTTCTCCTCTTTAGACTTCCTTAGGGCGCAAGACCATGAGTCTTCTCAGGCAGCTGTCGATTATTTTCTTCTGTTTTGAAGTCACCGTCTACTGTCAGTATGAAATGCATCGGATGGACGAAGACTACGATGAAGACGGCGATGATGACTATTCCCCTCCATTTTACTTCCATCCCTCCCGGGATGGTGGGATTCCCTCCCACCCAGGTCCTCTCAGCTGTGCTTGGGAATGCTTCTGTCCCCTGACCTTCCCATCGGCCATGTACTGTGACAACCGGAAGCTCAAGGCCATCCCAAAGATCCCTGCACACGTGCAACAGCTCTACCTTCAGTACAACGACATAGAGGCCGTGACAGCGCACTCATTTGCCAACGCGTCTAACTTGAAAGAAATCAACCTTGGCCACAACAAGATCAAGTCTCAGCAGATTGAACACGGTGTGTTTGCCAGACTTCCCAATCTCTTACAACTGCATTTGGATCACAACGACTTGGAAGATTTTCCGCTCCCTCTTCCTAACTCCTTAGAAAGACTTCTTCTTGGGAACAACGCGATCTCCAGAGTGGAGGCGTATGCTATGGAGGGATTGATAAATCTGACCATGCTGGACCTCTGCCACAATCAGCTTCACGACTCTTTATTAAAAGAAAAACTTTTCCAAACGAGAAATTTGATGCAACTCAGTTTATGCAGCAACAGGTTAGAGTCAATGCCTCCTGACCTACCTTCATCACTTATGCATCTGTCTCTAGAAAATAATTCCATTTCTCTCATACCAGACAATTACTTCAAAAAATTCCCCAAGCTTCTTGCCCTAAGACTATCGTACAACAACCTGCAAGAAATTCCATATGACACTTTTAACATTTCCAGCCTTGTCGAGCTCAATGTTGGACATAACAGATTGAAGCAAGCATTCTACGTACCCAGAAACTTGGAACATCTATACATGGAAGACAATGAATTTGAATGTATGTAAAATCTTGTCTTTTTACAGAGGGAATTAGGGTGGTCTCTGACAAGCCAGCAAAGTGAACTCGACCTCAGGCACGGCTGCCAATAGTACCTCTGAAGTCAGCCAGGAAAAGAATAGAATTATGTGTGACCAGAAAAGCTCCGGCCTCTTGTAAAAAATTTTTGATACTTTCTGTTAAATTGTGCTCTATTCCATATAAGGCTTAAGCAATGAACACACACAGAAATCCTGTCAACACTTACTTAATTGTCTTTCTCTGATTACTTGAAAAACAATTAAACATTCACTTCTCCAGCTTGTTGTAGCTGCTAGTACAGATGCTGCTAACCACTTTGGGGGTCTAGTGTGAGGGGAGAGTTGGATGGAGGTTGTGCCACTTGGCCATCAGACACTCTGATTGTGGGGGCCTGAGCGTAACTCCACATAGGAGGTATTTACACACAAACATAGCTGATGAGCTCCGTCCTTAGATGGGTTCTTAGGAATGTTTGAGATGGTCTGAATGGTAATTTCTGTTTTTACTTTACAGACATAAATGTCACCCTGATGTGTCCATCCATTGACCCAATCCATTATCGCCACTTAACCTACATTCGCCTGGACCAAAATAGGCTAAAAGAGCCGATAAGCTCCTACATATGCTTCTGCTTCCCTTACATCCACAGCGTTTATTATGGTGAACAAAGAAAACCTGACGGGCAAACGGTGCAGCTGAAGACGCAAGTGTTCCGCAGGTTTCAGGCTGACGATGAAGAGGAAGAAGAAGAAGAAGGAGATGGACAAGGACACGAGCCTGAGGGGCAGGAGCAGGGGAGAACAGAGGAGAACTTTGATCCTTACTTCTACTAAATTCAATACCTACAAGAAAAACGTAGCTTTACATTGTTACTTTATAGTAACAAGCTTAATAGCCATTCCAGATGCCACTGAGTCCTAAAAAATAAACAGAAACCAGCATTTCATGTATTCAGAATGTGAGTGGTCTGACATTTTTAAAGCTTAAAAAAGTCCTCTGTACCCCATCAAAAGAGCAACCTTAATCTCACTGCCCTCTCCTCATTTTTGACTGTTAAGGAGAAAATTTCCACTAAATTTTAAAAGAGCTCACAAGTAACAAAGCAGAGAGCTCCAAATTCTCCCTTCTCAAGGGCTCTCGACCGAGGGAGGTACAGCCCCATTGGTTAGTTATGATAACAATGTCACCCCCACCCCCACCCTGGCATGCCGGAAGCCGAGGAGGCCGTGGGGAGGCCTTTGAAGGCCCCTGCTTCCCTGCTTGTTGAAAAATATCCAGACAGAACTGAATGCACTAACAAGGAGGCAGCTTGTGCTTTCACGTGAACACGGAGCTGACGAAGGTGTGTAGAAATTCGACACGATGTCCTGGTTCTCTGATCTCTTGACAATTAAGCCAGGAAAACAGAATGTGAATTGGGAGGAACCTAGGAGAACCTCTAGAACCCCCCTCCCCCAATCTGGTCACATTCCTATGAAGACCCTAAAGGCCCACACAGGTCAGAAGAGCGAGAGCCAGGATGTGAACCCCCGTTACTGTGACCCCAAACCCAGAAGTCCTGATGTTCCACAACAATCACCCTGAAGTGGGCTGCAGTCGCATAAAGTCAGGGTGGCTGATAAATGAGCAGCAGCTTTCATGAAAATTTACACTGCAATCACAGTTCACGTGTTAGTTGACCTGGTAGAGTTAGCGAGGCAATAAAACAAGTGGCAGTACAAACAGTCAGGCCGGTGGAGCCTCAGATCAAGGCTTCAGTGAGGGCGTCCACATGACACAAGCATTGGTAGACGCCATTTCTCAGACCTCCCTTGCACTAACAAAACACCGCGGGGGTCCATTTTAAACCCTGTCTTGGGCAACCTGGAAACCCGAGTCTCTGGCGGTTTCAAAAAGGCAGCGAAATCTTTCGCTCCTCCCATGTCTGTGGCCCAGCCCTGGCCTGGGTTCAGCGTCGTCAGCTGTCTATTGGACTTTTCACACCCAGTGCGCCACCTGTCCCAAACAGAGCTCAGCGTCTCTCCCCAAAGCCTGTCCCTCTTCCTAACTCTAACTCCCCTGCTTCTATCAAGAGCACCACCATCCCCCATGGCCCAGGCGGGCAACCTTAGAGTCACCCTCAGTCCCTCCCTCTCCCTTGTACCCACATCTGCCAATTCATATGGCTTTTTCTTCCACATCCTCTCATCTGCCCCTCCTCTTCCCCTATGTGGCTCTCACTAGAGTCAAAGCCTCCATCATCTCTTGCCTGGGCTAGCTCAGTAGCCCTCTCTTGGCTGCCCACTTCAAGCCTTTCCTCCTTCAGGGTATCCTTTGAACACAGGAAGCATCTGATCAATTCATTCATTCGCTCCTTTGCCATCTGGCCCCAGATGCCCTTCCCAGACACTAAACTGCTCCCCTGCCCACACTCCACCTTCTGGCCTCCTCGGGGTCCCCCATACCCCAAACAGACCCACTGCCTCCCACGACCCCTATAACATCTGGGCCAGATCTCTCTTCTTCTCTTTCTCCCCATTCCCCACTGCCCCAGGAGGTCATTCCCTCCAAAGGGAGGTCAGGCCTCTGATGGGACCTTCCCCTCCAAACTTCTGAGGCTCCAGCTGCTTTCTCCTGCCCTCTGGTCCAATGAAGGCTCCCCACTCTAATTAATCCCAGTAATGATGATAATCCTCACATTCCCCTGCCGTTCAATGCCTTCCACTTTCTCTCCTGCTTATTCTACAGCTCCTGTTTTGCTCTTCCCCAGAAGCCCACCAACCTACAGGGCCTCCCTGGAGATGGGTGCCATTTTGTCGTCTCCTTCTTCCCCTTCAGTACAAAACCTGAGTCCCCACTCCAGACCGTCCTCTTCCTGGCTATCAATCTGCTCTACCTAAAGCACATACCCTCCATACACGGAGACCACACATATATGGACACCACACTACACACACATGCCACACAAACCCACCCCAAAGGCACCTTAGTGACCAAATAAAGACAAAGACATCATCCTCCATAACTCTCCTCCTCTGGCTCCTCCATCGATGACCTCTCCTCTGGTCAGAACTTGCGAGTTTTCTTGGACTTGCCCCCTTCCCTCATCTATGGTCCACCAGTTGTGAGCAGACCCCGTTCACACCCTCTCTCCCACTCTTCCTTCCCCTTACCGCACCCCAAGAAATACGCAATGATACCCTCCAGGTCACCCTGCCCCCTCCACCCCCTTAAGGCTGCAATCCAACTTCTGGCCTCATTATTCAGCTGACAGTGGTCCCTCCTGAGCTGCCCAATGTCAGGGCCTTTTCTCAGTCTCCATTCCTCTTGACCATGACAATCATGGTCCCCGGGGTGCACTCTCCTCTCTAGGTTCCCAACCTCCTTTCCTGGTTCTTCATTCAGGTCAAACCTACTGACCATGGGTGTCCCCCAGGGCTCTGTCCCGGGCCTCTTCACTTCCCCTCCAACAGGTTTAATGATCACCTCTACATGGATGATTCCCAGCTCTATCTATCTGGCCCATGGCTCTCTCCTGGTTCTATCACATCACACATGGTTCTTGAGACATCTGCAAACTCAAATTGTCCAACATGGAATTCATTATCATTCCCCAGAAATCCTCTCTTCTGCCAAGCTTCCCATGACTGTTGGGGGCACCACCGTCTTCCCAGTCCCCCAGCATCCTCCTTCACTCCTCCCTAGCTCTCATCCCCCAATTCTATCTGCACTCCACCCTTCCTTCTCTGGTTGGTCATTCTGCCTCAAGTCTCTGCCCATGCGAGCCCCTCCTCCACTCAAACGCCAAAATGACCCCCTGAAGCACAGGTCTGCCCACATTCCCCCCCCCCATCCAACAATCTCCAGTGGTTCCCTATTACTTCTAGGCCTCTCACACCTGACTCTCCCCTGAGGCTCTATTACTTAATGACATCGGCCTCTCTGCTGTTCCTCACATGTGACCCTTCAGCTTCTCTCACTGGCTGCCCCCGGGGCCTGCGATGCTCGCTCTCCTCACTCCCCCCACGCTGCTCTGGCTTCCTTCAAAGCTTAGGTCAAATCCCACCTTCTATCGGAGGCTCGCCCATCACCCCCCCCCCCCAGGCCTTGGTTCTCCTCTTGGAATCCTCCCTGGGCATCCAGGCTTGGCTCAGGCACCATTTTTCACAGGAGAACCTTCTGGATCCTCCCGGGTGCTGATGCCCTCTCCCCCTTGAGGTGGCCACAGGTCGCTTGGCACAGTTTGTATTTGCTGATTTATTACCTATATATATGTTGTGTCCTCCCAGGAGAACAGAATGTCATGGAGAACGGGACCATGTCCTTGTTCTCTGCCTCCCCAGCACCATGGCAAGGGCTCTGCACCCGCTGGCCTTTTATATATTCACCGACTTGGGTCGGATCGGGTCACTTTATGAATGAGCTTCCTGAAGCTGAATTCGATTCCACAAATGCTAATCATGCCCGCTTCACACAAGGCAGGGGAAGCTCGCTGCTGCTCACTCATTCCAGTTGTGTCTGACTCTCTGTGGCCCCATTTGGGGTTTTCTCGGCAGAGACACTGGAGTGGTTTGCCATTTCCTTCTCCAGCTCATTCACAGATGAAGAAACTGAGGCAAACAGGGTCAAGTGGCTTGCCCAAGGTCACACAGCTAGTCAACATCCGAGGCCAGATCTGAATTCAGGAAGACGACTCTTCCTGACCCCAGGTCTGGAGCTCTGTCCACTACAGTGAGGGAGGCAGATGCGTATAACAGACAGAGCACTAAACTTGGGGGTCAGGAAGGCCTGGGTTCAAAACTCGATTCAGTTATACACTAGCAGTGTGAGCACTGAACCTCTCTGAAACTCAGTTTCTTCATCTGTGAAATGGGGACATCATTAATACCTACCTCAAAAGGCTGCCGTGAGATCAGTATGCACATCATATGGATGTGTAAAGTGCATGGCCAAACTTAGAGCACAGTATTGTAAGTGTGAGTTATTATTATTATTGATGGGTTTTTTAAGCTTGTATTTGTATCCCGAGTGCTTGGCACACAGTAGGTGATTAATCCATGCCTGAGTGACTGACAGCGCTCTTCATGCTGGGCACTGGAGGGAGAGAGCCATAAGGAAAGGCCCGGCCTGCAGGGGCGACGCCCCAGCCCAGCATCAAGGGGGGACGTTCCCTGGTGAGGGCAACCCACGGGGACAAGCGAAGACGCCTGGCGGAATCTGCTAAGGCCTAGGGAGGCAAACAAAAACCACTTTTAAAACCTCCCCATTCGGAGAGTTACGCAGCTCAGCTTTTTGATGGGCCCAAACATCCTGGAACAAAGACCGCACCAAGCAAAAACCTGAGACTCAGGAACTGGTGTCAAGCCTTAACCCACCCACAAGCATTTATTAAGCACTGATGGCATCCCAAGGGCTGCGCCAGGCACTGGGGATCCCATGAGACCCTGTCCTCAAGGAGCTTATGCTCTACAGGAGGAGACAGTGTGTCCAGCAAGAAATAAACATCCAGGAGCATTTTGGGAGAGGGTGGGCATGAACCGCCAGCAGCGTCCAAGTCTCACAGAGGAGGCAGCAGTTTGAGCTGAACTTGGAGGAGAAATGTGGATTGTAAGCAGCACGAGGGAGAGGGAGGCAGGGACAATGGCCCGGTGATGGGAGACGGCGTGTCCCACGTGAGGAGCTGCAGGGGCCCAGCCTGGCTGGACTAAAGGCTGGGTGCATCCCATTCTCCAGTCATGCCCAGCCAGCACAGGGCTTCCCATTAGCCTCATGGTCCAAGAAAGACACCATTGTTAACCTCCCCTGCTACCTTGTGTGATAATGCTACCATTTTCCAAACCGCAAAATACATGATGAAATGGTGTTTCCAGGGCACCCAAAAGGACCGAAGCCAGAGACTCACTTTCCTAGGACACCTGAGCACAGGGTGAAAAAGAGATCTCTGCTGTGAGTCAACTCCCATTCAGGCTTTCCCGAAAACAGCCAAGCCTGAGGCGGGGGCAGATCCATCCAGCCACGTATAGGTCACAGATGTATGTGGGGAAAGAGATTACACATAAAACTGCATCAGGAAGCAATAGGAAAACCTCTAACAGATCCAACAATGAAGCCACTCCCACTAAGCCTTTTTAAAATATGAACTCCTCTGGACGTATATTAATCGAACACACATGCCTGAGCTTGGCGGGCAAGTTAATTCAGAAAGCAGATGGGGCGTCTCATAGGAAAAGGGTCAGATGACTGAGTATCTCGGCCATCTTAATAAACTAATGTCCACTAAGGCAAACAATTCACCGTACACCCAAGAGTCAAACACCAACAAGCTCGCTAGGTGGGGGGAGCTCGAGGGAACAGTCCTTGGAGCTGCTCTAATTCACCTCTTTTCAGGAATGTTCCGAGCAGGCTCTCACCCAAGGAGAGAAGGAATGTTGGCAAGGCCATCTCCCCCATGGAAAGGGCTTTTAAACCCGCCGGCCCCCAGGCCGCCTGAGATCCTGAAACACTCTGCAGCCTCCCCCGCTGCCTGCGCCCTCCCACTGTGGGCTCAGGCGTGCGCACACACACACACACACACACACACACACACACACACACACACACACGAGTGTCTGCCGAAGAAAACCACGGACACGGTAGGCTCTCTTTTTCAAAGCTATTCTCAATACTGCATGTTGCTGTGTGGGTCATTTTTAATTGTTTTAACCAAGTTAGAGGTCAGTTTTTAAAGAGGTTTCCATGAACTTTAAAAGTGAATACTGAAGAAATATTTTTGAGGATTATCCAACTTCACATTCATGACATTAGGTACAAGGTGCTGCAAAAGTGGTCATTTGACTGCATTTGTCATTGGGGGCGGAGGGAGTTTGGAGCAAACAGTTTATGTGCAATCCCGCAGAGGCAAGCATCTCAACAGACTGCTTAATCCTTAAATTACCACCCACCCCCGGGCCCCCACTTCAAATGCTGCTGAGTTCTCACAGAAGTTTGTGCCCTAGACGCCTTCCTCGCCCACTGGCTGCTGTAAAAGTGGCTCAGAGTGAGGCACCTCACTCTGAAAGAGGGTCTGAGGCGGAGGAGGACGCATTGTATCTGAAGCCACCCCACAAAGTGAAGACAAACACAAAGGATTGGGGGCTTTTAAAAATAAGCCCAATGAATAAATGCTTCCTGTGTTTATCTTAAAAGCACAAAGTGGCTGCCGACTTCCCCGGTAACGGGTCATGTTTCTACCGCAGCCAAACTCAGGTTACCTTCACGCGGGGCTCATGGCTTCTTTTTAGCTTTAAATATTCACAGTCCAAATAGAGAAATGTCGGTTGTGTGATAACCACGTCAACACAATCTGACCACGAACAAGAAGTAAAACAGCTAGTGAGGTTTAGGCTTCTTCATTGAGAGAGAAGGGAACTTGTCACCTGAAAGTGGCCGGCAGAACGTTCCCAGGCTTCTTGCATTCGGATGACCAACAATGAATGAATAAGGGGACAGGCTGGGTTGACTGCCCGCTGCTGGCTCCACAGCCCTTGCCGGCCTCTGGGGTGTGCAGGCTCCTGACCGGCTGGCTCTCTCTGGCTCTCTTTCTGGCTCTCTCTGTCTCTCTCTGCTCTCAGGCACAGCGAGAGGGAACAGGAGCCCGCCGTCCTTGTCCTCCTCAGCCACTCCCACCTGAGTACCCTGGTCTGGGCCACCATGAAGACCCTGCAGGCCGCGCTGCTCTGGGTTCTCTTGGTGCCCTGGGTAAAGCCAGCCCCACCCACTCCACAGAGATCTACGACAGAGATTTTGGAAGAAATATGGGATTATGAGGAGCCCCCCCAAGACGAGAAAACCACGAAGGTAGTGTATTTCTGTATATTATCCTACAACCAACAGACTGCCCGTGTTTGCCCCTGACAACATTTGCTAACGGGCACAAAAGAGAATGCCATTTAAATGACTTAAAAAATCATTCATAATTATAACTGTCACAAAGTAGATTTCTAGAAGCATTTAAAGTGAAAACTGTCCAAGATCACCAGATTGAGCAAATGTGACGTAAGAATCCCCGGGGGATGGGGGAGTCTCAGGTAAAGTGAAGTGCAGATGTACATTGTGGGTGCTCTGTGGCACCTGCCACTTCCCCAGGGGTTAGGGTTAGGGCTACAGCCCGACACCAGCCAGGCTGGGGAAAGGGGAGGAGCCCTCTCAGGGACAGCTATCCCAGCGTGATTCAAATACAGGAACAGAACCAGAGAGTACAAGAAATATTTATTTTGGACGTACTTGAAAATCACTCTCCATGAGACCATTTACATAATAAGGAATGGTCAGCAGCTTCTTAGACTGGGGGCTGGGCAGGGGGCACGGGGCAAACCTTCTGCTCCCTCCCTCTTGAGCTATGTGTTACTTTGGGGTCTTGCCCGCCCCGGCCAGAGATAAGGGCTGACCAAGGGAAAAAAAGTTAACACTGTACCAAAATCCCTTGGACCCCACTGTTCATGCGAGAATTCTGGTCCCCTGACAAGTGACCCTGGTGACCCAAAAAGGCTCCTTGCCCTGAGTCGGGCAGCTTGCAAGGGCCGACCCGGTCAGTCCCTGTTGTCTGGCCTAGGAGGCCAGATGCTGGCTGGAGGGAAGGGGCTCTCACACGGAGGCCTTCAAATACGATGGAGGGACCATTTCAGGGAGAAGCCCTTCGTCTACACTGATTTTATTTGGGTCTTGGTTTAATATGGATGAAAAATAAAAGAGAATCCCTGAATGGGTGACTCTGGGCCTCAGGGAGCAACTGGTCCAAACCCCCACTTACAAAGGCCCATCCTACCTTATATACAATAGAATCCCCCTATTTGTATTTCCTTCTATTTGCTGAGGCTGGCTTATCCAGCACGCAGGGCTTCACACTTACTCTTCAGCAATGCTGCGCCGGGCTCTAGCCCACAGGACTTTTCAAATGCTGGTTGACCAACTGACCGACTGACCTGTCAGGTGATGAGTCTGTTGTCACTCCAAGAACACTCTCATCTGCAAGGCTGAGGAGCACGCTGTCAGAGCGGGTGACACAACCAAATTAAAGCGTCACAGAAACCTTAAAGAGGGACATAAATGCGAGGTACTGTTATTGTGGCCCAGGCAAGCACCGTGTTCGTCCTAGGCACCTACTGTGTGCCGTGCGGGTACACAAAGACAAAAATGAAACCGCCCCTGCCCTCAAGGAGCTTCCATTCTAGAGGCTGAGACAGTATGAACATTGCTCTGTAAGCCATGGACAAAATTAATACAAGCTCCTTTTGCGGGAGGAAGGCACTGGCAAGCTGAGGTGAGGGAAGGGGACAGGGTTTCACGTGGGTGAGACACCGGGATTCTAAGAGGTGCAATGAGCCACGAGGCACAGTCAGAGCACAGGCAGCAGAGTGAGCACCAGGCCTGAAGAACATGGCCAGAGGGCTGAATGTGGAATGTAGCTGGGTCATGAAAAGAGCAGTTTGATTCTGACCTTAAAAATAATGGGAAACCTTGGAGTTCACTGAGCAGGGAGAGACTGGCATCAGGGTGGAGGGAAGACGGATCAGAGGTTTGTGGAATGGAGACCAAAAAGGGGGCGACCCCAACAGTCCAGGGGAAAGTGAGGAGGTCCCCCCCCACTGTCACAGGGGCGACATTTTGATCCCTGTTGATGTTATTTAATTAGGAAGATGGTCGCGAGCAGTAGCCAGCCTGAGGACGTCCCAGGCCAGTGCTCTGGACCCTCCATGGCCCCCATCTAGAGTTCGCTGGCCACGCCTTCATTCTTGAAAAGGAAACAACAAATCCCTCGATGGCGAGCTGGCTTCTTCAGGGGGTCAGTAGGTCAGTTCTGATGCCATGATTTAGAGCTACCCCAAAGGGATCTCATTGTTGTTATTCAATCACATCTGACTCTCCGTGACCCTGTGGACCACAGCTTGCCAAAGCTGCCCATGGGATTTTCTTGGCAAAAATACTGGAGTGGGTCCCCATTTCCTTCTCCCGTGGATTAAGGCAAACAGAAGTGAAGTGACTTGTCTAGGGTCACATGGCTGGTAAGAGTCTGAGGCAGGATTTGAACTCAGGTCTTCCTGACTCCAGGCCCACTGCTCCAACCACTGAGCCACCCAGTTGTAATCAATGTTTATTGACTATTGACAAGCCAGCCCAGATGAAGGGCCCAGAGAGGTCAATGTGAAACTGGTGAAATGTGAGGTCAATGTGGGCCCCTAACTGTCTATCAAGGTTAATGGACGTGAACAGGAATTGCCTTTAAAACAGATGTGCAGGATAAGCCTTATTGCTGTCATCAGAGATGATAACAGACTGGACAGGAGAGGACTCACGTCCATCTAGAAGAGGCAGCACAAGAGGGCAGTGAGCCCAGGACCGAGCAGAAGGAAGAAATGGAGGCCAGTCTTTGAAGGACCGATGGGCTACCAGCATGGTAGCAAGGCAGGGAAAACGACGTCTTCAAAGCACTAAGACAAGCATTTCCCAAAGGCCCATGGGGGTGTGAGCAGGGTGGAGCAGAGAATAAGCGAGGGCCCTCAAAGGTCGAGGAGAACCAAGCCGAGGCACTCCCCAAGCAGGCAATCCAGCCAGACCAAGGCAGCCAGAGGGTCCCAGGGTGTCCCTACCTTCCTTGAAGACTGGGTCCAATCTTACCCATTCCAGGAGACTTTTCCCATTCCCCCAGATGTCAATACTTTCCCTTCTCAGAAAGGGCAGGAGGCAGAGCTTGGGTCACACAGATCAAACCCCCCTGTCTCCTTAGACCCTGGAAAGGGCCTGAGCCCAGGAGCCCTGGAGGTAACAATGCTTCCAGCTCTATGCAAAAGGCTGTCATCCCGAGAAGCCCCTGTGGAGATGCAGACTGGATACCACTCCTACAGGTGTGCCAGCCACCGCAACTGAAGACCCAGACAAGAGGCTACTTGCCACCCAAGTCCTTGGCGTGCCAATGACTCCTCATCAGGAACCGATGGGATTTTATCAGTGGAAATGACATGAAAGAAGAGGCCTGACCATCTGCTCTGCTTCGGCGTCCTCAGGACCTTTTCCTCTGCTGCAGCTGAGATCTTCCCTGGGTGCTGTCTCTGCCCCTGAAGGGGGAGCCCCGACAGTGCAGGGCCAGGCTCACTTTCTGTCTGTGTCCCCAAGGCTCTACACACAGTAAGTGTAAGGGATGGCACTGGAGATAGGAACAGATCATGTGGGGAGGGCTGGCAGGTGGGCAGCAGACAGAAAGCTCCCCTAGAGGAGGCTGCCAGGAGAAACTAAGGAAGGTATTCCACAAAATGGCAAATCTATGGGAGAACACGGACAAAAGTCCACAGCCTGGGCAGGCCTGGATGGGCTGCAATCTGCATCCCTGGAAGAGGAGGGCGCAGGCCCACTGAGGCATGCCCAGCATGTGAGGAGGGGACGGAGCACCAGCCACTCTCAGAGATTCTCTGGAAGCCCAGCCCTACCCGGGAGGGGGGGGGCAAGACCTGTCTATTCTCCCACATGGAAGGGCAGTGATCCTCCCAGTGTGGGCATTGGAAGGATGGTCAGTCAATCCCCTCTGAAGCCCCCGGGTCCAGGTGGGTCCAGAACCCCGGAGCATATATTCTGGGTCCTGCGACTTCCCCCACCAAGCTCCCTTTTCTGACCCCCACTCCTCCAAAGGTACTGCATCACCCTGCTAGAAGTAAGCTCCCTGAGGCCCAGGCTGCTTCACGTTTACATTCCCATCCTTAGCATGGCTTCCAAAACACAGCTGGCTCTCCACATGCAATCGCAGATTAATGGACTGATCGGTGGGGGCTCTTCCTGGTCTAGGTAACTGCGCAGCACTCATAATGGAGCTGGCTGCCCTCATGCCATCCCAGGAGTTCAGCCAACTGGACCCATTTTGTTCATCTGCTTCTGCTGAGAACCAGAACCAAAGGCCTATTCCATTCTTCCTCGTTCTGGTCTGAGCATAGCCTCCCTGCCTCTCTAGCCACGGAGGGGAGCCTAGAGGCAGGCTGGGGCTTCTCCACCGGGATCTCGTGGCACTGACCCCGAGCCGGAATCACAGGCAGGCTGCACCAAGTCGTGCTAGAAGTGACTGCCTCAAGTGAAGTGGGCAGTACCAGGAGAACACGGTGCACGGTAACAGCAATACTGTCCGATGACCAGCTGTGGATGACTTAGCTATCGGCAGCAGTGCAAGGACCCAAGACAATTCCAAGGGACTCATGATAAAAAATGCTGTCCATCTGGAATCTGAACGAAGATCAAAGTGCACTATTTTTCACTTTCTTTTTTGTTGTTGATGTTGCTTTTTCTTTCACAGTCTGACTAACATGGAATTATGTTTTGCATGATTAAAAAAAAAAAAGAAGTAATTGCATCAAGTTATAACCCTGACAGAGCCCCACTCATTCTAATGCAGCCTGATAGGGGCTCAACCCCAAGCCGCGGCTCCCTAAACAATGCAGAAAACAGCCCACCTTGCACACCGTGCCCATCCCAAGCCAAAGCCTCCATCACACAGGGCTCCGTAGGGTTTGCTTTTTGGCTAATTAAAGTAACTGACCATCTTTATTTTTCTAACAGAAAAAAGATATCATGGCAATTCTACATGCCTTACAAAAAGATGAGAGTGCAACAGAGCAGCCGGCAAGAAACGAAGATGGTGGTAAGGATTCACGTGGGCTTGGGTCTTGTCTGACTGTATTTCCAAAAGGTCCTGCAGGATGAAGTGACCCAAGCAGCCAATGGGGAAGCAAAGCCTCTTTGTCTATACCTGTGTATGGATATGGTTCCTCCCCCAGCTCCCTCCCCAGAAAGTAAGCCCCTCCAGGGCAGGGAGGAGGGCGCTTTAGCACAGGGCCCGGCACAAAGGACATGCTTAGAACACCTGCTGATCGATGACTGACCAGGGAAGGAGATTCCTCCAGGTGAAAAGGAGGCCCAGAAGAGCAGTGGTTGGGCATGGGCGCGGGCCGCGCACACACGTACACACACACGCCCAACGGGTGATAAGCTGTAGAGAGATGATAAGATGATCCATGTTAGACACTGTCCAACGACCTCGGTCTGCTTACAAAGCTGCTGCCCCCAGCTCAGATGCTCTGCTTTGCCAAACACTTAACTTGAATCTGGAATGAATAGATGCTGCTTCTGTTGACCCTGTTTCCAAGGTTAATTAATCACTGCTTCTAAAAGGTCTCTCTGACTAAGCTCTGACAGGCTCTGGAAAGGGTTATCCATTCAGTCATTCAGCTGTTGTGTGTGTAAGCATATGCACATGTGTGTATGTGCGTGTTTATATGTGTGCCTCATTAGATGAAGTTTTCAGAGGCCAAAGAAAGTCACCTGAAAAAGCGTGGTTTGAATGCAGAAACCAGAGTCTGGGAAGGGGCAGGATAAGGCTGGCTGGTGCTGGGCTGCGGACAGCAGAAGGGCCCTTACGGGGTGTGCAGCCTTGGAGAAGCCCCCGGTGCTCACTATTCCTGTCTTCCCTTAGAAATGCCGACCTGCCTCCTGTGCGTCTGTCTCAGCGGCTCCGTGTACTGTGAGGAGACTAACATCGATGCCGTGCCCCCCTTGCCCAAGGAAACGTCCTACCTTTATGCCCGATTCAACAAGATCAGGAAGATTACAGCCAAAGACTTTGCAGATATTCGTAAGTTAATTAAGTTTAACTCTGGAGTCAAGCACCCCCAAAGGGGTAGATGTGCGCACGCGCGCGCGCACACACACACACACACACACACACACACACACACACACACAGATTCTATAAGAGGCTGTGAGTCTCTATTGCCCCCTTGGTTGGTTTTTTAAAAGAATATAAAAAATGTGACCTGCCTAAAGTTTCATTAGATTGTAAACTCCTTGAGGACAGGGACTGTGCTTCGCCTCTTTTTGTCTCTTCAGCACTTAGGACAGTGCCTGGCACATAGCAGGGGTCTAAGGAATGTTCACTGGTTGATTGTGTTATAAGAAATAATGAAGGAACCCCAAGAACCCCAAGCTCCACCCCTTCTTCCTCCTGTCTACACTATGATACCCCTTCTTTTGTGCTCCCTTCTCTGCCCTCTATTCAGACCCTCAGTCCACCCCGAGAAACACTATTCTTACTTAAGTCTCCCAATGCCCTTCAAAGACAGCCAGGTTCTGGAGGGCCATTTCGGCTTCGCCCTTCAAAGTTAAGCCCTCTCTGTCCTTCATTGTCCTTCATTCATGCTGCAGTGACATGCACTCAAACCCCTTCAAACGGTGGCCCCCAGAACACATGTCCTGAGCAAGCTTGAATCTGCCCTGAGTCCGCGGGGGGGGCGGGGGATGATGACGCTGCCCTCCTTACTTCAGGGCTGCAGGGATCCCTGTAGCTCCCTGGGCTGCCCACCCTGCTGCTGCTCTACACGGAGCAAGTGGTCCACTCAAACTTTCCTGGGTGCTTGCCCCCCTTTCCTCTCTGCTCGTAAGTGGGGCAGCATCTTGGTTCAAGACTCCCTGGCTTCTTTCTCAGATTATACCAACAACCTCCTGACCAGACATCCCTATCCTCAGGCTGTCCCTTCTCCAATCCCCCTGTATACAATCTAGCCCTGTCACATCCCTCCTCACAAGCCTGCCTTCCCTCCTTCCTTGAGGACAAAACACCAACGTTCACGGCCAATGTTTAAAGCCCTCTGCGATCTGGCTTCAGCCAAACTCTACAGTGAAGCTGTGGCCTCGTTCCAACCCCATCTCTCTACACACTCGACATTCTGGCCAGATGGGGCCACTGGCTAGTTCCCAAACCTGAAATGCCATCTCCCTATGCTGGGCACTCTATCCCCGAGGCTGGAATGAGATCCCCGCTGACTGCACCATCACAGGCTCAGCTTTGGGGCCATGGACTCTGCAGAGCAGAGGGAGTTCTCCCTCCTTGAATTCCAGAACAGGCCTACGATTCTCTCCTACGCCGTTGATCCTACCTGGCGTCAGACATGAGCTGCTCCCTGCCCCTCAGCTCCCCAGGCCCAGGCCCTTAGTGGGAATCTGAGCCATCAGAACCCCACGATTCCTTTTTGGTGACTCAGTTTCCACGTGATGGGAGCACCACACTGAGCCACAGAAGGGGACAACAAACTGGTGCTTGGTTCCTCTGATTGGCTCCATCTCATTTCCTCAGCTGCAAAACGAGGGGCCCGGACAGCATGGCTGCCCGGGCATTCTACGCCCACGCTCTGAGACTGCGATGAAACAGTGCCCAGTCACAGTGAAATGAAATGTGACATTTTAATGTTTCTGTGTTCTTTCCCTCAAGCTAACTTACGAAGACTCGATTTCACCGGCAACCTGATAGAAGACATAGAGGACGGCGCCTTTTCCAGGCTCTCCCTGCTGGAGGAGCTCACGTTGGCAGAGAACAGGCTGCTGAAGCTGCCAGCCCTGCCGCCCAAGCTGACTCTACTCAATGCCAGGCACAACAAGCTCAAAAGCAAGGGCATCAAAGCAAACACATTCAAGGCGAGGAACTTTTCATCCGATTGTAACCAACAGGGGCATCGCACAGGCTGGCAGGCTGGCTGCAGCCACTCTCCCTGGGTATCCACTGACCTGTGACTGCCAGTGTGAAAGCCTTGGGTCTAACCTCAGAAACGAGGCCTTGGGTCTGACCTCGGAAACGAGGCCTTGGGTCTGACCTTGGAAACGAGGCCTTGGGTCTGACCTTGGAAACGAGGCCTTGTGTCTAACCTCGTGTCTAACTTCGGAAACAAGGCCTTGTGTCTAACCTTGTGTCTAACTTCGGAAACGAGGCTTTGGGTCTAACTTCGGAAACGAGGCCTTGGGTCTAACCTTGGAAACGAGGCCTTGGGTCTAACCTTGGAAACGAGGCCTTGGGTCTAACCTTGGAAACGAGGCCTTGGGTCTAACCTTGGAAACGAGGCCTTGGGTCTAACCTTGGAAACGAGGCCTTGTTTCTAACCTTGGAAACGAGGCCTTGTGTCTAACTTCGGAAACGAGGCCTTGTGTCTAACTTCGGAAATGAGGCCTTGTGTCTAACCTTGGAAACGAGGCCTCGGGTCTAACCTTGGAAACGAGGCCTTGGGTCTAACCTTGGAAACGAGGCCTTGTTTCTAACCTTGGAAACGAGGCCTTGGGTTTAACCTTGGAAACGAGGCCTTGTGTCTAACCTTGGAAACAAAGCCTTGTGTCTAACCTCGTGTCTAACTTTGGAAACAAGGCCTTGTTTCTAACCTTGGAAACAAGGCCTTGTGTCTAACTTCGGAAACGAGGCCTTGTGTCTAACTTCAGAAACGAGGCCTTGTGTCTAACCTTGGAAACGAGGCCTTGGGTCTAACTTCAGAAACGAGGCCTTGTGTCTAACCTGGGAAACGAGGCCTTGTGTCTAACTTTGGAAATGAGGCCTTGTGTCTAACTTTGGAAACGAGGCCTTGTGTCTAACTTTGGAAATGAGGCCTTGTGTCTAACCTTGGAAATGAGGCCTTGTGTCTAACCTTGGAAACAAGGCCTTGTGTCTAACCTCGTGTCTAACTTCGGAAACAAGGCCTTGTTTCTAACCTTGGAAACAAGGCCTTGTGTCTAACTTCGGAAACGAGGCCTTGTGTCTAACCTTGGAAACAAGGCCTTGTGTCTAACCTTGGAAACGAGGCCTTGTGTCTAACCTCGTGTCTAACTTCGGAAACAAGGCCTTGTTTCTAACCTTGGAAACAAGGCCTTGTGTCTAACCTTGGAAACAAGGCCTCGTGTCTAACTTCAGAAACAAGGCCTTAGGTCTAACCTCAGAAACGAGGCCTTGGCTGGAACCACTGAAACCAGGCCTCTCTACCCTTGCTTTCCCCCCATCTCCAGTCTATCCTCCACAGAGGTGCAGCCCAGGGGGATCTGACCACGCCACTCCTCTCACTCCTCTGGTGGCTCTGCACAACTGAGGGCCCCGAAAGCCCTTTCCAGTCTTACCCCAGCTCCCCTTTCCAGGATGATCACACACGCCTCTCTGCAGTGAGCAAACTGCCTCCTTGCTCTTCCACATTCCATCATTTTCTGCCTACACCACTTTGCCCAGGCTGTCCCCCAACCCTTGAATGATAGAATCCCCAGCTCCCTTCCAAAGATGGTGGGCTCAGTGCTGCCTTCTGCAGAGAGCCTTTCCTGATGTCCCCACCCCCCAAACTACCTTGTATCAACTTGGGATTGAGCCGTGGCCAATGGCAGGGAGCCCATGGCAGAGGCACACGAGGCACCCAGGTAAGCCCCACCTGTCTCCCGCAGCTGCCCCTGCCCAAAGGAGCCCCGACCAAACCACCTAAGGAAAGGTGACAAAGAAGACCCTTCTCCTTCCTTCCTACAGAAGCTGAATAACCTGTCCTTCCTCTATCTGGACCACAACGAGCTGGAGGCTGTGCCACCACATTTGCCAGAAAGCCTGAGAATCCTTCATCTTCAGGTACAACAATGGTCTTGAACTGGCAGATCCAATTCAAGTTTATGGCACTGGGAATCATTCATTCTTTGAATTTGACTCCCCAGCAATCCCCCACTGCCTGACCCTGCCTAGGGCACAGCAAATGCTGCTGGCTGATTCACTGAACACCTATCTCTCTCTCCTTCCACTTACCCTCCCACCCTTTTCTCTCTTCCTCCCTGTCTCTGTCTCTCCTTCCTTTCACTCACCCCCTTTCCTTTCTCCCTCCCTCTCTGTCTCTCTGTCTTTTCTCTCTCTTTCCTTCCTTCCACTCACCCCTCCCTTTCCTCTTTCTTTCCCTCTCTTTCTCTCTGTTTCTGTCTGTCTCTGTCTCTCTATCTCTCTCTCCTTCCTTCCTTCCACTCACCCCTCCTCTCCTCTCTCCTTCCCTCTCCCTCCCTCTCTGTCTGTCTCTCTCTCCATTATCACACCTCTCGTTACCTCTCACAGACTCAGGGCTTATCACTGCATTCACCAGAGTTCACCAGTCCTTCCATGCTGATTCTCTGGCTCAGCTCTGCCCTTTCACTCAGCATCAGTGCAGAGTCTCTCTGGTTTCCTTTGAAACTGTCCATTTCACCATTTCCCATGGAACAATGTTATTTTGTTATCTTCCTACACCAGGCCCTGTTTGGCCACCCTCCAACATGGGGACAGCCCCTTACTTTCCAATGTCTGGCTGCTCTTAAAAAAAAATTGCAGAAATGCTTTTGTCTCTCTGGGTCCTTCTCCTCTTTCTTTGATCTCTTTGGCATACACATCCTTAGGTAGAGTTTTATAGCTGGGTCAAAGGCTAGCCCATTTTGGTGATTTTGGCAGCGTGGCTCCACGGTGCTTTCTAGGTGGCTAGCCCAATTCACAATTCCACCAACAGGGTCCTAGGGCCTGTTTTCCCGCAGACTCCCCAGTGTTTGTCATTTTTCCTCTTTTGTTATCTTTGCCAGTCTATGGGTAGGAGGTGGAACCTCAGCGTTAGATAAGCTTTCTAGTGATTTCACTACACAACTCTACTTTAAGGTAATAAAAGGATCAATAAACTGGCTTAAAAAATAACCAGAACAGGGCCCTTGTATCCCTCATTCTTCCTTTCATCCTCTGAAATCTCAGGAAATGGCAGCTTGGGTGGCTCAGTGGCTAGAATACTGGGCCTACAGTCAGGGAGAGCTGAGGTCAACGCCAGCCTCAGACACCTACTAGCTGTGTGACGAGTCACTTAACTAGCTTGGACGAGGGACGTAACCATTATTTGCCTCAGTTTCCTCAACTGTAAAATGGGAATAGTATTAGCTGGCTACCCCAGGGTTGTTGTGGAGATCAAATGGGATCATCTTTGTGCTCAGCACAACGCACGCAGCATAACAGGAACCACACGAATGGTAGCTGCTATTATAATTAGCAATAATAACCAGAAACGTTAACTCTGCTCAATAGAGAGGATGGTGCCCTGGCACTGAGAGGACAGACAGGGCTCCTTCCCAGGGGCGGGTTCCATGGTTTCCGCTCCGCATAAATAATGAAACTTCACTTCCCTCCTTCATCTCTAGCCTCCAGGGTCCACAGACCTTATGGCAGCTTTCCGGGGCCTCCAACTCAATCTGTTCATAGACAAACTCATCCTCCTTCCTTCCGCAGCAGCGTCTCCTTGCTGACTTCTCTCTTTCACGAGTGGTAGCACCGTTGTCACGGTCAGCCAGAATCCAAACTTCATTCCCAGCCATTCTTTGGCTCTGCCCCAAACATCTAACCAGGTGTCAATCAGACCCACTGATACCCAGAGACTTTCCTTCTAGCGTCCATCATTTTGGACCCACCCTGGTCAAGGCTCTCATTTCCTCTTCCTGGAACTATTAAAGTAGCTTCCCATCCAGGCTCCATGCCCCTGCTAGATTAGTCTTACCACACTGAGCCACAGGCCACACTTTAAGAGCTCTGAAAAGCCCACTTTCTTACCTCCTCCTGGAAGTCCTCTAGTTCGCATACAACCTACTTCTCTAAACTCTGCATGTCTTGTACACTGTGGACTCCAGCCATCCTGGACTGCTTGGCATATTCCCAGCATGACCTGTTCAGCCCACTCCATTCCTGGCACTGTCATGCCTAGAGTGCTCCTTTCTAGATGCTGCCCATTAAAATCCCACCCATGTAGTACTCTACGATGCATTTACAAAGGCCTTGGAGGCAGCTCTCGTCCCATCATTTCAGTTGTGTCCGACTCTCCGTGACACCATGTGGGGTTTTCTTGGCAAAGACACTGGAACGGTTTGCCATTTCTGTCTCTCACTCATTTTACAGATGAGGAAACTGAGGCAAACAGGGTTAAGTGCCTTGCCCAGGGTCACACAGTAAGCACCTGAGGCCGCATCTGAACTCAGGTCCTCCTGACTCGAGGCCCAGAGCTCTATCCACTGCATCACCTAGCTGCCCCCCAAAATCCTCCCCCGTAGAGGAAGCTTTTCCCGATGTTGTTTGTTCAGTTGTTTCAGGCGTATCTGACTCTTTTGACCCCACCTGGGGTTTTCCCAGGCCCAGAGCTCTATCCACCGCCACGTTGCCCTTGAGGTGTAAACATGTTCTATTTAGACAAGAAGTTTGTCTTTTCATCCCCAAGAACAGCAGGGGGAGACAGGTCCTGACAGACTCTTGGTGTGGGCACGGTGACTGACTTCAGATTCTCTCCTGTGTTATAGTTTAACAACATAGCTGACATCACGGATGACACATTCTGCAAATCCAATGATACGCGTTACATTCGGAGCCGTGTTGACGAGATAAGAATGGAAGGCAACCCGATACTCCTGGGAAAGCACCCCAACAGCTTCATCTGCTTAAAAAGGCTGCCCACTGGAACGTACTATTGACCAAGTCTCATCCAGCTTCATATGCACCCAAAGGGGAAATAGAGCCACTGTCCTCCCCCTCATTTAAAGGATCCTATAGCCTAGTTTAGTTATATTTTTGTATATCCCTTGGCAGCTTTCAGGCACTTAAACTTTTTTTTGGTCTTGTTTTATACTAGAATATTTAGAAAACTTTACATCTACATTTTGCATTCAAAATGTAACATAATGTGAATAACTGAGACTAGTCAATATAAATATCACCACATAACCCACTTGGCTCATGGCAAGATGCTGGGCACACTGTAATGGTGTCTTTGTATCCATGTCTAAATGTGGGGCACCTTCTTCTTCTCATCACTACAAATATGTAAGTGTGCATGCACACCCAGGACCGTCTCTCTGATGTTCTTCTTTCTTGTTCTTGCCTGAGGCCATAAAGCATCAATGCTAAAGCAATGCCTCCCTGCCCTTACCCCAGCTCAAAGGGAAATACTTTCAGGCACCCACAGTTTCTGCAAGCTGGACTGACATCGGGGAGGCAGAGTTATTGCTGTTTTATGCCATAAAATGTGGTAGAGTCTGCTATGAGACACGTGTTTATAACAAACCTTTCAACTGGAGTCAACTTCTCCATTCCTTTGTCAAGCCCCAATAAAATATACATTCATAATAATTTGCTCTAGTTTGGGGAGGTGCAGTTTAGGGGATTTCTTTGGCAGTATTCAAAGAATGCATCTCCATCCTCGGAGGCCTGCTCCCTCTGGAGCTGAGGTAGTTAACACAATCATCATCACCTCCATTTTACAAGTGAGGACACCAAGGCTTGCACAAGGATGAGATGACTTAGGCAAAGTTAGATTTGGGAAACAAGTTCTACTCTTTCTGCTCCTGGCCCAGGCCTTCTACAGCCCTGGAGGATGTAGCATGCTTCCTACTGAGGGGAACATACACATGTGCTAGCTGAGCCTGGGTTTCACCTGTGGGTCCAAGGAACAGGTCAGCCTCTACATGCTAAATCACGCAGGACTCTGGCAGATCTAAGACATTCCTTCCACAGACAGAAATGACAACTCCTCCCCTTCCTTCCTGTCTTCTCACCCCATAAGATTATTTTCCATGTCCTTAAATAAAGTCTCCGTCAATGGCCCACACAACAGACTACAGACATTGCATTATTTCAGGACCACAGACTCCTGCACCATGCCCAGCCCACCTTGATGCCACATTGGGCACCCAACTCACCACTGGTCACTGGCTGCAGCCCAGCTATCCCTGCAGTGTTTACTTCCACTGACCTGTGGGTCACCCACAATTATTCTTCTGATATCATAGTACCTGTGGCTGGTAGACCGACATATCACCAGGACAGCAGCAGAATTTAAAAGACCAGCTTCTGCAGCTTAGGAATATTGAAAGCTACCTGTCATTTCCCAATTGTGATCAGGTCCACTCTCTTCTTCTTCTTTCATTCTGGCCCAGCTTGTTAGCCATCTCCATCATTTATCCACGACACTGGTAGTCCACTGGCACAGAATCACCTGGGCAGCAAGCATTTATCATCTTCAATTTCCCCATGTAGATGAATAGGAGAATCTCTTTGGAGGGATCTGACTAGGGAATTCCTATATTGGTCCATGGCTTCTAGTGCAAATCAACACAACGTCTCTGCAAAACCACATCATTTACTGGGAAGAATGAGAAAATTTGAGGGCAGCTAGGTGGCACAGTGGATAGAGCACCGGCCCTCAAGTCAGGAGGACCTGAGTTCAAATCCTGCCTCAGACCAAACACTTGACACTTACTAGCTGTGTGACCCTGGGCAAGTCACTTAACCCCAATTGCCTAAAACAAAACAAAACAACAACAAAAAAAAGAATGACAAAACTCTGGAGTTGAATGAGCCCCCAACATCCCTCTGGACCAACTTGTTAAAAATATCCCCAGCATAAACCACCCAACCAGTGGTAAGCTCACCTTTGCTTGAAGACCTCCAACGAGAAAGAAGCTGCCCCTTCCCAAGGGATCCCGTTTTACTTCTGGACAACTCTTAGAAAAGTTCCCTGAATTCAATCCTGAAGTTGTCTCATTCAAACCTCCCCCCAACTCTCCTGGCTGTGCTTTCTAGGGCCAGAGAAATAACTCAATCCCTCTTTAATAGCAAAGTCCTTCAAATACCTGAAAACCACCATCATGGACCCCTCCCCCCTTCCCCTACTCCCACTCTCCTGAGCATTCCCTTTTCATGGCTAAAAATCTTCAGTACATTCAAGCAATCCCCACATGACATAGACCCGATGCCCTTCCTGAGGCCGATTACCCTCCTCTGTACACTTTTAAACTCATCTCTATCTTTCTTAAACTGTGGTTTAAGAGCTGAACACGATGCGTCCATACGGTCTGCTCAATACAGACCTTATTCCTGAAAGCTCTGCCCCTCTCAACGCAGCCCAAGCTTTCACCGGCTTTCTTGGTTCTCAGATCACGATGCGAGCTCTAGAGCTCCATGCTCATCTGCAGAACGGCTGCTGTCCAAACAAGCCTTTCCCCTCTGGTACTCACGAAGCTGCTCTTTTGGATTTGCCCTGTTAGACTCTGCTCAAGCCTGTCAAGATCTTTTAGTGACCTGGCCTCCGGTGGACCGGTCCTCCTTCCTATCTTTGAGTCCCCTCTGCCATTATCCCGTCATTATACAAGCAAGGGTGCCTAGGGCCCCCTCCTGCTGAGCCTTCCTCCCGGGTGACTACACTTTGAATCTGCCCATTCAATCACAGCCAAGTCCATGGCACATGTCATCAGTGAGTTCACATCTCCCCACCTTTTCCACAAGAACGGTAACAAATTCTTGATGAAATTCTGTGATGGAATCTAGAAAACAATATTTGCCACATTCCCCTGAGCTATGAGCCAAATAATCCTGTCAAGAAAGGAAGAAAGGTTAGCCAGGCAGGGCCTGGCCTCATGAGGCCGAGACGACTGCCGAATTGCCACTGCCTTTCCTAGATGCTCCAGGTCACGTTCTGAACGACCCATTACAGTCTTCCCTGGAGTCAATGTCAAGTCCCCTGACCTTTGCATTCATCTGCTCTCTGGACGCTTGCTAATATAGGTTCCTAAGTCCAGGCTCTCCATAATCACCACAGGGAAAAAATTTCTCAGCCAATCTTTAAAGACTCAGAACTACTATAAAATGTCATGTTTTAAAGGCTTCTAAATCCTCTAAAAGCATTCAGCCTTCTCTTTAGGGAAAATATAAAATAATACCTAGCTCTGTTCAAAGCCCAGAATTCTTAGCCTGGCTTCATGATTCTTTTTATATACCTTACAGCCCCAACCTGCCACACATAGGCTACCTCACTGGAGCTTTACAAGGATGGCAGACAGTCAGACATCACAGGTGTTACCCTGGAGTCATTTTCCTGATGAGGAAACCGAGCCTCAGAGGGTAAAGGAATTCCCGTGGTCAAGTGAGGAAGCACACACAAGAAGGTTCAAAGCCCAGTGACTCCTGACTCCAAGTCAACAACTACTTCCATGCACAGCTGACACCTCTCCGCTGACTGAGGACTGTAACCTGGCCTCATCTCCCTGACACCCAGCAACACAAACTGTCCGCTCTTGTCTCTCAGCTCTCATGGAACACAGAAAATTGATTCCTGCCTAAACCCTTGCTTCTGTTTATTGTGTTCCAGCCCCGCAGGGCAAGCCTTACAGGGAAGAGGGGATCTCAGAAGGGAGGAGGGACCAAAGCACTCTGGCCATTGAACCTGAAGCCCGAGTCATCACAGGTAGACTCCACCACACTACCTCCTCCTCTTCCTCCTCCTCCTCGATTCTACCGGCCTTTCTCTGGGAGGTCCTTGGGTGTCTCCGGCCACTTCAAGCCCCCGAAACAGTGAATGCGAGCCTCACCAGAACAGAGCCCATGGCATCTCCAAGTGATCCTTGGGAGCACCGAGGGAGAAGAGGACGCTCGGTCACTCTGCCCCAGCTACCCGACTCTACTCCCCTTCTCAGTGGGTGTACACCACTGTTGTCCCAATCTGGCGTGGCCTTCCCTTGGTTCTCTATCCAAAGCCACCTTCCGACCCCTCCAATCCCTTTTAGCTGAACTCCCATAGTACTGGGTGCCTGTTAATTAATCCCATACTATTATATTGTTATGGTTTATATGCAAATTAGTATGCAAAGTATCTGTTTTCTATGTAAATGCTCCCTTGAGAGCAAGGACTTTGTCCTGAACTAGCCATGTTTGCAGTAGGCATGAAATAAGTAGTTGAGGAACTGAATGCAAAATATCCATTGTGTAATAAAATGCATGTAAGCCAATAAGGTTTTCAGGTTTAATTAGTGATTGTATCTTTCAAAGCTTTACCACTTCATTAAAAAAACAACAAGCTACTTTTACATAACACACCAAAACACCATTAAAAAGAAATCACTAAATTTCAAAATACACATTCAGTTTATTAATGAGAGTATGATACAGATCATAAATAAAAATAAAATTTTACTGGTTTTGATTTAATTGAAGAAGAATCAGGGAGAATGCTAGTCTTAGCTGGTCTCAATTTGTCAGATGTGAGCGCTCACCTCCTAGGGCTGAAATATCCTAAGTGATTCTCACAATCCCGGGAAGAAAGTACCATTGTTAATACTTCCTTTTCAGAGGGGAGAAAAGAAGCTAGGAATAGTAAAGTGACCACTCAAGGCCAAAGGGCTACCCGGAGTCAGAGACTGCCCTTGAACCCAGGCCTCCTGGACTCCAGTCAGAAGATGTGGAAGGAAACAGACTTTGGCGAATCCGTGGTTTCAGCCACCAGGCAGCACAGACCTCAGGCCATACGTGCCCTGTTGTTCTCTAGGATTCTTTTCCACGCCTTCCCAGACACCGTACACAGAGCACCTACCCAAAGTGGCTGGAGTCCAGAGATTGTATGCAGTGGGAACCCCCATCTAGGTCTTTTTACATTTGATGCCTAGCCATACAATAGTCTGGCTATCCATCTGTTACACTTCATTCCCTCTACATCACTGACTTAAATCGTGGTCGGGCATGGTGGGCGTGCTTACCAAGTAGGCAGACAGTACAGTGCTAGAAGAGATAGCAACGCTAGGGGATAATAGTCAGGATCCAAAAACACTAGTCTCAAAAACAAAAAAGAATGAGAAAATAAATAAATCTTATAATGCAATGAAAGCCAAAGCTACCAACATACTTTATATTGTTATATTCTAAAAATAATCACCAAAAAGCAATCCTACTTATTGTAACACCAAGAAACATTAAATATCTAGGAACTGACTGAGGCACCCATGCAATATGTAATGGATAACTGCAACACTTCACTGAGAGAAACAAAGATCCAAATGATTGGAGGAAAATTCATCACTCGTGGATCGGCAAATCAATATGCTGACAATGACACCCTTGCTAAAATTCATTTTCTTTCATTTGACATCAATCAAAATACTAAAGAATTTCTTCTATTTGCAGAAGTTCAGTCACAGTCAAGTTTACACGTGCAAGACCGAGCAAGCGCACAAAAGGTTAATCTGAAAACCACAGCTGATCAAGATAGACACAGATGCACACGCATACGCATGTGCGTGCACACACACATGCACACACACGTTTCTCATGAAAACAAGATGCTCTTGGGGTAAAACAGAAGAACAAGTTGATAAAACAAAAGACCTGTCTGCCCTCGACACAGCCCTTGCAAAGACTCACCCGTCTTGCCCAAGCAATAAGCAAGGGGAACAAACACAGGATTGGAGCAGACGACAGGCACGGGGTCCGGGAATGGGAAAAACAAAAGATAAAAAGGAGCCCAGAAGAGAGATGTGGTCCAAGGTCCTAGGGAAGCCCGTTCCCCTGGGGAAGAGGCTGGTTCTCCAACGAGAGCACCAGGAGACCAGCGAGAGGACGTAGCCCCAGACTGGTTCTGGAGCAGCGGTGCCTTGGTTCACGTGTTGTGCCAAGTTCAGAACTAGTCAATTACATCAGAATTAAAAACAAACCATGTAAAAATTAAAACGTTATGATGGGTTCATCGCACTTCTGGCAAAGAAGACAATTCCTCCTCTATAACTACTCAACAAGTAGAAGGAAACACAAATAGAGGGAATTCTATTGTAGAGACAGAAAGAGTTGTGGGACCACCAAAGCAGCACATCCATGAACACCTCTGGGAATCTGACATTCAAAACCCGGGACCTACGGGCCCAGTTTCTCCAGCAGAAAACAGGGCGCAGAATATGAAGAAGAAACAGTGATCTGTCCATTGTCACATGCAACCGGAGCGAGCTGATCAGAGAAGGCGCATCCAAGCCCCTCACCAGCCTGCGGCCCCACGACCCCACACCAAAGATGGGCCACAGTCAAGAGCTGGGAAGGCTATGGAGAACTCTGCCCGCCACCGCACGGAGCCCCCAACTGCGCGAGCACAATGCTTCCAGGGGAGGACATCCCATTCTCATAAAGAACTAACAGAACACTGTGGATTGACAAGCAAAGTTTGTACCCTTTGATATCTATGGATGTTACTGATGGGACATACCCACAGAAAGAGTCCCAGGAAAACTGTAAATGACTCATTGCCCAATGACTGCAGATTGGCTAAAGACATGGCAGCATGTGAACATAATGGAACATTACCGTGACGCAAGAATAACGAATATGAAGACAACAAATAAGAAGCGTACTTTTCTTCAGCTGACCCAACATGTGCATTTTGGACCTTACCTTGAAGTACTGGAATGTCCGCTGACGGTATTCACACCACTCCAGAAAAAAGTGAAGGCTTCTGAAAAACAGGAAAAGGTCCCGTTTCTCTTCGGTCCTGTAGGAATAAAATCTCTTATGAGCAAGGTTGAGAAATACCAATAACCAGGAAAACAAAATGGAAAACCAAACAAATGAAACCTAAAGCAGTGAAATGATAATGACCAAGGAGTGGCCCTGAAGGCAGGGACAAGGGGCACACAGCACAATCGGACAGTCTGTTATTAAGATCTATTAAGCACTTACTATGTACCGGCCCTATGTATGCGCTGGGGATAAAAAAAGAGGCAAAAGACAACCCCTGCCCTCAAGGAGCTTACAATCTAATGGGGGGAGAACACGCAAAGAAATATAGACAAAGTAAACTATATATATCTCCAAGATAAAAAGAAAACACCCAACAGAAGGAAGGCACTGGAATTAAGAGGGGCTGGGGAAGGCTGCCTGGAAAAGGTGAACATGAATGCCAGGGAGGGCAGTGGTCAGAGCGGTCCAGTCCTGGCAGATGGCCAGAGAGAAGGCCCGGAGCCCTAGATGCAGGGTCTTGTTCATGGACCAGCCAGGAGGCCCGGCTCCCTGGAATGAAGTGTAAGGACACTGGAGAGGTCAGGGGGCCAGGTTATGAAGGCTTGGAAGGCCAAACGGACCACTGTGTATTTGCTCCTGGAGGCCAAGGAAGCCACTGGAGTTTAAGGCGAGGGGGGCTGACATGATCAGAACTGAGCTTTAAGAAAATCACTTTAGTGGCTGAGTAGAGGATAGACTGGAATGGGGAGAGACTGAGGCAGGCCCACAGACCACAGGGCTATTGTAATAGTCCACGGGGGAGTTGCCGAGGGCCTGGTCCAAGGAGAGATGCCGTACTGTACATAATATCTGACCTCTTCAGTGTGGCGGTCAGCTTTGCTCAAACGGTTTTTCTCTCTCTTTAAAAAATTCTTTGTTATAAGAGCCGGTACTGTGGGAGGGGATACACTGAAGGCTGTAGGAGATCGACAGAAAAGGACATCAGTAAATATGTATTTTTAAAGAGAAATGATCTGGAGGAAAATAAATATTAATAAACAACAGAAAATGTATCTTCTTCTAGGTGCATATACATTTCTGTGATCTGTTGCAGCAGTGGGAACGGGAAGAGCCTCCTGCTGACCTCTCGGGGCATGGCCTGGGGCTGGGGAGGGATGGCAGGCACCCCAAGGCCTACAGCACAAAGCAGCACTTCCTCTAGAAATCGGAGAAACTAAGTCTGGGGGAGTGAGGATAGAGGGCCATCTGTCCCACAGAGCTCTGGGGAAGGGCTCACAGAGAAAGTCAATGCTAATCTGGTTTGGAGCAGTCTGGAAGGCACAACGGGGGGATTCTTTTGCAAATGTGTGGGGAGGGGGAGGGTGTGCTAGTCACCATGTCAAGTGCTTTACAAATATTATCTCATTGGATCCTCAGAACCACCCTAGAAGGCTGGCACAATTATGATCCCCATTTTATAGTTGAGGAAACTGAGGCAGACTGAGGCAAAGTGACTTGCTCAAGGTCATTTAGTTAATATGTGTCAGAACCAGGTCTTTTTGGTTCCAACGGCAGCTCCATCCAATACGACACACTGACTGCTCTTTGGCCAAAGGGGAGAAAGCTGGAGCTCAAGCCAGATACAAAGGGCTCTGGAGACCCTTCTGGTTTGGGGCAGGAGAAAGGAAGAACCTGAGAACCCAGAAGAGACTTGGTCACCTCATTCATTAACTTGTACAAAGAACGAAAGAGCAGAGAGAGATGATCGAGCAAGACGGACAGATGGAGATGACAGCTAGGCACAGAGATGGATGACTAGAAATAGAGGTGGGGGCATGAATAATAATATGGATGGATGAATGAATGGCTGAACAGACAGACAGATGGATAGATGGACAGATAGATGGATGGATGGATGGATGGATGGATGGATGGATGGATGATACAAAGAGATGATCAAGCCAGATGGATGGATGGAGATGACAGCTAGGCATAGAGATGGATGACTAGAAGTAGAGATGGGGACATGAATAATAATATGGATGGATGAATGAATGGCTGAACAGACAGACAGATGGATAGATGGATGGATGGATAGATGGATGATATAAACATGTGTAAACAGATATAAACATAGGCAAATGGGCACAGAAAGACAGACAGATAACTGACAGATGGATAGACAGACAGCACGATAAAGAGAGTAGGTGTGCCTTTCTTTAGCACTGACTATGTGCCAGACACACCATGATAAAAACTTATGAGCACCATCACCTCATAAAGCAGGAACATGGGGCAAAATGGATTAGATCCAATTAGCAAAGTCATTGTGAGAGAATTGAAGAATGAAACCAAAAGGAAAATGTACATTTTCATACTATATTGTTTTGCCACCAAAGGCAGTAGAGCCTCCACCCTTGAACTCTGATATCCAAGTCCAGATGTGCTTCCAGAGGGGGCAGGAATGGTTTGAATTTAGGGTTAGGTTAAGAACAAAGATGGGAAAAACTACTGAGTGAAGGATGAATCCATGATGGGAGGCTCAATTGAGAGACCAAGAGATATGGAGGGCTCCAGCCATCGTAGAGTGGCTCTGTGAGTGGAGAGAAAGGAAGGAATACAAGAAAGGGAGGTGAGGTAGAATCCCCCATAGCCAATCACTGATCGGGAGGGGAAGAGTCAATGATGTCGCCCAGGTTTGGAGCTGAATAACTGAAGATGGTGTTGCCATAACAGGAAACAGAGAAAGCTGGAGGAGGGACAAGTTTGGGGTAGGGTTGGGGGCAAGGCAGGTAGATTAGTTTAGTCAGGGGTAGTTTTATAATGAGACACAGATGGCACATCCAGGTGATCCATGGCAGGTTCTGGGAGATGGAATACCAAAAATCCCCATGGACCATGATGATACAGACCACTAAGAGACCAAAGGTGATCCTGTAACAGGAAAGCAGGCATCCCAGCAGAAAAACGGTCAAAGGAAATAAACAGCTTTGAAAAGCAAAGATGTAAACTTTCAACCAGAATCTGAAAAAAAAAACAACAAAACCCACCGCTGATCATTAAAGAAATAAAAACCAAAAGGGTCACCATCTCACCCTGATTAAAAGGATGGCAAAAGTGGCAAAGGTGGTAAAGTGGCTATTTGTCCCTCCTCCAAGAGGACCATGACGTCAGGGAGGTGAACTGGATTTAAGTGAGGCTGGGCACAGTCATAAGCCTCACTCTCTCCTCCAGAGCCATCTGGGTCCAGTGGCCAGATATAGATCAGGATGACTGGAAATGGCCCCTATGCAGTGGGAGACCTTAGCCCTTTTAAACTAAGGTCTTTAACAGGTCTCAGTTTGACTGAGGCAACACCCATTCAGTGATTAAGGCTTTTAAAAAATGAGCAAAGGATGGTCTCCTTAAAAAAAAAAAATAGATCTGGGAGGGGAAGAGCCTCAGGGTTTCTGGCCAAAACATAAACGACTGTTATTTACATTCACTAGGAGCCAATCAGGGCCCAAACAGTGACCAAGTAGGGCTGGGTCTGGGACCAAAGTGATCAGGGGTTCAGGCTGGTCTTTAAGAGAAAAAACCAAAACAAATAAACAAGAAAAAAAGGTTCAGAGATTAAGATCTACATCCCCATTGGGCAGAGCAGTGGCAGGTAAGGGTGTGGTACCCTATGTGGAGAGAGGAGAAAGAAAAGAGAAAGAGAGGCCTGTTGGTAAAGGTGGCGATGATGGCTGATGGCGAGCTCTAGCTGGGAGGGGCTCTCCTGAGGGAGGAATGCATGCATCCTCCACTGGCAGAAGGAGGAATCCACTAAAACCAGGCTCCGCCACCTTGGAGAACAAAACAACCCAACAGTGGCTGTGCTGGGCAGCAGGAAACAAAACCAAGGAGGCGTCAAAGCATGTGATCTAATCTGGGGGAGGCGCTCACCCCCCCCCTCCAGGAATCCAAAGTGGATTAGTCTAACTTACAGAAATTAAAACGCTATGGCTCAGAAACCCAAAGGCCGCGGGCCCGTGTCTTATTCTGGAATGGGGGGCTTGGAGTCAGGAAGACCCAAGTTCAAACCCTACCTTAGGCATTACCAGCTCTGTGACCCTGGGCAAGTCCCTCCACTCCTGTCTGCCTTAATTTCTTTATCTGTAAAATGAGGAAAATGACACCTCTATGCCAGGAGCCTTTAGGACCAAGCGCCCCTCCCGCACTGCCAATCTCCTCTCCCTGGAATGCTAGCTCCTGACGGTCCCTTCAGGTCTTTGTATCCAGATCCCCGGCTCTGAGCACAGCATTCAGCACTTAGGGCAAGAGCTGGACACAACTTTCCTCATTTGTGATTCAGCCATTCAGTGTTGAATGGAAAAGGAAGGGGACAAGAAGTGCCTACTATAAGCCAGGAATGTGCTGAGGCTTTGCAGATATCATCTCTTTGAATATCTAACCCAAAGAAACCTTGAGAGCAGGAAAGAATTTCACCTGGCATCCATGAAATTTCTCTGAAAACAATTTGCTAGATTTGATCATGGGTTTCCTCTGTAATTCCGTGTATTTTATGCATCTGAAAACGTGGTTCTGAGGAGGGGTCAGAGGCTTCCCCTGCCTAACTCCCGGGGCCATGAGGCAGAGAGCTGCGCCCTGCAGTGACGGGCTGGACAGGGGCTGCTACATCTGGCCTCTCAGAGCTCTGGAGATGAATGAATGAATGACAAAACCAACAGCATCAGACCTCAAGAAGCTTCCACTGCACAGGGGATGGGAAGAGAACAAACACTGATCAGGTGCCTGCTATGTGCCAGGCACCGGGCTGAGTGATTTTACAATTATTATCTCGTTTGATCCTGAAACAACCCTGGGAGGGAGGTGTTGCCATGACCCCCACTGTGCAGATGAGAAGACTGAGGCAGGATGACACTGTGGGCCCATACCTGGGACGCTCAGAAGCAGGAGAGAAGCTGGGAAGAGGGAAGGCTTCGGGGGAAAGGCACAAGTTCTGGTCTGGACCCATAAAGCCAGAGATGCCTCTGGCACCAGCCCGCTCAGCTGAAGATGAGGACGCTT